CAGGACTGTCTTACTCTCTTTGATTAGCTTTGTTGCTTGCTAGAGTTTGGGATTTTGGAGGCGAAATACTCATTTTCAGTCAGGCATGCAGCAGAATTACTGTGTATACACCAGCTTTTCTGCACAGAGAGGCAAGGTATGGTTTATTTCAAGAATCTACTTTTTGCTGTGCTGGATTCCAGCTTCTTTAGGGAAGGATTTTCAGCTGCTCTCGAAGCTTGCAGTGATGAGGTGACACAGGCAGTTATTTGTGCAGGCCTGGGAAAGGGTACAGCACTTCAGTACAATATAAATTAACAGCATGGAGTCCATACCACACTGGCTGTTTAGGTACCTAAAAGCTCAATAAAGCTCATTGTAGTTACTTTCTTTTGAAAAAATCTTGTTTGCCCAGTCCTGTTTTTGAAGTAGGAAGAGTCTTTTTTTCTCTTCCCTACCCTCTGCAGCTGTTCTCTCACACTGAGACACACAGAGCTGGTTCTGGATGTAAACCTGGTAACAAGGTCCTGGTACAACCATTGCTGAATTAATGCACAGGTATGTTAACACATCATTGCCTCAGGGTGAGGAATGTTCCCCTTCAGTCTATGGTCTGCCTACAGCTTACAGAATCACTGTGACCTTCTCCATGGGATTTGTTTTCTTTTTTACCTTCTAACATGTCAATGTATGTCCCTGGATATTAGAAAGCTTCATTTATCTTAACAGAGGAGATTGGGTGTAATCTTGATTTGTGTGGATATAATTTTGAGAAATGCTTTAGCATAAATAGAATTAAATGTGTGGTGTGTTTTGGGTAAATCAGGTTGTTGCTTTGGGAAGCAGTCTGTGATTAAATCTGTTGCTGTTGTGAACTGCCTGGTTTCCCCTGCATGTCCTGCATGGCACGATGAGATCTGATGTGATAAGGTTGTTTCACCATCTGCATGTCTGCTTTTGTCTAACAGTGCTGTTAGACTTTGATTTGCTGCTTCAGGAAATAGAACTTTCCTTGAGAAGTTACTGTAAACACACAAATGCCTTTCCCTGTATTGGAGCTGAAATTTTGCACTGAATGCTGGCATGATCTGCAGTGAGCATCAGTGGGAACCAGAGTTCCATGTGCTGTTGACAGCTTTGAAACACAACAATGAAAGTCACTTTATCAACTCTTTGTATTCTTTAGATTTATTTTCAGAGAATCTGTGTAGTTGGATGTAATTTGATAACCAAACAGTGAAGAAGAACAAACCAGTTCCAATTACTTGCTACTTGATCCTTGGAATAAACCCAGATAACTATAAAAGTTCTAAATAATTTAGTAAATAGGACGCTGAAATAGGAATTTGTGCCCATCATCTGGAAATGGATTCCGGTTAAGTTATGACAACACTGTTCTTCAGGAATTCTAAACCTGAATTTATACCTTCATCTTCTGGATTTTAACATGAAATATTCATATATGTCGATATTTTTTATGGCATACAGTATACTGTAATTAATAACAATTATTATTAATAAGAATTAATCTTTCAATCCAGCTGGGTGTGAAAGGTTCACAGATCCAGCCTGCTCTCAGAATACTGAATTAACTCCTCAAGGAGTCTGGAGACCCACTGGTGTTCCAAGGTGACACAAGACATTTGTTAAGTACAGTTGGAGAATATTTCCAAGAAAACTAAACATAGTTCATGCCAGCATCATTCAAATTCTGCTTCTGATTGATTTTCAAGTTAAGACTAGCATGTCCTCTTTGTTTCTCTCATTCCAGTCCATGCAATCTAAAAGATTTATGGATAAAATCTAAAGTGTCAGTCTCACAAAGTGAGAAGTTGCAGTTTTTATCACAGAATAAGGCAATTTGACCATTTTTAAACACCTTGGCAAGAGTTTATGACAAGAATAGACAAAAAAGAAATACAGAGGAAACTTTCCCATCAGACTAAACCAAGGTGAAATATAGAATTTCCAAAGTGTGGAAGGTTGAGGTTATTTTTTTTTTTCCTTCTCTTGAAGATAAAATTTCAAAAGCTCTGGAAGGTGATTTTCAGAAGTTTGGCAGATGCCTCAGTGTTTCAGAACAGTTGTTAGGAGTTAGTATTTTTCCTGGCCAGTTCTCCTCCCATCAGAGTGGGTATTCAGAGGATCCAGTTTTATGTTACAGCTGGACTCATTAACTGTGGGCAGTGACCAAAAAGGGAGGGCTTGTTTTCCTCACCAGAGCTTTTCCTTCCCTCTCCAGTGTGTCAGTGGTATTGCTACTCTGACCCCACGGTGAACTGATTCAGAGAACTAAGGCTGTAGAAAACTAACACCAAAACCAGGGAAAATAATGGCTTTTTAGTGCTGTAGTGCTCTGATCCATCCTGGGGTCAGGCAAGTGCTGGTGCTGTGACTGGGGTGTGTAGCCAGAGGCAGGATGAGTGGGAGAGCTCTTCAATTAATGTAAATGTGGTGTGAATGTAGATTTCTAGCAGTTTTATCAGGTTAAAGATTACTTCTGGATTATCTCTATTCCTGTTGAAAATAGGGGTTTTGTTCTCTCTGCTTGGTGCCTTGTTTTCCTACATCCTCCTTTGGGGTAGCACTGCTGATTTATGGTTTGTTGGATCTGGGGGTTCAGCTGAAGACTTCACTAACAGCAACAAAAAAGAGAATTTCAGCCTCACAAAAGTTATTCTTACATAGCAAGGGACAAGGTAGTGTGAATTTGTCCTTTGTGACAGCAGCACAAATAAATGTTGTACTGTATTTATGCAGAAAAAGTTTATATCCCAGTTCACTGACTCTCAGCTGCTGTGCTGTGCAGGTTTAAAGACTTTTTTGAAGGATAAGATCCTCAAATCATGTGTGACATCATCAGTCTCTGCTTTGCCCATGAGATTCTCCTCTGGTATCTCTCCTCAGATGGACAGTGAGGCACAGAACACTTCTGGATTTAGGAGAGACATCGCTGTACGTGTGTGATGGTCTGCTGTGAAATCATCATCTCATCCTCTGTGTTAACATGAGTGGCTTTTGGATGTTTTGTCTCTAATTTTTCCCATCTGTTCTGTCTGGTTTCACTGAAGTGCCCGTGGAACACGCGTTCTCTCGGATGGTTGGGTGGATGCTCTTGGCACGTGAGCACAGTTAATTGCATGGAGCTCCATCTCTAAGGTGAAGTGCTTTTCTGTTCTCCGAGGGACCTGACAGCTCCCAGGAAATGGCATCCTGGCCTCTCCAGACACATTTCACAAGTGATGGGCTCAAGATTTACTTTTGAAGTTTTTGTTTCTTTCAGAAATGAGATTCAATGCAATGCCCTCTGGCCTGGATTTTCTCCCTGCTGCTGTTTTCTTTTGGGATTACTGTTTGGTCATTGTTTGGTTCAGGCCATACTCAATTGCCCTTGTAATTAATGTGGAGCTAATAACCATGTACTGAGTAATCATGGCTGCTCTCCTTTTCTGGGGTTGTTTTGACTCTTTCAGCTCCCACTGACTCTTGAGGGGGAGATTTTTACATTTAACACCTCTGAACTAGAGTATTTCAGCTCTGGGCAACATGCTGATGTGTGAAGACACATTAGGTGATAGGATTGTTCTGACTAAATATAAGTGCCTAGAATTGAAGTGTCTGGATGAAAATGAATCACCCTAGGATCCCTTTAGTGAAGTTCTGTCATTGTGCTCTTGAAGCTGGCATGCTGTGTGCTTCACCCTGAAGTTTGGGCAGATGCCCGTAAGAAAAGTGGGAGTAGGTCATCTGTCAAATTTTGATTAGATTTCTAATTTAATTAATCTAGACAGTTGATTTAAATGTCTTTATTTGGTTTTAAATCCATGTTTATCTGTGGAAATGGAAGTTGCCAGATGTAAGAGTTTGGTGTGGAGCTCCCTCAGGCTGACATCAAGAGGAACACCTTTAAAATGTAGATGCTGAGATGCATGTGACAAATGTACACTCAGATGTACAGGAATATTAATATTACCACTGTACCATGCTATGAAATAGTCAGCTTACAGGATCAGCATTGTCATTTGACTGACAGGAGTTGTGCAGTTGGTTTCTTCTGCCTTCATGCCCCAGGAATGAAACTCTGTAGTTTCTGTGTTGCTGCTGGAAGCAGGCACAAGGTCCTGCCTTCTCTTTGCACATTGTGTTTGACAAGTTCACTCTCCTCTTTGCCTGGATACTTCATCTTGTGCTAAAAGAAAGAACCAGTTTACCTCCTGTAATCCACTTTCTGGCTTATTTCACAGTTGTATTTACAACAAGTTTGTTTAAAGCTTCAAAGACCCATTTGTATAGTTCTTGGCTGTCACAAATGAAGAGATGAACTTAATAGTTACTCCCTTTTCTCTACTTAAAGCTCTTCCTTTCCAACAACCTTTTATTGTAGGTACCCCTGGGTAGCAAATCCACAGTACTCAGGTAATGTTTAAAACAAATTGCATTTTACTTGTCCAGGCTTGATTAGGATTTAAGTGTCTTTGGCAGAAATAAAAGATCAGAAATAAAAGATGGTGTAAAGCTCTGAGGTAAATGAAAGTTCATACTTAATATATAAGTAAGGAATATAAAGGAATATAAATGTAAGGAATATAAAATGGAAAAAAATAAAAAGCAGTGCTTAGCAATCTTTCAGTTTAAGAACTTGAACTTCCCATGATTCTTCTCAATTACTTCACTTCCATACCAAATAAAGTGCCAACTCCAGTATAATACTCTAAATTTGGAAAAATGTTTTAAGTACTCTGCCTGTGTTGGAGCTTGGGAGAGAAGAGAAGGTCATGGAATATGAAGCAGGAACCAGACTCACCTTTTGGGCTGTGGTACCTGGGAGGTTCTGGTACAAACTGCACTTCCAACACTAAGCACCTGCTAAATTTCCAGCTCTTGCTCTTCTAAGTGCTTGAAATCACTGAAGGTTATCCACAGGCATAATTTCAGGTGAATGTGTAAGGTCTGCTTTGCTCCTCAGCAGCTGCTGGGTTTGACATTTTGTTAACTGATGGATTTTTTTCCCTCTTTCCTAGGTGTTCACCTCCCATGGGCCTACTGTGATCATGCCAACCTGGTTCTGCTCTCGAGAATGGTTTTTTCGTGTGGGAAGATTTGATGAGGGTGGAAAGGTGAGTGGTGCAGGTGATCTGCAGTCCAGGAGCCATCCCTTTGTTTAACAGCTTCTGAAAGCTCTCTACCTCTGTTATTAAGGAACAATAGAGAAGGGGTATAGATGAAAACTGAGCTCTAAAAACACCTGGGTCATACCATTTTTTTTAGAAAAACAGCCTCCAATCAACCAAAGTTTGGGAATAACCCTGGTGAGGGAAGGACCTACCTGAGATCAACACTGTAATACATCTATTGTGTCAGCAAACCTGGAAAAATGAAAGGTTTCAGATATACAAGCTCCTCTTGGGTCCCTGGAATAGATGCTAAAAAAAGGCCGTAGTTTTGTTATGATCTATCCCTGCAAGGTGAGGTAGGCTGCTGACAGAGGTTGGGAGGGAAGAAAAGTGCAGAATGGCAGAGAGATAAAAGTACATTCACCTAAGGAGGAAGGTTTATATCTCTCAGAGGAAAAAAGAAGGGCCATAAAACCATTACCAGTAGAACTCATTTATCCACCTGCCTCATGTCCTCTTGTCAATCTTAGTTCTTGTGCTTGTCCTTGGAAGATTTTAGGTAGCTTCTCCTCAAAGATCAGGGCTGAGAGGTTACAAATTAAATACCTTTGGTCTCAGAAGTGTTCCATCCCTGACAGTTAGGTTCTTTGTCTTTATGAATTTCCTTTATGAGTTCAATTGGATTGCTTTAAGCTCCTCAGTGTGCTTATGGAATAAAATCCATGGATTTCTGTTAGCAGTATTTATTGTGGCAGTTGAAATATGTTGACAAATAGATCTAATTTATACACATTTGGATCCATTTTGTGTGGTTTGGTTCCGAGAGATTTTGCTTCCAGTGGTTTTTTGTGAATTTTAGGGCTAAAATGGGTGGTTCTGATGATTTTTTTTTTTAAAAGCTTTCATTTATTAGCACTCTAAAAAAATCTGCTAAGGCTATTTCCTATTTTATTATTTAAACTACAACAGATGATGATGATGATTATTTTTATAGCTTTTAAATGAAGCCCTTCAGTGCCATGCAGTGTGTGTATATATATACATGTGTATGTATGTATGAGTATATACAAATATTATTCTTTGGGCTGCCAAAAAATTCTAATTATAAGTAGACAGCAGGCAGAGAACTGAACTGTTTATAGCAGTGAAAAGATTTGCCCACATGGTGGGTGAGTGGAGGAGCTGGGAATGGTGCCTGGCTCCCAATACAATATACACTTGCTGACCCATGCTCTTTATTTCTTTTTTATTATTATTTCTTATCATTGTATTTTCACTCTCTGAAGGATGTTTGACTTCTTGAGCGTTGTTAGTAAGCTCCAGAAAGCAAGCAAGTTAAAGCAGCAGCAACAATAGAACAGCAAGCCTAATGATAAAGTTCAAGAGGTTAAGCTAAATAGACTATTGTTCTGTGCTTTTTGCTTTTCGTTTTGGCTTTTTTTCCTCCTTCTTTTGTTTTTATGAGTTGGGTTTTTTCTGTTTTGCTCTCTCTGTGTAATTGTGTAGGAACTATGCCACTGCTTATTCAGCTGTAGTACACTGACAGTCTTAATCCTGATGATTTTCCAGCCACAATGCATGATATGTCCTTCTAGTTTGAAGAATTACCAGTGATAAGCTGAACATATTGTTTGTCCCTATTGTGAAGTGTCCAACATGTCCAAGCTTAGACTCTGGCTGATGCAGAGGACCTTCAGAAAAATACCCTATGAACAGGACAGATCTGAACAAAGCAGTGAAGTCAAACCTTTGTCTTCTGTGGGTTTAGAGGACAGAAAAATCAAGTCTTAAATCTTCAGCATTTAGTGTTACAAAGTATTTAGCATTGCTCTAACTCGTTCATTTTCATTTGAAAGGAATCCCTTTAAGGCAAAGAAAATTTTCCTCTGTGTACCAGCAGAGCTGAGAATACTCTGCAGGGTCTCATCCCTGTGTGTATGTTGTGACCTGAGCCAGGATCTGTGTTAATCTGATCACTTCCATCTCCATTTTTGAGTTAGTGTTTATTAATGAGACTTGTGATTGTCATACTGCTGGAAGTAAACACAGGAACAGGCCAACAAATCTCCATGTTTTCTCTGTTTGCTATACTATTTCTTGCCAAAAAGCTGCATTTCTCATTTGAAATTAAATCCAAACACCTGTTCTTCATATTTCAGTGCTTAGGAAAAAAATTGAGGATAATCCTTCCATGGGAGAAATTGTGATTTGATGTTTATGGTGACAGAGTGGGTGGATGGATAAAATACAAATAGATGTGCTATGGTGTAATCCTCTTTTTATTTCAGGTGGATATGTATGTCTCTCTCAGCCATTCAGGCTTTAGGTGAAACAGGTTTTTTTCAATTTTTTTTTTAATTTAAATTAAGTTCTTCGTGATTGAGATCTGCAGTTGTTGGAAGTGTATTCCTTTTAGGTCCAAACAAAATAGTACCTTCATAAATGGTCTCTAAGGACCTGACAGGTTTGTTTTATATATTAATTAACTAAAATGGTAGAGGTTTTATTTATGCAATCTCTGGTAAATGATAATTAAAGCAGGAGTACTGAAAATATTTTAGCAAGCTCTGATGAGTTCTGAGACAGATAATATAATGGAAGGGGTCACAAGCCTAGAAAGTAAAATTCAAATAGTATCCCCTGCTGGAAGAAGAGTCACGTGATGAACCATATTTTTTACTTACTTTTTTTAGGAATCTAAAAAAAAAAAATAAACTTTTAATCAGTTTTTGATAAAGAGTGCAGTACTTCCTTATGGAAAGAAGTAGCTGCACTTCACTAAACCCTTCAGAACTCCCATTTGACACTTAGTGTGTGACATTACCATGGGTGGCTTTGCTGCTGGAGTTTTTGGTGTCTCCTAATAAGTTGCACCATTGCTAAAAAGTAATAACCGTGTCCAAAAGCATCACAAAAAATTGTGCTGAGGAAAAAATGCCCATTAACATTTTGCCCATTGCCCAATGCTCTGGTCTAATGTGAAAAGCAGATTTTGAAGCTGGATCATCTGTTGGAGTGGGGAACTCCCCAGTCATGTGCAGTGGGAGATGAGGTGCCTGTTATTAGTGAAGAAAAGTTATTTTTTCATGTGTCTGACAGAAGTGCTGAGTACAAGGAGAGCTGAATAAATGATCATTGCTACTCTGCAGGCTCCACTCCATGCAAGGGTGGAAAATTGCAGTCTTGGCTCTCTCCAGGCAGAATTACTCTTGACATCACAACTGTTACATGCCAAACTTGTCTCTTTCTCTAGGATTTTACCACAACTTGGTTCCAAATTTCCTGTCACCCCTGTGTTTATCCTTCCTTTTTAAGTGTATGAAAACTGAAAATGGAGTGACAGCCTTAAAGTTCTGAGCTAATCTCAAAGTGTAAACAGGGGGAAATTATTCTTAATGAGCCCCAGATGGAATCGTGCATTGTAAACCACCAGCCTTTCTGAATACAAACTGTGCCTCCAAACAAAGTGTCTGGAGCTCAGTTTCATTCTATTTTTGTGATAAAAGGTCACAAAAAACACGAACTGAGGAGGTGTCAAAATACCCTTTTGAGCACAGGAGGTTGTAGGCCATGGTGTAAAGCTCTGAGGTAAATGTAGCTGTTAGGCACTCACTGATGCAATTTTCCATGTTTCTCTGCCAGAGCACACAAATGTCATTCCCTTCAGAAAGGCAAGTGGTTACAATAATGCCTGAGAGGTAAAAGGCCAAGTAGGATTTTGGTTTTTTGGAACATGAATTAAAATACTGTCAGTCTGTCAAATAACCTATCAAGATGCTTTGGGGAAAATCGGGCATAAAATACAGGCACTACTGGGGGTTTTTTTGTTTGGTTTTGGCTTGAAATAGTTAAGGCTGAACAGAGATCAATATTTGATTTAAAAAGCGGAGAAAAAGTGGTGGAGCCAGTGATTAATTACACTTATAAGCTATTTGAAAATTCACCCCATACCCCATGTCTAATTATATTTTCTGCTAGTCTGTTATTAAATATCATTTACAATTTACCACCTCCCTTCCATTTGACTTCCCCATAGTCTTTGTTTAACTGCATTTCTCTGTGCCAAGACATTTGGTTGAAAGCAAGCTTTTGGAGTTTCCTTTAACCTGTTATTTCCCAAACAATGAAATAAATGCTAATGGGCTCCAGGTCCTATAATCAAAGCAAAATGATGGAAAGCCATGATTTGGATGAGAGCCAAGAAATGAAGGGACAGATATGCGGAAAGGGAGGCTTAAGAATATCTTGGCTAATCCTGTAGAAAAGCTATTAATAGCTATTTAGTTCTTTCCATTCACCAATTTTAGGCTCCTCTGAGGAATTAAAGTGATTTTTTCTGTCCAACAGTTACCCTGACAGTGCTGACTGGTTTACAAAATACGTACCAATCTACATCCCAGTTTTCCTTGATGCCTCTGATCAAAAGGGAGGACCAAGCTTTCCCAAACCTGGAGGCTTTTTTCCCATGTGCTTTGATGTCTCTCCTGTCTTGTTTGTCTTTGCTGTTTATTCTAAGTGCATGTATTTATGAAATATAATGGTAGAGCTCCCATTTTCTCCAGTCAGACTTCTCTGCACAGGCTAAATCTCCACTGGTTGTGCTCACAAGGATCTGCCACCTCTGGCAGAGTGCCTATGAACTGGGAGAGGGCAGGGAGTCAAATGTGACTGAGACAAGGTTGAGATGGATAAATCTACACGTACATCTCTGCAGTGGTAGAGATGGATGGGGAAGCTGGGGCAGATTGATTCTCTGGCAGAATCACTCTTATCTATTTGGTTTAGCAGTAAAAGTCAGCTTTTATATTTATTAATTTATATTATTTATATTTACATTTATTTATTTTTATTTATATTTTATATTATATATTTTATATATGCCTCTACAGCCCCGTGGTGGTTTCTGTCCAAATGAAGGACGAGGGACCAAATTCAGCCTGGAGTGCTGCTGTTGGTCATCCCAGGGTGAGCTCACCAGGGGTTAATGGTTACAGCATTGTGCAGGGCATCACTTACATTAAAACTCCTCCAAAAATTGCTGATCGTCCCTACTGATGCTCCTCATCATTACTGATGGTGGAGGTGCAAGAGTTGTAGCCAGAATTGCTCGTTGGGAGATGCTTGAACCTCTTGGAAAAATGTTGAGGTCGCTGCAGTTGGAGCACAGTGTGATGCCAGGAGTAAGAACAGCAAGAGAAGGATCATAAATAATTTAGTTTGGTCCCTGAACCAGGAATTACTTTGATTCAAGACAGGGTTCTGACAGCCCATGGTGTATAAAAAATCAGTCCCCTCATCTGTACAACCATCAGCACAGCAAGCAGTACCTGCCCAAAATACTGGGTCAACAGGAACCCTTCCCCTGTTCAGTGGGAATGTGGTTTTGCATTTGGCTAGTTAGAGCAGAGCAGGGGCAGGCTGTGCTTTTCTCTGTGAGCTGTAATTAGTTTATCCCTTTTTGCAGCAGAGGATGTGGGGTTGGGTTTTGCCTATAATGTGGAAAATTCTGCATGTAGTCCAGTAACATGTAAACTGTGCAATTTAATTGTATTTATTATTACTGAAAGCTATTGATGTGGTAGCCTATTGCTGAAATGCTGGGTTAGTAATTGAGACTTTTAGCTATGGATATTAATTTTCAAAAAATACATCAAAATATCCCTTTAGTGGTTAAACAGCTTTTTCTTTCAAAGCTGTGTTGTTTCACAAAGATTCCTGGTGTTTAAAATGCCATCTGGATCCAATAATAGATCTCAACTGGGAAGGAACTCTTGTATTGCAGCAAACTTACACGCTCAAGGGCCTTAGGAAGTCCCATCCCTGCAGGATCCATAACACAGTCAACATCTTTCCTCTGAAAAATGCGTGGCAGTGCTGCTCCTTTGTAATGTGAGAGGCCACTGCTGAGCAGTACAAGGCACCTGCTCCTTCCTAGGGCTGGATGCACTTTATTCCAGAGCATTTCTGGCAGTTAAAGGAAAGCAAAAGAGCCCTTGGAACCAAACAGTGTTTGAAAGATCCTTTTACTTCTGCAGTAACTCTTCTTAAATATACATCTTAATGGTTGTCTTGAATAATGTCAATGCTTACCCAAAAGAGAAGGAATTGCTGAGATGGATATGACATAATCATAGATCTCAATCAAAATCTGACTCCTGCAGCAAGCTGATACCTGCTGCACTTGTGCCATGAGACATGGTCTAGTATGTGACCAGAAAAGAGAAAAAGGTTTAAACTTTGCTGCTGGCTCAGTATTTCCCTTAAAGTCCACAATAAGGAAAATATAGAAATGGCTACAAGATAAATGGAAAGAAATTGATTTTGTGTTTTTCTTGTATTCTTGGTGACTGTGGTTGCTGGCTGCCACTCCAGCTTCTCCCAGATTTCTTTTGTGGCTTTCAAAGTAGGTTCACATAAAGCATGGATTGTAAGAACTTGTCTAAAAGTTTTCTTCTGCATTGCAGCTCTTAAAGCAGAAGTCAGAGAAATGTCTGCAAAGAACCAATATCTGCAGATGAGCTGCCCTTTGTGGGCCAGAGCAGAATCCATTTAATTCCCAGTGAGGGAGCGTGGCCCAAATCAGTGTCACACATGAATCAGAGTGAGGGCTGGAGCTGCAGAGTCCAGAGTTTGACTGGATTCTGATTTCTCCCAAGATAAACGTGTCCAGCTGAGTGTTTTGGAGCTGTTTTCAGAGATTTTTTTGTCTCATTTCTCTTCCACTCCCACACCCCTCTGGCTACTCAGCCTGGTGAACTGTATTGCTCTCATAACTAGAGGGCCAGTCCAGCACTTTAATTATAGAATCTCATTTTCTTAATTATGGAAGAAACACAGAAGCTGTAGTAATAGGGAAAAAGTTCAATTAATATTTTTTTTTTAACTTGTACTCTTATTATTTTTCTGTGTTGAAATAGAATGGTCAAAATTGAGGTTGAGGTTTATGACCTGCTTATTCATATGTGTGATACTGTCCACAGAAAGAAATGTATTTCAATCTCTTCACCTTCTTTTCCTTCTCAGTTTTGTCATGTTATCTTTCAGCTTTTTATTAAGCTACACTTAAATATTTTCTTTGACCCACCTGGTTCTACAAAAGGGAGCTTTTTAGTCTGGTAAAAACCATGTGACCTTTAAAACACTGTATTGCTGGGAAGAAATACCTGTATTTAAACATGAAAAGATGAAATGTTCTAGTATTTCAAGAAGTTGTAGCTTTGCAAAATATAAATAAACACTACCTTTTTTACCTTCTGTGCAGGGCTTTAAAGGTGGGTTTATGCTTTCATGTGCCACAAAATGGAATTGTGTGCTATAATTGCCCTTCTGACACTGCATTACTTGCATGAAAATTCTCTGATTTTTAAGTGGAAAATGTTGAAATGATTGTGAAATCCCTCAGTTTTCCTAGAGCCTGCTAGATCCATAATTGCAGGAGCTTTTATCCTGTAGCATTTCCAGCAGAGCGGGTGCAATCCCGTAAGGGTGAATGTACCATGGAAGGAAGTTTCAAGAAAAAAAAATAATTTTCAGATGTTGCCTCATTCTGAGGTTGCCTTTATTGCAGTTTTTATTGAAGTCTGTCATTATGGGGCCTGAGTCACCTTTCCTATTTGTATGACAGCCAGAGAAAGGAGAATTCCAGTAAAATGAGAAAAAAAAAAAAACCCTTCTCAAGTCACTTTTCAGTCCTTTTCAGTATAATCTATTTGGTTACATGGAACTTTAGGCTGCACAAGCTGTTTAGCAGCTGGGTTTCTTTTTCTTATGGATTCACTTGCACCGAGCTTGAGATCCCTGTCAAAATGAGATGATGTTGATTTTTCCACCTCTGCTCTTGCAGTCAGCTGCACTTAATTTTTAAATAGCACTGATCATTCAGCAGCATTAGCTGCATTTATTTCATGACCCATTAGAGAAGTTCATTGGGACATACACAAATAATATTATAGAATCAGAGATGGGCTTGGGTTGGAAGGGAACTTAAAGATTTTCTTGATCTTTACCAGGTTGCTCCAAGCTCCATCCAACCTGGCCTTGGACACTTCCAGGGATGGGGAATCCACACCTTCCCTGAGCAAGAGAAAAGTATTTCTGAATAACAATCCTGCTGAATATTCATTTGGCAAAAAAACCAAACATCTTCAGATGTAACTGAATACTGATATAATAACTGTTTTCTGTTGCAGGGTGTCCCAGAGGATTTGTTGTTTTTTTATGAACATCTCAAGAAGGGTGGTGGAGTCTTTCGAGTGAACCATTGCCTCCTGCTCTACCGGTACCACCCCCAGGCTGTGACCCACTCTGTCCTAGAGTAAGCTGTGGTTTCTTGGAGAATTTAAAAGTTGGTTTTGTCTTGGATCATAGGCAGCAGAGATGGTGAAATTGTATTGGGGATTTCATTAGGGTTTTTAATATGTAATATAGAAGGGTTTCATTCTCATGGTTTTTGCCATATGAACCATAATGTAAAAGATATTTTTGAAATGTTACGGCTTAATTTCAAAATCAACTGCCTCGATATTAAAAAGTAAACAGAAACTTGTAATACCAACAAAAACACTCTTTTGAAAAAAAAAAAAAAAAAAGAACCAGACCAAAACCAAACCTTTAATCTGATAATGTGCTGTCTTTACATATATTATTTTCTTATTTTAAAGGGTCTAAACCACCAAAATCAGATAATGAGGTCTGAAAAATCCCTGAGGATGTTTAGGAATAATTATCTCAGGTGCTTCCTTGAAGGTGCCTTTGTTGCCTGTTGCCTTTCCTGGGCTGCTCAGCCCCTAAACAAGATATTAAATTGCTGATTCCTCTACATGCTGCAAGCTGAGCCAAAGCTGTTCCTTTCTCTCATGCACTGACATTAATAAAAAATTACATGGGCTGTGCTGTCCTTTAGGAATCCCATGCCACAATCACAGTGGTAATTAAGTAAACTGTTTTCTTACTGATTAATGATATAAGTACACTTTTCAGTCAGTCCTGGTTTTATGGCTTTGTAAAACTGAACGTTCCTGTGTACATTTTTGTTGTCCATCCCTGTATTGTATTGCTGTACATAGCAAAATTCATACATACATACAAAAATACATTGTAAAACAAATAAGTCCCATAGACAGCACACTCATGGTTAATGTCACTACAGATCTTTAGAAATACATATAAATGTGCTTATCTATATAAAATCATTTAACTATGAAAAGGTCATTCAAGCAAATAGTACATATGATTTTGATTTTGCAAACAACCATGAGATAAATTATTTTATCCATGTTGAAATGTAAGGATTTTTTTGGTTTTTTTTCTTTTTAGCTGTGTCATCCTTTTGGCAGTTAGTGACCAACTTTTCAGCCACACATTATGAGATGCTAAGAACTCTTGGAAGCCTTTTGCTTCTATCTGTGGGAAAGCATCTAATTCTTGGAAATTAATTTGTTTTGAATTTACTGCAAGCTGTTGCTTATTCAGATCTCCAAGGTTGTGTGGCACAAGCACCCTGAATTACAGCATCCTGGGGGAATGTGGAAATGCTGTGAGCTGTTTCAGATGTGCGGGGTGCGTGTCCAAATTGGCGCCTTTCTTGTCTCATTCTAAGAAATCAGAATCTGCTTTTCCTCTTGGCTTCCTGCTGGTACTACTGGGGATGATGTTTGGTGTGACTTTCCAAACACGAGGTTGTGCAACAGCTCTTTGGCCTGGCTCGTTCCCTTGTTTGTTGCCCAAGTTGGGAAGGGTTGCCCGGTGTTTGTGCCTGGAGACCGAAGTGCACGTTGAGCAAAAAGAGATTAATGGACTCATCTCAAAGGTTTAAGTTTATCATTTAAATTGGGTCTTCCCTAATTTTCCTCTTGGTCATTCCACACTTTATAATGCATATTCTGACTTTTCTAGCAGCCTTTTTCTTTATATAGTAAGTTTTGTTCAGAATTTTCTGGGGTGTTTTGCTTTTTGCCATTGGCCCAGGTCATCTTTTAATTTTGAGTTGCTTTAGATCTGGATTTGGAAGTAGTAGCTCACCATCCAAATTAATAACTTGTCTCAGATCAAAATGATGTTTCTAGTAAAGTTGATTTTTTTTTTAAACACTACATGCCTAGTTTCAGTCTTAAAAACCATAAAATGGTGTTTTTATGCAAAGGTGCATCATTCATTCTTTTCAGCAGTCACTTGTAGCCTGTGATGGTTTCAGTTTATGTGGGTGTCTTTCAGAGCCTTCTAGGGGGAAAGAAGCCTCATTGCATTTTCAGACCTCCTAAAATATATATAAAATTGCTTGGCAAGTGACATTTGGTTCTTTTATTTTTAGTTAGTATGTATAATTGTAAACACTCATGTGCTTTAGGTCACTTCCTATGGTTAGTATCCTTCTGGAACAAATATCTGGAGTTGAGAATATCTGTGAAGCAGGAAACTAAATCTTATTTGCATTCTCCCTTACCCTGGAGGCATCAGTCTGCATTATTAAATGTTTTGGGTGCGTGACAGAATCTGCATGAAGTTCAGTGTCTGTATTAGATTGCATTAGGTGCATGCAGAAATATGAATGTGCTCATTGTCATTTCATCCAAAGTCTGTGATGGATACCTACTGGATTTTGAGAAACTTCTCTTCAGCTAGGAATTCACAACACGAAATCCCACTTCTCATATCTCTTGGATCTAAATCATTTTATTTGGTGTTGTATCCTAGGGCTGTGTGTACTCAGTGCTGCACGGCCACATTAAATTGATGTGAGACCATATCAGAGTTGGCTTTCGAGTGAGGAATACTGGAGCAAGAAAGTCTAATGTGTAATAAAAACATTTTAAAATTCACAGATTTTTATCTTGCCAAAGGGGAGAGAAAGGAATTGTATATACAACAATACCTCACTGCAAGATGAAAGTGAGCTTGGAGTGAAGTGAGCAATAAAAAATTGCACTTGTCTTTAGGTAGTGCTGCTCATGAAGACAGGTGGTTGGGGCATGCAGCTAATCCTTGGAGCAGTTTACAGGTTTTTAGTCAAGGCAGATTTAATACATGTGGAAAATAAGGTTTTGCAGACCTTCTGTCTAAGATCCAGGCAATTCCCTTTTACACAGAAAAGGTGAAGTGCACCTTCAGTAATTTCAGATCCCCTGTGCTCAGAACAAGGATGATATTGCTTTGCAGAAATAAGCAGAATTACATAATCTATTGAAAACATCTGGCTTCAGGCTCTGGAAGCTTCCACTGTCATCTGAGTGAAGAGGAACAGGCATTAGAGTGAAACACACATTTGGCTGTTTCAGAGGTGCTCTGAGGCCAGGTCTCGGATCTGTGGCGAGCACAGGAATGCCTCCTTCATTTCCTGCACAAACACACACAGCCAAAAACAGGCAGGACAGGGGAGTAGCCTAACATACTCCTGTAGAGCTGAAATTAAGATGAGGTCAACTTCATTTTTATCTTCTGCGCTTGCATTTGGCACTTCCATTAAACATGGAAACTAATGACCTCATTAGATTCTTGAGAAGTAAATGCCATTAACATTGATAGTCTCTGTCTCTCTTAATAAGCCTTTCATGAAAAATAGGCCACAATGCAAACCATGCCTCAGCTAATGACCCATGACCTGAAGATGAACTCAGACATTAATAGAACCTATTAACAGTATAAATGTAATAACTCAGTGGGACGATATAGTCCAGCAATTAATAAGTTCACACGAAGTTCAACAGAACAACAACAGTGAAAAAAATCCGTTTATTCACCAGTATGGCCAAGGTTCAAACACAATTTATTTCTGAATTTCCTGTGGATGGTAAGGGCCTTGAATTCTGCATGCAACCCTGGCTGTAAGGGATCTGTTTTTTCAGCTCTCACTGTGATGACGAAGTTCTCTGTTCCTCAATCTCTGGTTTATGGATTAGGTGGGGTTCACCTATCATACAGAACTCTCTTACCCTGCCATCAATAAAAAAGGCCCTGGAAGAGGCCGTTCACTTGAGCAGCTCCTCTTCCTGCCTGGTGTTACCTGAGCACTGTGCAGGGCCAGCACAGGGAGAAAAGGTCAGATTTATGGATCTATAGTATTTCTGTGCATGGCAATCGATGCCTCAAATTCCAGTACTGTTCAGGATGTTGGGCTTGTATTTCTGCATTGCTCAAGTACTTGTACATCTGTCTTTGCTCTGTGGATTCACTTATGTGGCCTCACTGGGGGAAGGAGGGGAAAGGCAGTGCAACAATATGGCGAGGTTTGACTGAGCTCAGACATTAAATCATGTTGCTTTTATTGTCACATTATCTTTCATTTCAAAATAGGAGTAGAGCAGATGTTTCTTGACTCCTGTATTCAGTCAGTAGGTCACCACACATTTTTAACAGAGCTCCATTGTTGCATTACTTGGGTGGATGGTCTGCTAATAACTACTTGGGGCTGAGGAACACACGGCGTAGTCATTCTCACCCTCTGCATGAATACCCTCGTTTCACTCCTGCAGAATTTTGGCTCCTCTTCTTCCTCCCAGGCTCCATAACTGCTGAGCACTGAGGGGCCATGGCAAGTGACATCTTAGGAAAATCATGTAAGCCTCAAAAATGACATTTCAAGTGGAAATACTTTTAACGTTTCTTTTACAAAGTTGTGACAACAAAATGAAAGCAACGGGGGAAATAATATATTTCAAGACTTAGGGTCAAGAAAGAGTTTTGGATGTGGGAATAAATTTGTACAGTGAGAAGAATTTTGTCCCAACTTCTGGCTGAGGAAAATCTTGTGACCTGAACACAGGCTTGGACATGGTACTAAAGGCTGCTGCAAATTGCTTACTCTCATCTTTTCTGAGATGGGTAGGAAAAGCTGTATTGATTTGGGGGGATGCAGAATAATAACACCTCCTAGGTTTTGCTGGTGGCTGTGAATATGTAATAACTCATAATCTGAAAATAGCTGTGAGAATCATCTCGGAGCAGTGGTTTGTACAACTTCTAGATCGTTTCAGGCATTTTCTTTAATTACCCTTTGCATGTTGCTACAGCTCCTGTCTGGTGCACCTGCACTGGCTCGTGAAGGATGGGAAAATGGCATTCCCTTATCCCTCGAGGCAGAAATCCCAGTTATCTGTTCTGGAAACATCAAAAAATGTGGCAAATTAGGTGAAGCGGAAACCTGAAGGGAATAACCGAAACTCTCTCCTCTGACACCTGTAAGCTCCCTTTTGCCTCAGCGTGTGGGATTGTTTGTGCAGAGTGAGTTCTCACAAAGATGAAGCCTTGTGAGTGCCACTCTAAAAGCTCAGTCACAAATTCTCCCCTCAGTTCTGTGTTTATCTGATAGCTTGCACTGTTAAAAGTATTTCAGGGTTAACTCAAGACTTCAAAGTGTTCAATATAACTTAATTTTTTCACTGAAAACACACAATATAGAGGTGTGAGCTTCAAATGCTTTTCTGTGGGCATTGTCATATGAATGCCCCATAGTGATGCAAGCAAAAAAATCCCAACTGCTGGCTATATTGGCTTTGTTTTTACAACCCACAGTACACATATAAGAAAGTTTTTTATTGCTGTTAAATGAAGCTGTCTGACAATATTCTTGTGGTTGAACAACAGCCCAATTAATTTGGAGTTTAATACCTTTTATTTCGGAGTGCAGTTCTCTTGCAAGCTTTCCCCACTTGGATTTCCAGTATAACATTGATAGCTGAGATGTCAGTAAATCTGCTTCAGTCTGAAATCTTCACAAGTGCTTAACACTGAGATTTGCTCTGATTGAATTTTACCTCAGCAGGGACTCCTGTGCCACTGAGGCTCTCATGGCCTAGACAGCAACCAGGAACTGTCTGAAAGAGCCTGGACATCAATCTCCATGAAAATAAAAACATCTTTTATAAGCCTGGGGGCAGATGGCAGTGTTTGCACCACACCTAGAAATTAAGTAGAAGTTCTTTTCATACCTTGTAAGGCTGCCTGGTTTTTTACTTTAGCTTTCTTAATATTGCAAACTCAAGTGGAAAAGAAACTTGCCAGTGTCACTCAAGCCAACAGAACAGATTCTGAAGTTCCTTTGGAATGTAATACAGTGTTATCCTTCTGAAGTCACATTTCAAAGGAAAATCACTTTTAAAGCCTTTCCATTTATGTGCAAAGCAATAATCTTCCTTTTTAGAAGAGCGCAGAAGCTCTAAAATGTCTAGTAAAGTGATCCTGCTAAAATACTTGACCTTCATATTTTGCTCCTTAAGCTTCTCTTCTGGGAATACAGTATGCTGTCATGAACATGGAAAAAGGCAAGTGTCAAAGGATGCCAGCAGCAGTTAAAACTTTGCAGCAGGAATGCATCTTGTGGTTGCTTTAGAAGAGATTTTTGATCAAATCCAATAATTTCTTTTCCTCCATTAGTTGAAATGCTGGTGCAGAGCCATGATCCTTGAAAGTGTGTGGAAATTTTATTTGTGCACGAGGTTTTTCCAAGTTATCACACATTCAGTGATGAAGTGCTGAGCAGGATCTGGCTGTGCTGAAGGGAAGGGGAAGTCACTGGGTCCTGTGAGGGCTGTGTGGTCTTCAGAACATAACTTGGGGCTGTGAAAGAATGATGCAAATAAGCAAATGGAAATCCCCATTTGGATTGCTTTAAATAAGGAGACACCATGAGGGGTTCATCAGAATTTCCTGGGAAAGAAGGTTACAGCTCAAGGTGCTTTAGTCAATAGATGTAGGTTAGAGAGACTCATTTGTCAAATTGAGAAAAATCAATTTATTCTCTCTTACAATTAATAATTCTGAGGTGGGTTCCTCATTAATGAATATTAAATGAATGCTGGAAACAAAGCATATGTTTCTAACAGCAGGCAGTTTTCTGTAATCCAAGATAAATGTTGTACTCTTAAATATTACATTACAGGGTAGGGCACACACACTCAAACATGAAAAAAGCTGTAGTTGTCCAAGTGGATTTGCCAGTTGGGAGAAATGAACAAACTGCTTTCCTTGACATTGTTTTCTCTTTCTGAGAACCTGTCTTGAACTTGTTGAAGACATCAGCAGATCTTCAGTATCTAAGGCTGTTGGATGGGCCCTTGCTGTAGATGGTCCCAGAGCTGTGGGATTTGTCATTTGGTATTAGTGTCACCCTTGTTTACCTCAGCCACCTGGCTTAATTATGCTGTGGAAGTTACCCCGAAGATGAGGACTTAAAGGTGTAATTGCACACAGACCTCTGCCAGTTTGCTTTTTTCCTAAAGCATGTTTTAAAAAGTTCTATGAGGCATACTGTGTTTTAGAAGGAAAAAATAAACCCCACTGCTTTTTATTCCTAGAAATGCAGTTTCTTACGAAAGTTGCCTTCAAATGAAGGGACAGTCACATTTGTGTCATTGCTGAATAACAAGTGGGAACTTTTACAGTTAAATCTGTCTTATTTGGTGTGAAATGTGTGTGTGTGTGTGCAGGCTGGGCAGTGTGAATGCTGTGCCAGGGGGGTTTGGGTGGGACTGGGCAGCTCTGGGGTTGTTGCTGGAGGGAGTCACTGATGCAGAGCTTTGTCACTGCTGTCCTGGAGGCTCGAGCCAAGTACCACACTGGAAATACATTTGTGCTCTGGGGCTGGGGGCAAGCTGGACTTCTAAATCTGTGAGATTCCAACTCCACATCAGCCAGGGAGAATGGTCCCATGGGCAGATGGAACAGGAGGAGCTCAGCTTGGGTTTAGGAGATGCTTTGCCTGTGTCACTGCAGGGTTCTAGAGCAGCTCACAGGTGAGTAAAGGTGTGGGAAAGGTTGAATTTCATTACCACAGCTGCAGCTTTTCATATTCTTGTGATCTGGGAGGGTTCTTGAAAATACAAGTTGTTTAGCTACTGCTTCCTATCTATCTGAATGGTTTTTGTCTGAGAACTTCCACAGAATTTCTTCTCTACATTTCCCTCAGAAATTTCCAGTCTAATGTTTTGATGGGATTTTTTTTTGTATTACATGAATCACTTTGGTCAGGTTTACATGTAGGTGAGTGTGGACATGTGTATATAGGTCTATAATAATGCTAAGTGTTTTGGGGGTCAAAATCTGCCTTTTTTCCAACTCTCCAGGGGAACCATCTGGAATCACCGAGTCAGGTTTCTTGAGGACAGAGTCCTGAGCTCCTGGACATCATTCACCATTTGGAATGCTGGCAAGCAAGGCAAGAAGCTCTACAGAAGCTTGTCACCAGCAAATCAGAAAAAGGTGACCTGGAAAGTAACATTTGTACAAACCCACTTCTTCCTTCATATTCCCCCATGATGCTTCTCATCTAACACAGCAAAATTCTCCTAAGATATTTTGTCCCCAGGTTGATAATTAATATAAACTGGGGCAATTCTCAATATTCGGTGTGATTAATTTCTTCTTTTAAAATGCCATGATATTTTATTTAGAGCTTTGGTGGGCATGGAAAGCAAGAAATGCACCATGTTTCTGCTAAGCACAGCAGAGACACAGCTGTAGTAGGCAGGTACTCAGGGTGAGTAGAGCAACCCTTTATTTGGGTTGTATGGTACTGAACTGCCTTATCCAGGGTCATCCATACCTGTGTAATATTTGCCCAGTTCCAAAGTGGATACTGGACACATCCCTGGTCACTGTGACTCCCTTTGAAAGCTTGATTGCCAAAAACAAGGGTTTGGTGTGGGCTGAAAGGGTGAGTAGAAGCTGCTGGATGTGGCTGTCCCATTCACAATCAGCTGAAAATGCTTGTATTTGGCAGTGGCAGATATTTCTCAGGATAGATTTGTCCAAGAGTCTAAATACCTTATTTTAATAGCATTTTCTTGTGTGCAATAACTTTGTGTTAGATAAAGACTGTAGGGCTAATGTCAAATGGCTGTTTCGTATAAAGAGCCACAGAACATTCATTTTATTGCTGCATGTGTTTTTCTTTTCTTAAGAATATGGATGGGAAGACAAAATGACAAATACATATAAAAACCTGATTAATGTTGTGGCCCTCAGACCACACACATCTAAAAACATAGAAGACATTTGTGTACACATAGTTAGAATTACTGAATAGGCATGGGAGACTCTGAGGCAGTAAAGGTACAGAGCAAAAACTGAACTGAATTTCCTGCTTGATACTCCAGTGCCATTCCAGTGCCATCCCTCAGTCATTGCCATCACGTGGCTGTGGGTGAGCTGTCTGAAAAGATATGAAATGCTATGAATCAGTTACTTTGTTCAGAGAGGACAGCCCTGTCCATTAAATATGATTTTATCTTGGTCATGCAGTGCAGTGTGTACAAGATTTTGGGGGGTTTATGGAAATATTCTCTTTCCTTGCTGCTTGCTGAGCTCCTTTGGAATTTCATTGACTGGCTGTGGCCACTGGGCTGACACTCAGCAACCACTGTGCCTCTCTGTCCTTAAAATTAGGAAAATTAGACAATTAATTCCAAGGGAAGGGATGGCAGCTTGTCTGGTAGATTTTTGAGATGTTACAGAAAAAAATAGACCATGTTGGTTTTGTAGTGCTGTCTCACCATCTCAGGTGCTGGGATTTTGTTTGGTTTGGTTTTCTGGCTGTTTTTTTGTACGAAGCCAAAATGGAAATTGGTGCTAAGACAGAGCCTCAGGCTTTAGGTACATCTGCCACCTCCACTCCTGTTCAACACAGAGTGACAACTTAAAGATGTCACAGCAGAAGGGATACAAAAGGCAAGAGGAAACCAATATTGTTGGGGATTTGCCACTTTCCTGCCCAAGACCTCAAGCCCAGCTCCTTTCCTGGGGAATGAGCTCCATGCCCTGCTGACCTTCCCAGAACATTTGCTTTGGCACTGCTCAGCCTGGGACACTGTTCTGCTTCTGTCAAGGTTACACTTGCACATATTCCAGCATGGTTTGGTTGGATATAGAAATTCTGCACTGAGCATTAACCCCTGAGTCACTGGGTTCAGCAAACCCACTGCCAGATGCAGTTGCACGAGCCAAGTGTGGCTCAGTTTGCACAGGTACTGCAAAATAATACAAGCTGTATGTGGTAGGTTTTTTGGGGGGGATTTTACTGCAGAAAACTGCTGTAAAATGCAGGCACAGTGATCCTTAACACCTTGTACAGAATAATCAAAACATCCCCTCAGTCTGTTGTGTTGTCTGAAGTATTCAGGGGCCTTCTCAGAAACAAAGATAAATCGCTTCAGAAAAGGACTTGTGTCATCCTAGGTGAGAGTAGAGGCTTTTGGATGGTTGATTTCTGATTAAATCAGTGTTCTCTGTAGTAATTAAAGCACTAGTTTTATTTATCTGTTCAGAATTATGATTGGCACTGTAACTTCCTAGCTTTTCCAAAAGTGAGATCCCAAATCTATCCATCTCAGCCAGAATTGAAACTTAAATGTTGTCCTAGTGTTTCGTATCAGTCACTGGCACAGGGCTCTAGAAATAGGGAAAACATCTCACTACTCCAGGAGCTATTCAAAGAATTATGCTGCTGGAGTTTCAGAAAATAAATTAATATAATTTGCAGTAGGTAATTCATGGCAGTTTTCATTTTATTCCAAATGGATAACAGTAAAAGGCCAGTAGAGAAACTCCACATTATACTTTTCCTCAAAAATCCTTCAGGTATTTTGTGACTAATCTCTTTCCAAAGACTTTAAAATCCCATATGAAGAAAGGTTGTAAATAGTTATTCCTTCATCCTTTCCAGTCCTGAAAACAATAAAATGCTTTTCCTGTCTCACCCTTTACAACCAACTTAACAAGATTTAAGCTTTCATATATTCTGTTAATTATGAGAACACCAGAGATTTCGTATCAGTTTGAATCTGCAAGTGGCATCTCTGAATGAAGACCCTGAAATATGAATTCATCAATTATGCAAATCACCTTTAAAACATAAATTCAAAAGCCCCTTAGGGTAAAAGATGATGTATTACCTCCATATAATTACCATTTTCTCCTCTTGAAGGTCCAGTTGTGTAAAACAGTGTGATTTTAAAAAGTCCAATACCTTTGGAAGTGCAGGTGAGATTGCCAAAGTTAGCTGTATAATTTAACTAAGATTGAACTAAAGATATATATGCTTTATTTATTAATTTATGATGACAATTATATTCTATATATTATATCATTATTACATTATATATAATAATCACGATGACAATTATAGTTTATCTATAGATATAAAAATCTCTTAAAGTATAAAACCAACTAAAATTAAGTTTAGACAGAATATAGCTGTCTAAACTTAGTTTCAGTTGGTTTTATACTTTAAGTCAGTTTAGGCTTCTGAAAATTTCAGCTATGCTCTGTTTGACTTTTATTGAGATGCAGAATTTCATCAGATGTCCTGACTGACTTTGGCTGGACTGTGGACTCACTGCAGGTTTGTTTTCTCAACTGGCACCAAGTACCTGTAGAAAATTTGGGACACATACTCCTAGGATAAATAATAACCCCCCCAAAAAAACCTATCACATACAGCTTGTATTATTTTATAATTTTGAGAAAAACCTGGCCTCTGCTAAATCCTCAGGAAGTAAATTAAATACTTTGAACTGTCAGGCTTAGGGTGTGTAAGAAAACATCTTTTTCAAAGAAAAGAATGTCTCTAGTATTTTTAGAACCTGGTAAACAAAGCAATTGCATTTCTTATGCTGATGGGGTCTTTGTGGGATGTTTGAAAAGCCCAGCTCTGCTCTGTGCCAAAGAGCTTTGTTTCTTAGAAAACAAAATTCAGGCAATTCCAGGAAGCAGCAGTCTGTCTGTGTTCATACTCACTAACAAATGATTACTTTAGTTTGTTTGGAAAACGGTGTGAATGTGAATTATGGTTATAGTAAAAGAGAAAAGGACACCTCAGCAATTCTCCCTTTTCCCTCAGCCATCTGTAGGTGAATATTAAAATGATGCTTTGTCTCCAAAGGAGTCAGGCAAAAATCCAAGGCTCAGTATTTTTGCTAAACAGCAACACATGAAAAAAAATATTCCACTAGTAGATTTTTTTATGAATTAATTACCATGATCTCAGTATTCTAAGGGAAATTCTGCTTCCTGGCTGTCCCCTTCTTGAGTCACACTGCTGACAGTGGTTCAGTATTAGCATTTCTGCAAGAATGAAGTCAAACAGACCTTTTTTTGTTTAAAACACATCCGTTGTGTCTATAATTTGCAGCTGAAGATGGAAACCAAATGTTTTTGGGATGCTCCATGTGCCTGGAGGGTTTCTGAGCTGTCTTGTCTGCTCTTTTATTCTCCATCAAACTTTAGCTAAAAGAAGAACTTAAGCATTAACATTTTGTGTCATTTCCGATGGCTGAAAATAGCGTTCCAGTGGCTCACGGAGAAGCAGGGGGAAGGACCAAATAATCATCAGCTCATCAGTGGGCTGGGAACAGTGCTTGTACACAGCCAGGCCATGCCATTCCTCTGTCACAACCCTGTCTGCTGGTGGCAAACAGAAAAAGTAGTTTGAAGGCCCTTTTCCCATTTCCAAAATCATCCACGGGTTTCCCTTTGCCTTTTTCCAAGAGCAGCATCACCAAATTTTATGTTGCAGCTCTGGGCCTTCAGCTCATTCCCACAGCCAAGGAGAGCTCAAGTTTTGTAGCATTTTAACCATTCTAAAAGTGTGTGAGTGGCACCGTCAGAGCCTGGAGTGGGGACATGAAACATGAATAAAGGGGAGAATATTACACCCACCTCGACAGTGGAATGGCAGTGTGAAAGGAAGTTTAACTTTAAGGAAGTTAAATAGTTATCTATTTAAACTTGCATTGTAATGCTCTCAGTTACTATGTTTTGACATGAATGGCCAAAATTGATTTTGCTTTTGCAGAGATATATATTAACATGCTCCCAAGGCTTTCTACAAGCTTCAATGAAAGAATTATAAATAGGAGAATTAAAGAGGGTTCACTAGAAGTTTAAAACAGATGGGGATGTGGAGGGAATGCAGCAGGGAAGATCTGCTCAGTAAGATTTTGTGGGGTTTGCAGGTTGTCTCTTTGAAGGTGACTCTGAGAAAACCAGCTGATGTTATGAGGAGGGAGAAGTCACAGTGTGCAGGTGACCATTTATTGAAAGGGTTTTCCAGTTTTCTGTCAGATTCTACTCAATTATTGACTCTCCCATGTGAAACTTGCCTCTCGTGTCCTTCCAGCTCAAAGGGACCTTGAGAATGTGCTGATTACAGGTTGTTGCTTTCTGTAAAATGGCTGTTACAGACCCAAAGCAAACCACAGGTGAAAAGAAGATAGGGGAATAAAATCCTGTGAAAACCATTCACCATAAAAGGACATCATTAAGCTGATGAAATATTTCAGATTTTCCATTATGAAATCTGAGTGGACTGGGAAGTGTGAGGAAACATTCTCTGCAGCAGCCAAGCAGTCACACAGGAAACAAACAATTAAATTGTTGTGTAATCACAGCAGAGCTCAAACAGGCAGGTAGTCCCAGCTGCACCCCAAGGCACTCTTCTGTCATTCCTGGTCCTTCCTTCCCAGGTTGGGCACTGGAGAAGGATCTGCTGCCCATTAATCCCCTTTTCCCCAGGGAGGTCTGATAGCCCCAGCCTGGCCCTGCAGAGCCCCTGTGTTTATTAGGAAGAGCCAGCCAGAGAAGGGCTTTTATCTTCCTCAAAAGTGTCTTCCCCTAGCAGAGGTTGTTTCTGAGTAAATCTCTTATCTTTCAAGCTATGTAAACTTTCTCTTAAGAGGGAGAAGGCGATTTCTCCTTTTCCCCTTACACCACTGTTAATGGAAGTTGCAATTCATATTTATAAAAATGACTTACAGTAGTTCCACAGCTTGCCTCTAGCAGATACCCAGCTGTCTCCCCCAGTTCTGAGCTGAGAGAATTAGCAGTGTTCATTCCTTTGGCAATTTTGTAATTGTGCAGATTTTTATACAAGTGATGTTCAGAACAAAAACATGTAATAATTCATATATTTTAGTAACATTGAAGTGTGATCTGAGGACTCAGAGATACTGTCAGAGGTATTGCCAAAGAGTAATTTTGCTAAAGGGGGGGGGAAGTAAATTGAGACTCCTTCATGGCTTTATAAATTGATGGTTTCTCACAGGGAGGCAGGAGTTCATGTGTGGATAGATGTTCTTCATAAAAGCTACAAGAAAGAAGCCCATTAATGCAGGAAAATAAATAGGTGTCTCTGGGTTTATCCTGATAGTGTATAAAGTAAACAACTCCCATAAGCCTGATGCCCTGACTTCTCCTTACAGGATAAACAACTGTGCCTAAGTCCTGTATTTAGACTCCAAACATAGCTTTGCTTTAATTGGAAAATAAATAGTTTGTGTCAGAAAAATAGTTGACTTCCATTTTGGCCACCCACATGGTGTGCAGCCTGCAGAAAAATCACCCATTCAAGTCTGACCTGTTTTATACTACTATAAATACCAGATCTAAGCTGCCTGAATCACTGAGAATTACACAGGGAAATACCTCAGTGATAACAAAAATGGGTTTGAGTTCTTTCCATCTTCCAAAGGAAATCTGTCACAGACTCACCTGTGATATTTTTTTCACAGAGGGGTTTTGTGTGGGGGTGTTCTGAGGAAAAGGACAGAGTTTTCTACCCCCAGAAATTGAAGTGATGGCCCAGGGTGAGAGAGAGGGTTAGAATTAATGGCAATTTAGTGATACAAGAAGTGGCTTTGGAGAGAGACTGTTTACAGGGGGATGCAGTGACAGGACAAGGAGAAAGGGTTTTAAACTGACTGAGATTGGATATTAGGAAGAAATTGATTCATGCTGAGAAGTTCAGGCACCAGTCAGGGGTTTCTGTTAACTGGGTTAAAACACACTGAGGGTGAACAGTTTTTTCGGGGTTTTTTTTTTTTTTTGAGACTTTCTAACACAGATCTTGCAGCTCAATTCTCAGTTACTGACAGAAAAGTATAAATAGAATTTCCTTGTGTCATAGGTTTTGGTTGTTTATTTTTGGTTTTATTATCTATAAGAGCATAAGCAGCTCCAAAAATAGCTTCATTTATTGGACAGTAAGTCAACATATTGAACTGTATTTGTTCCTAGAACTCTGTTGGGCTGACACTGAAGGCACATCCTGCTAAATACTGTTTATTATGATCACAGCTTCTAGGACAGTAAAACACAAGTGGCAGAACTGAGATTTGCTGAATACTGGAGAATTTTAAAGGTGGTTAGCACAGAATGAAGAGAATACAGCCAGGGAACTTCTCTTCCCATAGTGACTTCATCTGCTCACATATTTATAGATCTGTGTGTGAACACGTCCACACCATCTGATTTTCCAGCTACAACAAAGCATTGCATTGGGCATGGAAATAGGGCCAGGGATGAAAAGAGTATTAATCTGTGAAAGAGCTGTTTGTGTGTGCTAATGTAAGCCAGCTGCACCAGCCACAAACACCTTGTACAATGTCCAGCACCTTCCTGAATTCCCTCCTTCCTTTCCATTTCCATTCCAGTGCTGACACAGGGTTAAAGTCAGTGCAATCTCTGCATCAATCACCCAGAGCAAATTCTGGATGTGCCCATGATGTGATTCCTCACTCACACAGCCCCAGCGTGGAAATTGTGTGTTTCCTTAAGGCTCTGTTCTTCCTTTGGTGCCTGTTTTTCAGCAACCTCTTCTCCAGGTCTCAGGTCTCTGAGGGGTTCCAAGGACTGGCCCTGTCCACCCCTCCAGTTTCTCAGCCCATTTTCCTCATTGCTTGGGACACTGGTGCTTTGCAGCCTTATTTGCAGTCCCTTGATGCTTTTGTTTGCATTCTCTTGCCATTGATGTTTTTAATGAAGGAAGTGATATTATGGTATTAGAAAAACAGTGTTTCCCTCTACACAAACAGAATGAGGTCACTTTAGGTAAAAGATAACCATTTTAATCACAGGAAGAAAATGTGTGAGAGAGATTTTAGACATGGAAAGCTAGCCAGCTTTTTCAGCCTTCTCTAACTTAATAAATTAATAAACAGCTGTTTGGCTTTTCAGATTTTCTCAGCAGTAAGTGTTGTTAATCAATTTTTAATGGAGCAATTAAAAAGATATGAAAGCTGCTATCCAGCTTTCACCAGAATAATTGATTTCTGTATGACCTTAACTATCTCAAGTGTTCTGCTTCAGCATAAGAGCTCAATATAGATAATATGAATAGATCCAATGGAAGTCAAAGGAAAACATAGCCATGTTTATTTTAAAAAAATCTTGCAAGATGTTCCTGGCAACCTAGTGGCTCAAAAATAAAGCCACTGTGTATTTTAGATGGCAGGCATTTATTCTGCCTGCATATTTATGAGGAATGCAAATAAAAACCCATCTGAAATATCTGGCACCTAGGGCTGCAAATAATGCTTTCATAACTCTAGTAAGAATAAGCAAAGCAAAGCAGTAATTATTTGTGTTTAAACATCAGATCTGCTGAACTTTTCAGTTGAAAAATTCAAGTCCATAAACCACAGGAATTCCCAAATTTGGTGTGCTGTGCCCTGGAACTGAAGCTGCTATTGCAGAGCACCCAAAGCAGTGGTGCAGCACCACGGTCCTGAGGTGTCTGGGGGTGCAGTCCATGCTTGGGGTGGACAGAGGTTTTTATTCCATCTCATCTTGGGTTTTAGTGGAAGTGCCAAAACGAGGAGATGGTCTCTGGTTGAGTTTACTCCCTGAGGATGGGGTTGGTGGTGCTCCCTTTGCAGTCAGTGACTTAGATCAGAGTGTGCTCATAGACAACTGCAGAATTTTCCCAACTCCTTAAGATACACAAAGGATTTAAGATCTTAAGATACAGAAAGGATTTAATAAGGGTTTAAGCTCCAAAGGAGGCCCAGGGTGCTCTACCCCATTCCTGTGTCCATTCCCATGCCTGCAGCTCTGCTCACAGATACATTTCAGGTGAAATGCTGCTATTGAAACATTCTGCTTCTCTTTACCAGGTAACTGCATTTTGTGATGTCGATGAAAAGAAAATAACAAAAGGATTCTACACTTATGAGGAATCTGAGGTGAGTTATAACCATTGCATTCTTTATTGTGATCTAGAAGTGTCCTGGGGAATGTGATGAAGGAATTTGTCACTGATCTTGTATGTTGTGTAGCAGCTCATTTTGGTAAAGAGGCTGTGACAGAAGATTGGAGGGCTGGGAATGGACACTGGAATGCAAACTGGAGCCAGGGCTGTCAGCTTCACACTCAGTCAAGTCAGTTTAGAAAGACAAAAATACTTATTCTGAAAGGATTCTGATGATGGGGTGAAAGTCTTCACTGACAGGTTTGTCTTCTGAATGGGAGTAGAATTTAGTTTATGATGGATAATGGGAAAGGAACCCTCAAAATTAAAAGTTTTCCAGCAAGTTATCTTGTGAATCAAATTACCCTTAGTTTGCCAGGGGTAAGGTATCTGGGAAGGAGGGACAGGAGGGCCCCTCCTCAGGCACAGTTTGTGCTTAGCCTGGAGTAGCTGTTCAGTTCTCTGCTGGGAAAACATGAACTGCTTTGAGCTGCTGGAAGCAACTGGGAGTCAGCATTTCACTGCCCAGCAGTTCAGTAACATTGTCAGTATGACTGACAGACCCTGGGCTTTCATCTTCCTAGAACAAACCCATTTTCTCAGATCAGCTGTAAAGAAGATTGTCCTGCAACTGTTGTGAATCCTTAGAAAATCCTGCAGCATGGCTCCATGGTGAAGTCCCAGTCCTCCTCTGTCTCTGCTCTTGTGCCTGCTCTGAGGGCACAGTCTGAGCTCATGAAAATGGCAAAAAATTAACCAAAAAAAGAAGGAACATTGTTTGTTACGGGACGGGCTATTGAAGCTGCATACCTTGCTATCAGATCACAGAGGGAATTGTTTGGGAAAGGGCTGGAAGTGGAGTTTGGAGGTGAGGAGGAAGCAGTGGAGCAGTAAGAGCTGCTCCTCTCTGCAGCAGGAAGCTCCAAACTCAGATCTGGTGTCACTTCACACAATTGCACTGAAATGTGATGGGCACTGAAACAACACACAGAGAATGAGCAGGGTCTCTTTAGCATCATGGTTCAACATACTTTTTTTCCCTTTTAGAGTTTAGCAGCTCCTAAAACCAAGCTAGCAAGTAAACTGAATTCTTCTGTACCCCTTCTTCCTGCAGGAGAGACCAAAACCCAAAATTCCAGTGTGTCACTTCAGGGACGCGACTCCGCCCTTTGTGATCTGTGTGAAGCTGGTGAGTTCCACCTTTGGCTTCATGAGCTGCACTTGCTCCTTAGGAAAATGAGTTTCTATGTACTGTAAGTGGCTTTTCTCAGAAGCTTTTGCTCTACAGTTGAATGGCTTTTTTTTTATCAAACTGATTGCACAAGGTATTTTGGGATTTAAATCAGTATTGGGTAAAATTAAGAATAAGAAAAGGGAGAGCTTCTGTGAAGGAGCTGAATCTGTTGAACTTCCTTGCCCAATACCAAATATACCCCAATGAGCACATGCACTCAGCCTCCTTTGGGCCAAGTATTTTGCAGCCCCATGTATGGCAAAGGCTTTCTTTTAAATCAGACCTTAAAAGCCATTTTGTTTGGCCCTGCCAGTTCTGAAGCACCTTCTGTATCTGACTGTGGTAACTTAATTCAACTGGTTTAATTGCCCTGATAATATAATTAGAAGATGATAACCAGCAGTTCTGCTGCTGCTATAACAAGAAGCTTTAAAATAGCAAATACAAATTGCAGTGGTGAGCACCAATAAAAACCCCTCTGACAGCAACTAAAACTTGCAGCTCCACACAACACTGACATCCTAAGGCTGTGCTGGATCTCTTCTCCTCTGAACCTCCTCTCCTCTGCTCCAGCCTGCTTTTAACTTGGCACTCCCAGCCTCATCATCAACTCAGCTCTAACTCAGGGTTGTAAAGCCAGCCTGAGAGTGCCTCAGGGCTTTGTTGTGTACTGTTGGTTGATAAACTCTTGGATCAGCAAGTACTATGACAACTAATTTAATTTTTCATACTGCATATAACAGTGGGTGGAAGTCCCCAGACAAAACATCTGTGCAACCTGTTCTAAAGCACATTTAATCTGTGAAGCCCTTACAATGAGACTATTATACAACATCTTGTCTGCAAACCCTGGTCTCTGACTTCAGTTGGGATTTCAGTCCATTTTTCTTTTCATGGCCACTGAGCATTTTCTGCTTGCTTATTCTTTACCATCCAAAGTTCATCACCATTTTCTGAAGAAGGAAATGTGCTTTAAAGGGCTTTATTGGCTTTTATTTTGCTGTTTGTGGTAGGGGATTATTTTTCCTTTTGATACAGACAAAACCTGCATGTTTCTATGCAGCTCTAAGAGGGTGATTTTGGGGATTAGATGTGTTTATTAAGTGGGTTGTTTACAAGAAGTGACTCTGTTGGCCAAGTACTTGGAGCAGCTTGGGCTCATTTAATTTTTTAGGCAGTTCCTCCCTTGTGATCACTGGTGTGGTTTTGGTACCAGAGCAAATCCTTCTGGAAGAAGCAGGCATCCTCTGATCTTTGCTCAGTTTGCATTTTATAGTGGCTTCACAGACAGCTGGAGCTGGAATTCTGCTCTGTGTGTGTGTGTTTTTGCTGAAGAGAATGGAAGTGTGGCTTTAGCTGGTCAGAGCACTTCACCCAAGGGTTTGTGCTCCCTGTTTGCTCTCACTTGGAGGTAAAAACAAACTTAAAAATGCTGCATTGATTCCTGGCTTGGCTTGGATTCCAGTGGCTGGAAATGAAAGGGATTTTTATTTTTCTGTCATAGTAATTGAACTAGTTTGTTTGTATAAAGTTTTCAGAAAATTGGTGGTTAGATCTCTTATTGTACAGCCCTGCCTGGTTTGTCCTGTGCTCTGGGAATGAAAGATTCGTCTTCAACTCTGCCACTTTTTTAGCATCTGGTCTCTTATGTATTTTTTTGACCCCTCTATAAAGCAGGTTATTTTTCCCAACTCCTTCAATTCCAGTTTCATTGGGACTCCATTTCTGTAACCTCCCATCCTAAACATTCACAGTTAAAACATCACCCTTGCTGTGCTGGGCCAACCACACAAACACAAGCAACTGCTTCATCCCCCACCTGTGGTGTTGTCATCATTAATTTTTGGGGGTTTCTTGGTGCCATTCTTTAAGATCAGTAATTAAGGATTCCAGGAAGACCCCAGTGCTCAGGAATGCTGAAGTTTCCCTGTTATCCTAATGATACCACTGAGGTTGCTCATGGACCAAATGCACCCTGTTCCTGTCCTGATAACTCAACTGGGGCCCAGAGCAAACACCTTTAACTCTGCAGAGTATTTCACCTGCTTGATGAAGGGCTTGTTTTATCAGACAACTTAATCAGTGCTCAAAATCCACCCAAAGCACTTGTCCAGCTCACTCCCTTGGTCCATTTTCTGCCCATGTCTGGGTTAGCAAACACAGGAGCAGAGCTGGGCTGAGCAGCCCTTTTGAGGAGTTGTCTGATAGTCTCCCCACACTAAATTTGAACTTTTCAACATACCCTGAATTTTTGAGTAGAAACTTTCCTGAGCCTCGGTTTATTTGTTTAGTTCTGCAAATGGAACTTCTTTTCTGTGGTCTAAAGAATCAGTAGCCCAACCTGAAATGAGTTTGATCTCATTTTCTTGTTCTTTCCTCACAGGACTTGACAGGTGGAGCCTTTGAAACAAACCTGGACACGCTGAACCTGAAGGAAGGGGTTGATTATTATCACTTTAACTAAACCAAGGTGAGGCAGTGCTACTGAAGTGTGCAGCTCTCTGTGTTTCTGGGTGCAGGAAGACCAAATTCTTCAGGGATTTAGAACATTTGAGTCATTTGTGCTTTGTTAATTTAATCTTTGGGCTGAGTAACCCCTTTGTAAGGGAGGTCACAGTTACACCTGGGTAATGCTGTGTGCTCAGTTTTACAGTTGCACATCACTCAGTTAGAGTGGGAAATTTTGTTTCTAGTTTTGTTTCTAATTTTAACACCCACCAAGCACAGGCCATTATTGGGTTTCCAGAGCACTGTAATCACAGGGAAGCCTCGGGCAAAGCCTGAAGCATTGCAAGTGCAGAGTTCTCTGTCACACACTGCTTGGAGCCCTCAGCCCTTCCCCGCTCCCAGGACATTCTCTGAGAGCTGCTGGTGTTTCCCAGGGCTCTGCAGAGGCCAGGGCTGGTTCAAAGGGAGCATCCTCAGCTTTGGGGCTGTGTGAGAAGCACAGCTGTGGCTCTGGCAGCACCTGGCAGCCAGGTGAGCCCAGCTGCAGCTCCTCACCATTTCCACTGCACCTTCCCCCACTGGACACTCAGGCTGTGCCAGCACAGCCTGTGCTGTTCTTGCAGCAGGGACCTACAGGTGTAACTACAACCCAAAATCTCTCAAGAAAGTTCCCTTTGAGTGGCAGTGGGGCAGCACAGGGGCTGTGGATGAAGGAGCATTTCCTCCTGGGGTGTGTACAGCACGTGGCCAATAGCTCTGCTCAGTGGGAGCTCAGTGAAACAGTCAGTGAAGAACCCTGAGCTCCACTAATTCCACCTGCCAGTCCAGCTTGCAAGAATCCTTAAGTGTTGAATAAGCTCATTCATAGTTACTTTCTTCAAAACCAAACAGAATCTGAGCCAGCCGGGTTGGAGCGTTGGAAGTGAGCACCTGCAGTTTGCAACATTTACTTCACAGAGAAAATGCCTTGGTTTTAGCTTCTCTGCCTAAACTTTTCCTTCCTTTCAAATTTGTAGAGAAGTGTCTGTATACACACACAGCCACTGTTCAAGTGTTGGGATAGTGGGATTTAATTACAGCCATAAAATAACAGTGTAATTACAATATGATGTGGCCTGTGCATTTGACCTCCCCATCCCACTGACCTCACTAAAGATCAATTTTGAAGCTATTTCATTTCGTAAGGGGTAAGAAATGAGCTGGATTCCTGGCAGCTGCTTGAAGAACTGAGTCACCTGCTTCAAAACTGAGTGTACCACAAAAACAATTTGCCTGAATCAGTTACATAACGAGCTGGTAGGAGAGGCTTTGACATCAGCTGAAGTGAAACCTGGGGTTTTTGTTTGACTGTGACATAGGAATGACAGACTTTTCCACAGAGACACTTGATGCTCAGGGTGATTTCAGCATCACTGAGTGTTGCCATTCTCACTCTGAAAAATAAATCTTGAAGAGACCAGTGCAGCAGGTCAGGTTTAATTCTTGGTGTGTGTAGAAGCACAGGCTTCGTTCAGTCACAAACCACTGACACCAAACCAGACAGGTCAGTGTGACAGAGCATGACAAGAACCTGCCAGACAGCAACATTAAAAATTGAAAACATGGAATTTTGGTTGTCTTCCTGTGGCACATCTGTGCTTTCAGACAGGCTCTGCCTCTCCTGTGCAGCAGTGCAGGGTCCTGTGCAGCTCTGCTGAGATCCAGCATGTGGGGATCCAGCCACAGCTCAGCCTCTTCCCATCCTGGCAGCACAGGAACCACGAGCTCCAGGACAGCCCAGCAGCCAGGGCTCCTCCTCATGCTGAGCTCTGCCAGAGAGAAAGGAAAAGGACATGTCACATGGAGCAGGTGTCTGGCATCGCTGTCCTGGCACTGTCCCAGCCAGGTAATTAACAAACCTGAACAGCAAAGAAAATGCAAAGCTGTCCTTTTAGTCCTTTTAACACCATGGTCTGAAATGTCCTCCAGCAAGATTTAGTTGTACTAAATTTAAAGGAGTAGAAAGTGTTGATTTCAGCTGAAGCCAACTTCATTCACCTTTTTATCCTGCCATGCTTGGCCTCCTCTCTCAGCTCTCAGCTTCTCCCACCTGAGCTGAGCTCTGGGCAGTGTTGGGAGCAGCACTGGGGACACAGGGACAGCTGGGACAGCTCCTCCTCCTCCTCCTCAGTGGCAGCGTGAGCTGCAGGCTCAGCTCTGGGCTGGAAGTTACACTGACTGCTTTTGCTCAGGGGAGCAAGAGGGAGAGTTCCAAAGTGAGCACAAAAGATCCAGATCCCACCTGTACCAGCTCCATTGGAGATACCTGGACGTGTATTTGGATATTTCTTATTATTCTGTTTATCCCAGAGACAGTTTTCTCCTTAAGCATCAATCTTCTCTCAGCCTTCAATAATTAAGAATTAAAATAAGGAGTTTTTTTGTGATCAGAGAGTTCATCTTGTAAGATCTCTTATTTTGAGCATAACCTTTCTATTACTTGATAGAAAATCTTTAAAAGCAACACTCGGGTCAGTTTTCATTCTAAAAACAACTCCTTGTCTGGGCAGGAGGTTCAGAGTCTTGATTTTAGAGAATTATAAAAATGTTAGCTGAGGTTTCTTAAAATTGTACTAAAAACAGATGGTAAAAACTGGAAAATGAGTGAAGAAATTGCTATGAAGCAGCAGGAGGTCTTTGAAGGGTATTCATAGTGTCTTAAGTATTAGTCTTTAAAGAAAGATAAATATTTATATACACAGTAACACATATTCTGTAAAATCACTAAAAACCTCTCTTAGAACCCCTACCAAAGCAGAAAGTTCTGTACTTCTGAAATACTGAGCTAGGTGGGCACATCCAAACTATCTAAAAATATAAATAACATATATATATATATTACATATATATATATATATACACACACATAAACTATGGTTTTATATGCTATTCATGCACAGAGGCAGTGCTGCAATCCTGTGGTTTGCACACCACCTCATGTCATCATCTTGCTGTTGAAATTGAGAAGTTCCTGTGTTTTCCCTTTCCCCAGGAAGGGCAGAGGAGCAGTGGCTGCACATCTGTGTCTGGAATGTGGCGCTGCCAGCCTGGAATGCTCTCTGGAATGAGGCTGGAAGGGCCTGAGGCACCAGCTCCAGCCATCCCACGTGTTCTGCAGCTGGCTGGGAACATGCTCAGGACACCTCCATGAACAAAGCACCCCCTGGAGCACGTTCCCACCTCACCTTGGTCACCAGCTGGGGTCGGGGCACTTGCAGCAGGTCACAGAGGCAGTTTCGTCTCTCCCTCACCACGGGCAGCTCTGCTTCCCTGGGAGAGCAGAGGTTGTTTCAGTTAATTCACACTCATCCATACAACCATCCAACTCATCCATCCATCCATCACTCCCTCAGTGATCTGGGTCAGCCCTGCATCACAGTGGCTCTGTCCTTTCATGCTCATTTCAAATGCCAGCAGTTTTTGTTGTGTCACCTCTGAAGAGTAATGGACCATTTTTGTACCACCCTAAGGTAAACCACAAATACCCACCAGATCTGCCACAGGTAACCAGTGGCTAATAAAATGACCAAGACTATTATTTTATAGAGTTTTATATTAAAAACCCTACTGATTTGTACAGCCCTTTTGACTGGAAGTTCATTTAATTGATTCTCTAAAGTTATTGGATTTGGAGAAGATGCTCCCATCCTCTTTATAGAGAAAAAGCGAAAAAGGGCAAGTTAGAAATCACTTCAACTTTTTTTTCACACCTTGGACAATTTATCTTATTTCCTGGAAACTTTCCTGTGGCTAAACAAAATCTATTATTTATAGAGTAATTTGTTTAAACTCTGTATGACACAACTGCATGATAAAAGTTTCTGGAGTCCCAACAAGGAAAATATGTGTATCCAGTAATCACCATATCAAATTCTCATTTGTCTTCCTGCTGCTATTAGGGAAATTCAGAATTTAGACTGATTATTTTAGCACTGGGAGAGCTTGAGGAAAACAAGCAGCTCACTGTGACAGCAACAACTTCAAATCTCTTTTTCTACAAACTAATATACCAAGATAAATCAGTTTTGAGTACATGAGCTTTTTGTCTTTCACCTCAGAGCAATGGCCATAGTGCAGCAGGGTAGCCAGGGCTTGCTCCAAGCCAGAAAAAGCCAGGCACACCCTAAAAATGACAGGGTGAAAAAGAGAATATTCATTTTTCTGGAGAAGTGTTTTGTTTGGATTCAGGAACCCAGTTCTTTATGAGCAGAGCTGAACTGCCACTGCTTCTCCTGCACCACTGTGAGTGCTGGCCCTGGAGCCATCCCCTGTGACAGCACTCAGCTCATCCTGCTCAGTGCCAGATAACAAATTCCTCATGCAATTCCTGAGCAAGTCTGCTCTTAAATGCAGGTTTCCTAATGGAATTCTGAGTCAGACCCAACACAATCCTAAATTTCCACGTAAACAAGGAATTGTAACCACAGGCAGAACTGCTGGCAACCACCCCTTCAAACCTGAGACTCTTGTTCTAATTTTGCACTGGAAAATTCAGAAAAAAGAGCAGCAGCCACCCCTCCTAATGATAAACTCAGCTTTCTTTTCACAAATATAAAGTTATTATAAGCTCAAGCACAGAAATAAACTGGAAACTACATAAAAGCCAAACAGTGTAACATGCAGTCTGCAACTCTGTCACCCACCCTTAATGTATATTTGTTCTTTGAGCTTGTCTGGGATAAATTTATTTCCATGAAATGTCAATGAAGACAGCCATTTAATATAATGACTAAATAAATGATATATTTTTCTATATTTGTCTGTTCTCTGTGACTGCTGTGCTGGCCCAGGTCTGTGACAAGGAAAAATATTTAACAAGGCAGCAAAACTAATAAAATAATTCTTTATCTTAAAATTCTGTATTTTCTCAAATCTCCCAGCTATGCAACCTTTTATCTGCCCAGGTGATGAAAATGCCCAATGCTAGAATTTGCAGAAAGGGGAAAATCCAGTGCCAGAGTGCTGGTTCCCTGCTCCTGTCATTGCAGAGCTGCTCATGGAATGATTCCTTTGCTCTGAAAGTCACTGGATCATGCTCATGAAGAACAGGACCCTCTTCCCTTGTCCCTGGAAGAAGGTAACAGTACAGGTAAAAGGAGGGAAAAAAATGAATTACATTCCATGAAGTGGTTGTTTAATTCATGCCATCCTATGCCTGGGAAACATCTCAACTGCTCCAATTCCAAATCTTTGCTTGAATACAACGCTTGTAGCATGTTGAGTAATTACATTTCATGGGAGATTTGAGCTGTTCTGCTAATTCTGTTGTTTTCCAGCTTGCAGAGATCCTTCCTTTCCCCAAATCCTGCCAGTGCTTATAAATGCCAAGAAACTGTCTGTACAGTTGAAGTTTGACTGTTTGCACAGCCCAGTCTCTGGTTCATGGAAAACTTCCAAGATTTCCTCCCTTTTTATGTAGTTAGAAAAATATGGGTATTTTACTTTATCTAATGGTGATTTTATACATCCCCTTGCAGCGGGGCCAGTATCCTGGAGAGTTCTTGAGAAGAGAGGAATTCTTGCAGCAGTGCTTTCGTGGCCTGCAAGCACTAAAGAGCTGAACCCACTTCTTACAGCTTCCTCCCCCAGCTTTCAAAGGCAGCGTGTTTTGGTGACTGCAGGGCACGGGGGGTGTTTTAGGGCAGCACTGCACGCACCAGTTGGTGTCACTGAGGATGCCCATGGCCTGCTCCACGATGGCTGGGTCCACCACGTCGCTGTAGGTGAGCAGCATCTCATACACCTGGCTCGCCGTCGTCTTCCGGATCTGCGGGAGGGGCAGAGTGGGCAGAGCCCCCAGGGATCCTCCAGCCCCGTCCTGGCCCTGCACCCCCCCAGGAGCAGCCCCTGTGCACCCTGAGGTGTCCACAGCAGCCTCGGGGCCGTGCCCATTCCCTGGGGAGCCTCTGGGGGAAGAACCTTTCCCTGAAATCCGACCCAAACCTCCCCTGGCACAACTTCAGGCCTTCCCCAAGTCCTGTCACTGGTAACCCCAGAGCAGAATCAGTGTCTGCCCTTCCTCTGCCCCTCCTCCTCCTCTCATGAGGAAGTTGTGACACCACTGAGGTCTCCACTCAGTCCCCTCCAGCTGAACACACCAAGTGCCCTCAGCTGCTCGTCACACGGCTTCCCTTCAAGAGCCTTCACCATCCTCGTGGGCTCCTTTGGATGCTCTGATCCACAGGGAAGAGCCCAGAGCCGTCACTGGTGCTGGTCCCTCAGCTGGCTGCTGTCACCTTGTGTCACCTGCCTCCGACAGGGATTTCCTGCAGGAAGGGACCTCCCGTCTGCACCTCAGGGAATTTCATCTCAGCACCCCATGGAACTCCTGCTCCTACACTCGGTGCAGAATTTCCCATTTCCACACCTCTGTCCCTCACAGGGAAGGAATTCAAACATGTGAGAATGGCCCAACTGGAAAGGGCCCAACTTTGCCAAAGGAAGGCAAAAGAATTACAGGGTTATTTCTGGACCCAAATCCCATTGACCCATCTGTAAAAACAAAACACATTTATGATGTAAAAAACCAATAAACCACAGAACTGAAATGATCTCTCTCCTCTTACATTGTGTCCCTCCTGCAAAGGATTCCTCATGGAGCAAAAACACACAACATGGAAATGTAACAGAAACCTCAAGTACCAAACTCTGCAGGGCCAGGGGCTCCCAGGTTTGTGCAATGAAAAAAACCCCAAGCCTTCCTAAGTCCACACAGATTTTGAAGGACTAAAATAGTGTCATCATATATGTGATCTCTTGTACATACTCAGATTTTTGTGTCCTGTTAAGTTACAGGAAAAAGGTAAAAATTCTGCTAAACCTTCCTGCACTGCACCAGCTTTTATCACACCTGATGAAAAAGTTTATTTTCCTTGAACAGCCCTACTCCAGTGTTGCTACTCTCAGAAATGTCACAGAACTGAGAGTAACTTATCTGGTTGGAGCTTTCAGCACTAAATGGTGCACAGCTCTTCCCAGAAACAAATGGCTGAGGCACCTGCATTGCTCCCAGTTTAACCAGTAAGGGCAGGAGGTGGAAGGGCAGCACGTGTGGCACAGCGGGTACATGGCAGGCAGCCAGCAGTGTCAGGAGCAGATCCTTGAGAAATAAAGCCTGTTCTCTACACTAATACCTGCTAAAGAGAATGCTGCTTTAATACACTTTCAGTTATTTTTCATTTGTAAAGTATGGTAAAGAACAGAGCTGATAATGTGCAAAGTCTTCAGCACTTACGATAGGAAAGGGATGGCAAAGGAGGAGGAACAACTGGAAGAAAACTTTCTCTCTCATGTCTCCTTGAAATTGAATCAGGCCACAAAATCTAGAAAATATCAGAAAAAAACCAGATCTTGTGTTATAACTGCACAAGTGCATTTTGAAGACTAGGATGAAGATGGACATTGGGAAAAAGGCAGGGAGGGGAAGCTGTGCTCTCTACAAAGAAAAAGCAAACGATTTCCTTTAAGCATCTTTAGGACTGTAAGAATTTTAAAACTTGAACAACTTTATCAGATCATCCAGAGCTCTGAGACTCTCACAACCTTCAATCACATGTATCTCTGTGTATTTTCCATTTAAATTCTACATGAACCAGACCTGTTACATCTGGCAAGTTAAATATTCTTCACTTCCTAGGAGAGAAGATTGATTTCATTAACTCACACTCCTATGCTGGAGCGAAGCTTCCGGATGTCTTTGGACCTTTTGATCTCTTCTTTACAGAGGGTGAACAGCTTCACTGGGAAGGGATGGCTGAAAATGGGAAAGAAAAAAAGATGAGCAGAAGGTTTCAGCAGAATTTCAAAGACATTTCATGATTGTCAGGATGCCAAACTAACATTCCAAGACAAGGCAGGACTCACTGCAGGGTGGTTTGTGCTTCCCCTCCAGCAGCTCAGGAGAGTTTGGCCACCACAGTCCTGGGCTTTTCATTTTTTAACAAGGGAAGGAAGAAATTATTATGAATTTTTTACATTGCTATTGTCTGTGTGCTGAAGAGTGAACTCCTTTTAGCCAAACAGGTTCAGTCCATGCATGGTAAGTGGCTTGCCATGGCTTGTGTTTAAACAGTGTGGAATGATAAGAAATACTGTGTCAGGAATTACATTATCCTGTAGCCAAATAACAGTTCCTTAGTCTGTGTATCATCATGGTCATTCCCTAAGGTCTCCAACCAAACTTTACATAAAAGGGGATGAATGTTGTTCTTAACTACTCCACCATTTCACTGCCCAAATTCCTTCAGTGATTCCAGACAACGTAATTAAACACAGGGCTCACAGTTCTATTACGTGTACAGGCCATGAAGCCATCTTTAAATATATTTAACAAATTCTTTTCTCTTTCCACACAGTCTGGGAAACGTGATTCTCACAGCTCTTTCCCAGACACTCGTACAAACACAAGTACTGTTAGTTATTCCAAAGAGCTATTAAAGAGAAGGAAAGAGGGACTAATGCTTTTATTTCAGTTCAAATTATTTAATCTTTTACTTGCCACACTCAAGGCTGAAGTGCCATAGATGCAAAAGAAACGATTTCATATTTGTCTAGTGAGCACAGTAACTCCTAGGCTGTGTATTTTGGAAACCTCACTGCATTGTGTATGGAAAGCAGAGAGCAAAAATAGTAACATTCATTTTCTGCTATCACAATTCAAAGCAGTGAGTAAAAACTACTGGAGAAAGCTGGGTACTGTCATCTGTTGAAGGGCAGAACATTTAAAATAAGATGTTTATAGGAGTGCCAAGATGTTTTGTTAAGGTAATATGCCTTGTTCTGTAGAGTTTTCCAGACAAGAGTCAGTGGTTTTTAATGACTTTTTGAAAATTTGTATTAAAATCCTGGCATGTACTGGCGAATAGTGACCTGTTTAAAAAACCTGAACAAGAAACCACGGTAAACTGAGGTAAAGAATTCTACACATGGTGGGAACAGCAGCCATCTCCATGAATGAGTCCATGGCTGTCTACAGGCGTGGGTTTGTGTGGCTGGGTGAAGGAAGAGCTCTCTGAATGCTGAGGTATGTTTTGTCTTACCTTGGTGGAATTTCTCCTCCTCCCACCCCAGTTCCACAAAGCCCCTGTGCAGACAGCTGATTACAACCCCTGCAGTGCCTGCCTGGCTCCCAGCACAGGCCAGGCCATACAGTGAATTAGGTGAGATTTAAACTGGTTCAACAACAGGGACATCGCTGAGAAGGGGAGCAACAAAGAGAGCAGCTGCAACAAGAGCATCTGGAATAAATTTGAAACATGGAACCTCATGAGCAGCATTTTGTGTTTAAAACAGATGCACTTTCCTTTCTGTTGGTTGCCAATTCTGCATTTGCAATAACCAAACCTAACCTATGTGTGATCTCAAATGACTCAAATAGTTTGGCCTCTGTAAAGGAAATTGAGAAAATTCCTTCTCCTGTGTGGGCACCGTGCCAGCAGGAACAGCACAGCACTGGGGAAAAGGGATCAGTCTGGAGTTCTCTTTGCATTCTGTGAGCTGGGCACAGGTGGCACTGCCAGGGCTGCTGTTGTCCCTCCTCCAGGTGAGCTGGGTCCCAGCAGTGCTGCCATCGCCAGGGGAACTGTCACCAGCCACTGCCACTCCCTGCTGCATGGCTGTTCATGCAGGAGAAGTAAAAGTGCTTAAAAAAACAATCCACAGGAGCATGGATACATGGAAATTATCAGCTGGAGATCAGTGGAGACACACACTTCCTTAAAGCACTGCAGGATCACCAGAAAAAAACAGAATACATGGGTGCTTCTGTTGAATGTGTGAACTATGTACATGTAAGAGAGAAATGCCACTTAGTACCCCAGAGAGCACCAGATCCTGAATGGTCATTCCAAGGCTGTTCTGTTTACATGGCACTGAGTATCAGACCCATCTTACCACACTTGCAAGGAGCCAGCAGTGCACAGGGCTCTGGGCAGCCCCAGCAGCCTGGGGACCCCTCAGCCACGGGAGCAGCAGGAGCCTGTGACACTCCAATGCCAGCTCTGCCAGCAGCCTCGACTCACTCTGCTTTGTCCTGCCTTAAGGGACCCCCAGAGCAGCAGGGAGCTGCCAGGAACCTCTGGGCTTTAAGAGCAGCCACTGGTGAGTTCCCAGCAGCCCAGCCCGTGCTGCTGCATTTCTGAGAGCTCTGCTCCGAGGTGTGCCCGCTGCCTGCTCTGGGATGGAATCAGGAGGGTTTGGGCTGTGTGACCACAGAGCTGAGGGCTCTGCTGCCCTGTTTGGTGGGAGCAGCAGGTCAGTGATGCTGCAGCATCACCCACACTTCAGCCCAGCACCCCCCTGCCCTGCTGCCAGGAGAAACCCACTTCCCTCCCTTCCCTTCCTAGGCTGGCACAACTTGTGAGACTGAGGAAACCCCTCAAGCTGAGTGGGAGAAGAGCACTTTTCACCCAGAGCAGTTCTCCATTCATGGCACAGGGATACAAACCATTCCTGTCAGCACAGGGAGGGGGAACCTCTCGTGCTGGATAAGCAGGTTTATGTCACCTTAGGACAGGTAGGAAATAACACTCAATGGGCTGGAATATGCCCAGCAGCTGTTCCTTTCCCTAAGCCAAGCACAACAGAGGAGCCAGTTCTGAAAGCCTTTTGATGACCCTGGTGACACTAAAGCTGATTCATTTCCAACCCCACAGGACAGGTATTTACCCCACACTCCCCATCCCTGCTGGTTCCACACAGGGTAAATCCACCTCCCTTGAGCACGAGCATCCAAACCACGACAGTGGAGCAGCAACACCCAGGGCTCACTTGTCCTTTTGCAGAGATCACACACCAACCACACAGAGCCTCCTGAACACTGAGCTTCAGCTGCAGAACCACACCAGAAATGTTGAGCTTTATATTCTAAACTGTACGAGCTGTAGGGTGTGAAGAGAGAGGAAAATGCCTGGCAGGTTCCACCTGTGCAAGGCAGGAGTGACACCCTGTGGCAACTAATTTTAACTGGAGCACTCACTAGGGTTAAACTGATCCTGCTCCTAATCCTGGTTAAATTAAGCACTGTTGGATATTACCTATTCTGGACTGTGGATGTTTTATTAGAAAATAAATGTGTGGGAGAGTACACAGTTTCCATTTCAAACTTCAAAATGCATTTGCAAACACTTTTTTACAGTGCAACAGTTGCTTATTTGGCAGCTGCTTTAGGTATAATCCTGATGCCAGACATCCTACATGCCAATTCCCCTGCTAAAACTCCATTCAGCCCAAAGGTAAAAAAAAAAAACGAGGGAACGAAATGAAATGGGAGCTGAACATCCCAAGGAAAAATACAAGCATGTATCTCATGTATCTCAGCTTGTATTTCAGGCACACTCTGCACAAAAGCACCTGACCCTGCAGGCACATGTGGCCTTTCCAAGTCACCAAGCAGTGCCTCTGTTTTCCCACCCACCCTGTGATGTTCTCACACATTTCTATGGAGGCTGCTCTGGAAAGGCAGTAAATGGTTCCATTCCAGAGACCAGACCCAAAGTCAGATTTTTCTGTTCAAAAAGGAGTTGGTGGCATCCAACAGCAGGGGCAGGCAGGAAGGCCTTGGAGCCAGGATCAGTGGATCCATCCCTAACTACACCCAAAGGACTTACCAGAGTAACAAAATGCAAACATTCCATGAAATGGAATTTTGGGCTTTCCCACCGTGTGTTGATCCATGCCCAGAGCACGGCAGAGCCCTGGGTATTCACCTGGCTCCCTGTGAAATACCCACAGTAACTCACCCATGGCCAGCTCTACCAGGAGAGAGCTCTGCACCTACATTCCCAAAATCTGCCACATGCACAAACTAAACTCTCCATCTTTTAATTGTCTTCCAATTCCCCACTAGTCTGTGTGAGCCCAACTCCCTGGGCTCTGTATGGTAACAAGTTCTGCACTCCAGGCCAGCATTTCACTCCCTTGACATGAGCATGATCCACTTGGCTGCTTCATTGTTAATTTTCTTTTTTTCATCATCAAACTGGAGGCAAATACATCTGGATCAGCTTCAAAATCTTTTCCCCCATAATAGCCCTGGATTTTATTTCAGGTCTTTTGCACAAAGCATCACAATGGCACCACAGGGTTGAGTCGGAGTCACTCACACAGCAAGGGCATTGCTGCTACCACTTGGTTTCTGTTCAGTGACCTGGGAGACAAGACTTTGACTGGAATTTCCATCCACAATCTCTCACCTTCCCCAGCAGGGATGACTGGAACCCGTGTGGAAGCCCCAGATCACTGGCACAATTACCAAACTCAACAAGTAATATTCACTCCATCTGTCTCTGACTCACTTTAAATTCCCATTCAAACAGGGACTGCCAAATACAATTTAAGAAATATCATCTAAAACCACACTTCAAGACAAGAGTGGGCTCAATCAAAACTTTCAGAATGATGAAGGCTTTTCAGATTTATCTGCTGTGAGCAACTCTTGAATCAACAAGTTCCCAATCCAGGATCTGTCCTTGCAGGATCTATGTTGCACAATTCTGTAAATAGCTGCAGATGTGCCAAGATGCTGCCTGGGAGAGCTTGTGGAATAGATTTTAATATTACTGAAATTAAAGTCACTCTTTTCTGAAACATCTGCAAAACCCCATGATTTCACATTGGAATATCTCACTCACATTCATCTGCTCCTAAACTGAACACTTTCCACGAGACTGAGCTCAGGGTGGAAGAGCTGGGACATGCTATTTTTATTATTCTTATTAGGATCTTAATTAATATCTTTGGAGATATTCACATTAACCAAAGCAGTGGGACTGGGGGAGCCATAGCTTGTGGGCACAGAGGGTTCTGCAGCACCACACAGGGACACTGCCAGTGCTCAAGGCTCCCAGTACAGCAAGGAATGTGCTCCAAGCAGCAGGGATTTAGGAAGCTGGAAAAAGAAAGAATAGATCTGATATTGGTCCAAGAATGCCAGGTGAAACATGCAAATTGCATTTGATGAATGTCCTGGCTGTCAAACAATGAACAAATAACAAACTTCTACACAGACACAAGTCAAGGACTTTATCAAGAGCCTTTCAAGGCTGTTTGTCCCACTTCAGGAAAGTTAAAGCACTGCAATATAGACTCACACTTGGAGCCCTGTGCACCCCCCAGCGCAGCAGCCAGGGCAAGATTGAAGAGCCCTGTGGTGCAGTGGGAATAAACCAAAGAGACTTCCAGCAACTTACTTCTCCTGCTCAGTGAACATATCAAAACAGCCATTGGCCAGCATCTGGTCCAGCATTGTCAGCAGAGGTACAGACACCCTGAGGAAAGAAAGTAATTCAACAAGGTAAATACACTTCTTGGCATACAGACAAATGCTATTTTTAATCAGAAGCAAAGCAAGAAACTTCCTACATACCTACACATAGGTAAATTAGAACTCTGATTTCCACAGAGGAGGGTTGCTCAGCTCCTTGTGTGTGTTGGCTGAATGGGGACATCCCCTCCCAGCCAAAAGGGAAAATCCTAATTAATAACACACCTGCTTTCCATTTGCAGGGTCCCAAAAACACAATTGACAGTATTAGAAAATATTCATCTGCTTTCTAGAACATAAACAATAAATTCCACAGACTGTATGAGAAGTTACAGCACCAAATGATCCAACACATGTCAATTGGAATAACCATGGCCATGTTTTCAACACTTGAGACAAGAAACAAAATAAAAATACAGTAGTGACAAACAAGGGGGAATGGCTTCAAACTGAAAAAGAGTAGGTTTAGATGGGATATTGGGAAGAAATTCTTCCCTGTGAGGATGGGGAGGCCCTGGCACAGGGTGCCCAGACAAGCTGTGGCTGACCCTGGATCTCTGGAAGTGTCCATGGCCACACTGGATGGGGCTTGGAATAGTGGAAGGTGTCCCTGCCCATGGCAGGAGACTGGAACGGGATGAGCTCCGAGTCTCCTGCAACCCAAACCATTCTACGATTTAAAAACTTGAATATGTGAAATATTTTGCCATCACTCCTTGGTTATATGTTTTACCACAGGTCCTGCTGTACCAGACAGCTCTGTTAAAGCAAAAGCACATCCCTTGGGCATTTTCTAGAAGTGCCACACATCTGATTTCCAAAAGCTGTCAAAGGGAAAAGAGCCAAGGAAAACCATTACCGGTCATTCCGCAGGTTGTCCTCAAAGACCTTGAGCAGCGTCTCACAAAAACTCTCCAAAGCACTGGGGTCACTCTGGATTTTCTTCATGTAGTCAAACAGGCTCTGGGCAGAGTATCTGAGCTGCAACAGAAGGAACCTCCAGTGAAGGACAGGGAAAAGCCACTGGCACACCCCAACAGGGGCTACAGGAGTGCCCTGTCCCTCCCAGCTGAGCACAGCTGCACTGGGAACTCCCCCAGCAGCAGCCACGTGCAAGGATCAGTGACAGCAGGACCAGGGCTATGTTACCTGCACTAACCCATTTTCAAAAAAATTGCTTTTTTTTTTCTAAGTTTGCTACTGCAGGACAAAAGACCACATTAAAGGCTCATTGTTTTCTTTCTCTCCAAATAAAACATCCTCAAAGCACTATGATTATCCTGCTTCACTTCAGATAATAATAATGCTGTTATGACTATGAAGGTGAAGGAGCACCCCAGGATTTCACCAAGCAGTATTTATTAAACAGCTGATGGGACTGTACCATGCAGACAAGCTCCTGGGCCACACAAACCATCAGCAAAATCAGGTTAAAAATTACACACAACTCAGAGAAATACTGGCTGTTGGTTTAACTGCATGAAGTTAACCAGCCAGCTTAGCAGGATGGCAGAGGAGGGCTCAGTGCTGCTGCTCAAGGCTCAGCTGGACACAGCCCAGAGGTCACACTGCCCATCAACCAGCACAGGCTGCAGCATCGCTCAGCAGCTCCCCACAGTTCAGATGGGATATTGGGAAGAAATGCTTCCCCATGAGGGTGGGGAGGTCTAGAGCAGCTCTGGCTGCCCCTGGATCCCTGGCAGTGCCCAAGGCCAGGTTGGACGGGGTTTGCAATAACCTGGGACAGTGGAAGGGGTCCCTGCCATGGCAGGGGGTGGGACTGGATGAGTTTTAAGGTCCCTTGCAGCCCAAACCACTCCCTGATTCCATGATCTCCAGGAGCCACAGTGCTTGCCAGGCCAGCTGCTCCCTCATGGACCTGCTGAGTGGGATGGGAGCAGGCACAGCCTCTGTGGGAATCCCCTTTTCCTCAGAGGCCTGACCATTTTATCAAGGAAAGAAAATAAAATACTGGATGAGGATGAAAAACGTCACAAGTGTCTCCCCAAAAGCAAATGAGAGCAATCTCTATTTAAACAAAATTCTTTTTATCTAACAAAGCTCGTATCAGCAATGTTTATGGGTTCCTCAGTACCCAAAAGAAACATTTTAGCCTTAGCTCAAAACTCTCAGCTATTTTCCCAAAGCTTCAGCCTGCAAACAGCACAGCCCAGCAATCCTGGGAAGCAGCACAGTCTGAAACCTTAACACTTTGTTCTGTACTGAAACATCCTGGGCAACACAAATATTTCTTTTAAAAGGTCAAACAATTTGGAGAAATTATTCAGTTACTGAGTTTCAGAGTAACAGCCAAATCTCAGTAAAATCTGTACAAGGCAGCTGCAATGAACTGAACCCAGTGTGGCTCTTTGACACTCCTAAAGTGGCACTGGTGTGTGTCCCAGTGTGCCCAGTATAAACTGGGTCCTGACTCTGAAAGGTCTTCACAGGATATACAGTTGAAAGAGATATTTCCTGAAAATTCATAATCTGCTTAATTATTATATACTCCCCTTTAAAACAATCTGTGCATTTAAGACTATTATAAATAAAGAAGAATTATTTTGTCTTAACACCTTCCAAGAGCAGAGATCAACAAGCAGAAGAAATCCCACCTCAGAAAAAAAATCTTAGGTGGTGTCATTTTCTCTCCTATTTCTTTTGTCTCTTAAACTACTTCAGAGATCTCAAATCATTTTTTTTTTTGAAGGAAGCTGAACGACTCAGTGCTTTCTCTGCAGATCCAAAGGACTTGAAAGGGCAAGAAAGGGCATGAAAGTAAAGGGCAACAAGCACAGCTCCAGGTGGGGTGCTCCAGAGCTGTGCCAAACCAAAGCAGAGCAGCAGGATCTCAGAAACACTGGAGAATGAGGACAGCACAAGGAATTAAACAATACAGAAGCACAGGTGTGGATAATCCATCATGTAACTGCTTGGGAGATTGAAAATTGGGATTTTTTTCCCAATCCTGACAGAAACTTCAGCACAACAACATGACATGGACAGGCTAAATCCTCATCTCCTCCTCAGGTGAGCTCCTTTTGTCCCAGGCTCAGTATCTGAGCTGTAACCTTAACTGCTCCTGAGTCTTTGCAAAGAAGAATATTTCCAAATGTCTTCCTCATCTCCACAGAACACAAATTCTCACTACATCAAACGTGTGACATTTACCTTTCCCTGGGGTTCCACGAGGACTGGGAAAGGAAATTAGGAGGGTAATGGGCTGGAACTGGGACAACTTTGGATACAAATGTGAGAGGAGGCCTGACAATGACCTTGTTCTTATGAAACAGCAAAACCAGGGTTTGCCAAGGCTCACGTGAGTGCCCCAGCACTGAAGGCAAGAGCAGATCCTGCAGCGACAGGAGATGGACAATGCAGAGTGCTCAAAGGCACCCTTCACCTGATGCCAGAATCCAAATCCTGAAGATTTAACCTCCTGAAGCAGGGCACAGGTAGGAGCAAGTGCAGCTCCAGCAAGAGAGGCACTGGCAGCTCTGGGCAGGTGCCAGGAGTGGTTTCCACACAAACCTTTATGAAACCATTCCCAGTCAGCTTTGCAGAACAGAGGTACAGCACTTCTAAAAGCAGCCTTGAGGCAACAGGTGGGACTCATAATGGTCAAAAAGAATTAGCTAAGGCATCCAGTTTGTAACAGAGCATCTTTTACATCCAAAGTCTCAGCCACCCATCAGTGATTAAGACACCTGATCCACATCCAAGGGCTCTGGTTTGTACCTTGCAGCAGTGATACCTTACATGAAGTAGGAATATCATAATTCACACTATTTTTTTTCTTTAAGAAAAGAATGCCTGAGATTATTCTCAAGTGTATTTAGTGTATTTTGCTCAAGAACTCTCAACCAAGAAAAGAGGATTTTGGGCCTGTTTCTTCCACCAAATATGCATTGATTTGCATACAATTTGTCCCAGTAACCAGATGTTTTAGAATATCATCTACTAAGCTCCCAATAATTTTGTTTGTGAGATCTAACACAGTAACACAACTCTGGTACTGCCTGGGAGGAACTTTAAGAGTTCAGAATATGTTGTTCCCTTTTTTTTTTTTAAAAAAAAGGCTTTACTTACAATTTCTATACCGTTTTAAAATACAATTTTCACTCTTTAGTGGGGGAGGGGAATCACGGGACATTCTGTGCTTCAAAAATTTTTTTGAATGTAATGTAGTTCAACAATAATGAAATTATATCAAAATTATATCCTGACCCCTGCAATTGCAGGGTTTGTGCACTGGAGAAAGAACAGCATTGTACATCTGATCTGCACAGACTGAGGGGTTTTATGCAGCCATAAGAAATATGCATCACTGTGAGCCAGATGTATAATTAGAAGATTCTTTTACACAGAGAAAGTGCCCTTTGAACCATGGTGATGGAGCAGAGTGCCAAATCCCACAGGGAATGACATCTTCTGTTTTTCCAGATTACTTCCAATGCTTGAGCTACAATTCTTCCAGCAGCCTCACTGCCACCAAAACACTTCAGAGACCCCACACGGCTCATTCCAGAAAATCTCTTTAAAAAGCCAAACAAAGAACTACTCTTGCTAAATATACTGCAGAGCAATTTTAGCTGCAGCTAAACTGCCACTGACCACGGAATTACAACAGAGCCTTTCTCCTGTTAATTCCCTGAGATGACTAAAACACAAACTGACATTTGAACTCAGATTATCTCGCAGTATATACAAGAATCTTCTTTCCAACTTCCATGTCCATGTGTGCATGTGCACAGATATTTCTGAAGTGAGAGAGGGAAGAGAACACACACATTACTGCAAGAACACATATTCCAATAATCCTTTTCCTTCATCCAAGATTTTAAAAAGCTGCTTCTTTCATACGGATTTAACAGGATTGTTCTTAAAATTTTCTATTAATGTTTTAAATCACACTCTGGATATTGAGCAAAGAATGCTAGAGGTTTTGTCAGAGTAGTTTGAATACCAGTCATTGTAAAACACATCAATTCTAATTTCTATATCACATTTTAGATATTAAAATTAATTCACCACACACATATATCCCCAAGTGTAATTTCCCTCCCTTGCCTTTCTAGCTGACTCAAGAGAGAATTAGGTCATCTTCTTTCTAAAGGCCTCGAGAATATTTAGCCAGAAAAAGCCTTTAGTGTTAAAGGAAACTGGAGGACCACAGACAAGTTAACATTTCACAATTTAAGTTTCCCTTAACACACTGGAAGATGGTAACAAGGGAAGGGAGCTGCATGTAACTAAACTGCTCCAACTTTTCATAACTAAATGCAACTGGGACTTAAAAAAAAAAAAATCAAAATATTGAATAAGAATTTTCCTCTGACCCCAGCTAGCAGCCAGAATGTCTGTTTCTCCAAAACTTTCCTTCTTTTTATACTTAGACAAATAACTTTGGTTTTGGTGGAGCCTCCTGTAATTAACTGTGTTTGACTGAAAGCTGAATTTCATGTACATGTTTGCTATTAAAGAAATCTGTTAAGAGTTATTGTCTATCTGATAATTACTGTCACAAACCAACACACACATGTTTTCAAAGTTTTAAAATAGCTGTTGCCATATAATTAGTTGCCATTTTAGAAGCATTAAAATGCTCAGAATTGGTTTAAATACAGGAGACTGCACAGAAACCAAATACTCTGCTCCATCAGACCCAAAGGCTCACAGAAATCTCTTGAACCCACAGCACCAGGCAAAAAAACATCACTTGGGCAAGTTGTGACTGACAAGGAGAAGCCATGGGAGATAAGCTCCAGGTGGTTTTAACTCCTTCTTTCTGTGATCCAGCAGGAGCTGTTTGTTCCCCCTCCACAAAAACTCCTTTTCTCAGCACTTTTCACTTTTCTACCAGTTTTCTTAATTTGAGATGGAAATCTTAATTAGAAACACTCTTAACCACTGTTGGGGTGGTGACTCACAGCCTCCTCCTCCTCCTGTTACAGGACCACTGGGATTTAAAGACTTAACTGATAGTCTAAAATATTCTGTTACTGGTCTGATATTTCCCTGTGGTGTCATATTGAACCATGTCCTTACTCCCAAAAATGCCTTCTTATATTTTACATCTTTGGCTACAACAAATCAAAAAACATTCTAAGCCAAATATCTGGAAACCAAGAGTTCTGAAACTACCAATCCAAGTTGTCATAGAAGTGCAGAAGGATACACTAAAATTGTAAGAAAGTAGGGAAAAATTTGGCAGCATAGCAGACTGCCAAAGCCAGTGATAAAGAGATTGTTCATGCCAGAAGAATGAAATAAGGGTTGCAAAGCTCAGAGGATTGAGACAGACATTTGAATGATACTACTTTGTAATGGAACTTCTGACATCTCACTGGTATTTCAGTAGAAAATGTATCAAAAATAATTAAGAAAATAAACCTGGGCATAGTGTTAACACCTATTGACAACTACCAGTTAACACCTTGCACCAGGTGACAAATGAACTGGCTTTCACCTCATTTGAGAAGTGCAATCCCCTCTGGATTGCACTGAGATGAGGGGCTCTGCTTGTGATCCCAGCTGGGAGGGTCAGCACAGGGCTGGAATTTGGCTGGAACTTGGCTGGAATTTGGCTGGAACTCTCAGGTCCTGCCAGGCCAGGAGAGGAGAAACCAAGTGCCGTCACTCCTTGTTCCCCGCGCACTCAGGGGAGGGAAGGGAGCAAGTCGAGATAATGACACTTTTCATGTGAAAGACAAGAAGCCCAGCAGGTTTAAAAGCAAACAGGAATGGTGCTCTCACCGTGGTCTCTGTCAGGCCCCCCACAGACACAGAGAGCCCCAGCAGCACGTAGTACTGGTAGGCTGGCAGCCCCAGGAGCTGCGTGATCCGAGGGAAAGCTTCCGATGCCGCGTTCCAGTTCAGCGTCTCCTTCTCCGACCTGAAAGGGGAAGGAAAAGAATCATCCTGGTGTGGGTGCACTGCTTTTCTTCTCCCCACACTGCTCCTTCACACCAGTGAAGGAATTCAGGTCTCTGAATTACCTCAGTGTCAGATCAGACATTGGTCTTTGAGCATAAGGGGAAAACACAAATCAAAGCTTCAGCCAGTAAAGTGAAGGAATCTTCAAATCCCTGCTCTGATCCAGGTAAGATGGGATCTGCAGTCTCCCTTCCCCAGGCACTTTTGCCTCCATTCAGAAAACAAGTTTCTTTCTGCAGTTTCTTTCTGCAGTTTCTCTCCCACCACCAGCTACTCAACAGCTGATCCAAGGTCAGACTGCCCCAGGAAAGGCCAACACACCCTCCCAGCACTGATCAGCAGCAGCCTCAGGTTCCCCCAAACTCTGAGCTGGATGCTCCTCACTCCCATCAGGTATCAGAATCACCACTCAGGAATGAGTTGCTCTCACTCTTGTTTTAACTCAAAAGCTCATCTTGGAAAACTACTGTAACAAGAGCTTTATTAAAACAATACAATTCATTAAAAACTATCATTTTCATCAAAAATCCAGTTTTCCAGTTGAGGAAAAAAAATATATTCATGCATATTCATAGGACAATTCAATGAAATCCTGACAAACACCACCAAATATTCCTCCATACATATATTGGGCATTTGGGCACAAAAATTACATCAGCTTGGTTTAGGTGTAACTGTGTGCATTTATCTTTTACTTTCATTGGTTTAGAATATTTTTCAATACCTTACCTTGGAAATATCCTCTCTAGCTCTTCTCGATGAGGGATGTGTGGAACTGGAGGATGGTCAAAGTGCAAAAGGGTAAGGAACACAGATCCTGCATGAGCTCGGAATTTATCTATTTTTTCAGCTGACTGTTGAGCCAGCCAGCACATAATCTGCTTGCAGCTATAAAGAAGAAAACAATTAATCAGAACATTTAAGCAGTGGAATGTGTATTTAGATTTAAATTGTTTCAATTAAATGAATAAGAATGATTCTGCTAGGAAAGTATTCTGGTTTAACTGCTCAGAATGAACATAAAAGTGATTTAAGAGATCCACATGGTGACAGAATCTTGAGGCTTTATCTTCTACAGATCAATCAATCAAAACCCAGCATGACATGAATGTCACAGAGTATTTTACCCACCTTTTATACATATTGCCCCACCTTTCATCCAAAAAGATAACAAAGTGCTTTATGGCTTGGCTGAACTGCTACATTTCAGATGGAAACAGCAGAATTTTGAGAAAAGCACATTTTGAAGTAAAATACTGCACATGCAGCAGAGGACAAGCTCCCTCCTACATCTCACATATCCCAAGTACATCACTTCTTCAATTCTGCCTCGTTTTTAACAATAGCCTATTTTGTTTCTGTTGAAAACTAAACTTTCAGCTACACTACTGTGTCCCACAAGGCCCTTTACCCTTTAGAAAGGCCACTAATGATAGTAAAACCAGCTAAAATCCCTTACTTACACCAAGGCCCAGAATATTTAGACAATGGGATCCAGCTGGCAAGAATGCTTTTCTCAGTTCCATGTGGACAATCTGGGTATAAACAGATGAACAGGAGGAAGCCCCTGAAAATGGGCACTAGTGAGCAGTGTATCCTTAGAGAATCCAGTGCTTTTCTTCTAGGTGTCCTTCAACATTTGGGGTTTTTAAAATTAAAACCCAAACCATGTGTATGTTCACCTAACCACTGGCACACTCTGTCTACAAACCAATACCACTATTAGGAAAGTTTTGCTGCAACTCAAGCTATGTTTTAAAAATGGTACTTTTTATTAATTCCTTTAATATCAGGAGTATTATATCATGACATTAAAAATCAAGAGCTCAGTGTAAATTATTTTTTCTTTATTTCCTCACTAATAATTCTGCAAAGAAACAAAACCAAACTCATGCTCGCGTTTGATCACATTCCAAATTAATGATGTGATGCTCTGGATAAGTGGGCAGGTTTGTTTTCTGGCTCAGGGAACACTACAGGGAAGCACCACAGAGGTGGCAGGTTTAGCCCAAATCCCCCAGCTCTGCTGCATTTCCAGGGTGGATTGCCACCCAGGTTCTCTCAACACCGTTTTCCCTCTGAAAACCAGATGCAACATCCTCCATATCTGCATGGACTGTCCAAGATCTGTACACTCCATAAAGGAGTGAGCACAGAGTGTCCAAGCACTGCATTCCTGGAGGGCCTGGATGGAGCTCTGAGACACAGGAACTGCACATTACGTACATGCTGGCATTAATTAGCTCTGCCTCGTTCTGCACCAGCAGCAGCGTCACCTCCATCAAGCTGGTCATGGCAGCTTCACGCACCCTGTGGAGACAGACACACATCAGAGGAGCTACAGCAGCACTCATTTCAGTAAAGACACCAGCAAAAATTCACAATAACAAAATAAATGACCTCTGAGAGCAGTTCCCATATTTTGGGAGGACAAGGAGCGTCCCCCCAGTCCCATCCTGTGAAACCAAGCTCACATTGCACTGAGGGTCCAAGAGTCACCCCTGCAGCACCAGCCTGGTTTTTATTCCAGCCAGCTGTCACCAGGCTCATTCTTTATTTTAAGGTTAAAACTGATAATGATTAGTAATATTTAGTGTGCAAGTAGATGTATTTAAACTTAACTGCTCTGTCTGCTTCAAATTATTTTCTGAAAAGGCCAACCCACATCTGACACTCAGATACTGAACTCTGTTAAGACTGTAACATTCTTGTCAATTTTCAAGCTTAGTATTTCCAGCATTAAAAACAAGTTGTGACTCAGAGTAGCTTAAATCTCCATGCTAAACAATAATTAATTTCACAAAATATTTGACCAATGTAACACAAAGTTGTGCTTGAAGCCAGTCTTATCTAGATAATGATCTGCTCCCTTCAAAATGTCTAAAAAGAATTTAAAAAAAAAAGTGTAATTTCAATTTAAAAAATAATCTGTATGCTTGTTTTTTGTCAATCCATGAGTTTTTGAAAGTGGTTTCTTTCTTAAGACAAGGGCAATACCTCAGTGGTTTACATGACCCTGCACAAGACCAAGTACTGCATTAGTAACTCAGAGTAATGTCATCCTTTCTCAGTAATAATTTTTTTAAAAAGGAAAAAAAAAATAAAATTTGAAAAGGCCCACCAGCCTTCTGTGAAAAGAAATACTCCTCTTCCTGATTTCCAAGACAATTTGAAAATAGTTGCAGGTGCAATCTAAAACTGGGCGGGACATTTGTTATAATGGTAAAAAAGGTAAATTACATCATTTTTTCCAAAGCAGCTTAAAACAAGTCTGGCAGTCTTTCATCAAGGTTATGTTTTACTAGTTTTTTTGTATTGTATCTGACTTAGATATTCATGTCTAACACCTGTAGACAGATCAGACATGTCCCAGCAAACTATCTGTCAAAAGAAAGGTAAAGTTTGCATATGCAGAGTAAAATTGGTGAAACTTTCCCACGACTCTATTAAAGAAACACAAAAATTACACAAAAAAGACAAGATCTCTCCAGAGAAATGGTATTTCTCTCCATATCTTTCCATCTTATTCACTGGTTCAGAAGAAACAGAATGAGAAAGCACTGATATTTGAGAGGCCACAAAAGCCTTCAGCAGCCAGGAGCTTGCCATGAGAAAGGATCCCCCTTCCCCCTCTGATTTACATGTTTCTTGACTTGATTTTGGCTAGAATTGCCAAAAGAAACTAAAAAAAAAAAGTATCTGGTGCTCGAAGCGCATTTGAATTTTAATGGATGTTGGGAATTTAATTTCCTCAGGATTTCTTTGAAAGTTCCACTATGTTTTGTTTTGAAATGAAGACACAGACGAAGGATAAACAATAGCTGTGGGGAGCTGCAGTGGGAGCTCTCAGATGTGGAAGTTGAATACCTAATTACACTTAGCCATGTCCTCATCCTCCTCAGTGTCTCACCTGGCTTTGAAAACACAAAGCTGAGTATCTCTTCCTTTTCTTTGCCTCCCCACCCTGTATTATTGCTCTTGCATTTTCTGTCAGCTACACCCCGAGACACATTCACCTCCCTCCTGTTCCTCTGGCAGCAGGGAAAGCCAAGCTCCTTCCTTGTGCAAGCTGGACTGACCTGCTCCTGATCCTCACTGCATCCTTCTTTCCTCTTCTAAGGAAATGTCAAACAACTCCTGATCTCCGATTTCGTGCCCTGTGTTAATATTTCCCTGTTGTACAAAGATTTTACCAGCTGAGAGGTTGGATACCACTACAGAAAACAGGGAAAATCCAAACACACAAACCTCAGCTAGGGCTGAGAGCAGTCTGGATTATTTGTGCCGTGAACTTTTCCAACGCGTTTGCAAATATTGCAGTGAAGTGCTGAAGGGACGAGGCTCAGCAGTTACAGAAGTGCTCAATAATAACATGGCACAAAGTACCTTTCTTCTGCTTTGTGCTGCAGAACTGACACTTCCCTTCCTGTGCAAAGACAGAGAAGCTATTTATAATTACTGCAGCCCAGGCTGGAACTGGTGAGCTCTGACACTGCCAGTGACTACAGAGCACAACCAGCAAGGTCTGACTCTGGTTTGATCACTGGCAAGGAACAATCCAGCATGAGGATGTTGGAAAAAAAGCACAATCACAGCTTTTCTCCCGACACAAGACAAGAGGTGATTACAGGCTGTGTTGCAGCAGCTTCCATCCCATATGGTTTTCACAAATGTATTTCACAGCATCTGCCCCGTTTGTGCCCGAGGAGGAACCCTGCAAAGGGAAATGGCACCGTAATAAACTTTTTCTTTCCTGTTTTAAAGCAAACCTGGGGCTACCAAATGAAATAATGACAAAAAATGAAAAAATGAAGTAAAGACTGAGTAGGACAGAGCTCTAAACAGGACACAACAAATCTGAGCCTCACCAAAGAGCTGCCAGTTGCCAGCACGTGTCACCATGCTGGGCTTGGCCAGGCATGGGCACAGCCACGTTCCTGTTCATACACCACTGCTGAAAACACACTTCCAGGATGGAGGTAGTGACTGTCTAAAGCATTTATTTCATACAAACACTGCACAGATATGATTGACACAATCCACTCAAACACCCCACGTGACTCAGTGCTGCTGGACAAGAACTTTTTCAATCAACTGGGAAAATAACAAAATGTTTTCAGCCAGCAGAATTATTTCTTACCAATACTTTTCAAGCACTTTCCCCTTCCTGCCTGGAGCAGAACAAAAGCAGAGACAGACAATAGATCTGAACTATCAATAGGTTGTTAATTTAAAATCCTGAACACACACCTCTGTACTCTGAGATATTTCATGCAGCTGCCAGACAGGTCAAATATACGTAATTTTACCACTTCATTAGCATACCACACAAATAGTATCACCCACAGGGTAAACAAGGCTGATTCTTCGTATCTAAAAGCAACATATATCTGCACACTTTCAAATTAAATTTATGGATTCAGATAATAAAATTAAGTGGCCTTTTCAAAACCAGAATTTTACTCAAAATTAACTGCAAATAAAAGGCACTAAAATTACTCTATCACATTCATTTACAGAGTTCATGGCATCTCTACACTGAGTGTTACTGGTCTGAGGCTTCTACACAGCATCAAAAATATTTTACACCTGCAGGTACCGGACTTGTTCCTGAATTAGGATAATTTAATGCTTTTTAATGCCCTCAAGCTGGGAATATTTTGCTCATAAATATGTGCAGAAAAGAACCCTGACAGGAGTATGTTTGGTTTGTAAGACCCATATTTCTGTGCTGTGTAATTCTACAGGAAGGCATGAATAACATGAACTCTTCATGATCTTTCCCATTCAAAGCTGGCAGGAATTTCCAATCAGTAAGTGCTGACACATCCTCAATTAGAGCTTTGGAAATGAAACACAAACCCAAAGAAGAACACAAGAGAAGAAGAGCCTTTACAGCCATGAATTTTGAAACTGCCTTTGCAGATCACTGTTACTGAAGGAATACAGAGTATTCAGAGGAATGCAGTGTTCCACACTGAATCTTCCTTGTATATTAGAGGGAGCTTGAAGACTGAGGAATGCCATGAAAATAAGACTGCTCTAGACTTAATATTACTAAGATCTTACTAAGTTTACTAAACTTACTAATCTACCTATGCTACAGATTTCACATCAACAAACATATTCCTGTAGACTTATGATTTATTCTTGCAGTCTCATATCTGAAATCATTGAAACCCTAAACTTACAAAAGATTCGCTGATGCTGCAGCACAATTGAGAGTTTTCATCCCTCTCAACACGTTATGCAGCTGCTCCCTCTCCTGGCAAAAAATCCCCACAACAGGAATGTGCAGCAGGAGAGATCGGGCAGAAGCAAACGTGTGGTTTCAAAGAAAGAGAAGTAATGTTTTAAATCCCTACTTTGCAACTGAATACATTCCTGGTATTTACTAATGAATGTCACCCACAGAAGCAGAAAAACTTCAGTTTTGAACACATCAGTCCCCATATTTCCACCTTCTGAGGAAGGACAACCAAAACTTGTCAGCCTCGCCTTTCATTTTCTACTTCTCTTCTTGCTGTGCATTCCTAATTCCTGCCTAGCTCAAATCTCCCAAGGCCAAGCTCCCAAGGAGCTCTTGTTTCTAAGAGGTTTTGAAAGCACATCAGGTTTTCACTAGACACCAAACCTGGCCCTGGATTTTAGCCCCACCTTACCATCCTCCAACATCACCCCGGCTGTCGGTGGTGTAGTCGGTCACACCGGTGAGCAGCGTGGCATAAATGTGATCAACGTTATCCCTGCAGACATATTCCTGCTGGGATCCATCTCCCTTCACACCCATTGTCTGGCAAACCCTTCAAAAAAAGAGGAAAAGAAGGGATGGGAGGGAATTAAGATCAAGCTTTGTTACTTTACTTAAAATTCCCAACACCCATAACGTCCTCTACACATGCAATGAGAATATTTCTGTGCTGTATTTGACCTGAGGATTTCTGAGCAGTGTTTGGGTTCAAAGCAACACTGGCAAAGCTAAGATCTCAGCAGGGAAGTAGGCTGCTTTCACATCTCTAACACTACAAAAAGCAACATGCTTCAGTATCTGTCAGTTTCTGAACTCTCCTTGAAGTCAGGAAGAAGAGCAAAGGGCCAACACAATGTGCATTGAACCTGATATTAAACTTCTTTACCTTGAAGACACAGGGTCTTTAGCGGTGTAACAGTTAAAGAGCATGAAATATTCATGTGTACTATTAACTGCACTGTGACATTCAACATAGAAAATATTCCTCTAAATAAAAGGCATGATTTCTTTAAATCAATACAATATTTTTAAGATTGTGGAAAAAACATATATTCTTCCTCCTCAGTAAAGCTCATTGAATTGCAGCCCATGAGAAAGGCAAATAATAAAATATACTCTAAGCAGTCAGTTAACTGATAAAAAACTGACAGCACCATCAGAGTTGTAGTCCATAGTCAGGTGTGTGGTAATCCTCTGAATCAAAAATAAACTGAGTGCTGGAGATGCAGACACTCAAAACATGTGTGTGACAGAATAACTGATTTTAAAACTCATGGCCCCAGCAGAATGAACAGGAGAAAGCTTCTACAGAAAGATTTAAAATTAGACAAAGGCAGGGATGAGAAACATACTTTGCAATTGCTATTAAGGCATCTCTCCTGGATTCAGCAAAGCTCACGTCTTCAGGGGAAATTATTGTAACTTTTTTTAAACCTTCCAAAACCTGAAAAAATAGAAAGATTGAGATATATAAATCCAAAGCATTTTTTACTATGTTAAATTTAGATATCAGTGCACAGTGAGTTCAATCCTGTACGAAAGAACCAAGGAGGCAGCAGAGTTTGGATTCTCAGCAGGAGCAGCCTGCACACCTCTCTCTCTGCCCCTGGACCAACATCCCATAGCAAAGGGATAATTCAACCTCTGGATTTTCCATTAACACTACTAAAGCACTAATTATCAGAAACTATGGCAAGCTCAACTCATGATGATTTTCTGTACATTAGCATTCAAACCCCTTTGACAAAAACCTTTAATTATGATCATTGTTATTTATTTGATTTACTGTCACAGGTTTCACTCAAAATGCCTTGTGCCCTCTTCTCATTCCAATGATCCTATTTTCTCACCTGTTGGAGCCTGCCCTTCAGCACAAATCTTGGAAGGGCCCCAAGAGCTCGTGAAAAGCCACAACGAATCATTTCCTCTGCATTTTGTAGTTCTGAAATGTACTGTGTCACCAGCTCATCTGGAAAAAAAACAATTGCAGAGTGAAAAGCAACTACCACATCATTATAATTTCATATTTGGCTAAGGAAAAAAAAAAATAAGGAAAAGATCCCCTAAACAAAGCAGCTGGAAAATTTTGTAATTTGTTAAACTAAAATGCAGAATACCTCCGTTTTCTACAGGAAAAGGATAAAAATTTTAAGATGTTCACTTTTACATGAATGAATTCATATTTTTTGTCTAAAAATCTGACTTTGTATTTAGGCTAAGTCTACTATTTCAGAGAGAGAAAATACAAACTTCTCAATTTAAAGAGTTGTTTTAGACATCCAAATAAGTATAAGAACAAATTTCTGGGTAAACACAAGGGAGCAAGTTCTTTTTATATTTATAGGTCACTATATTCTTTTACTGGATAAGTGTTCTGTGTCAGGCAGGAGATCCCCAGGTTTGTGGAGGTCAGTTATTTAAACTCTGAAAACTCCTGACTGGAGTCCTGTTTAAGCACACACACATCACACCTAAACAGTGAGATAATTTCAGACCATTTTTCATAGAGAGACACAAATGAAGTTGGGTGTTTTGGAGGAGAAAGCTCAAGAAGAAATTCCCCTTTTGGTTCTGTGTGCTGGCACAGGACCCAGCAGGGACAGTGGCCCTACAAACAGCAGTAGTCAACAGGCACAAGAATAAACTCAGCTGGGAAAAGGAGCCTCACCAAACATTTAAAGTGGTATCAAGGAAAAAATTAGGGTGTAGGAAAAAATAAGAGAAAAAGTCACTTCTGCTGCAGTCTTTTTCTCAGACTTACAGACAATACTTTCTTTACCTGATTTTCCACATTAAACTCTCCTGTAAAATGCAGAGAAAAACAAAAGTACTCCAGAAAAGCTTCTCCAAGACAGCTGCAATAAACACAGCTCTGATTCAGACAGGAGCAAGGTGGTCTTATCAATCCCTTTACTGGAGACACTTTTTAATCCTCAAAGAAAAAGAACCAGAGATCCTGGGAAGATTACATAATTGTGCCACTGCTTATTGTAATCTAAGGTTTAAATGGTTGAGCAATGTTTGCTAGAGGAAGAAAGAAGAGTTGCCATAAGGAACTCCCCATTCATCACAATTCATGAGTGTTTCTTTGAAACCCCAATGCAATGGACAGGCCCCAGCTTGTCCCTCCCATCACGGGCCAGGCTCCCTGGCCAGAGGTGAGCAATACCTTCAGATAACAACATCTGTTACTTAAAACTTTCCAAACCACCAGGGTGTTAAAAGTCCTGAGGCCATAGGAAGATGCAGTGCTTGCTGTGACAGCAAGAAGATCTTAAACAGTGAGGCTGTGATGGTCTCCACTTTGAGTGGTGTAAACTTAAGATTGCCATTTTGACATGGCAACGAGCAAACAAGCAGCTCTTCACTTACAACCACTCAGTAATTACGGTGGAAAGTGTCATGCAAATGTTAATATCCTTCTAAGAGCCTTCAGCTTCATAAACCAACAGGGCCTATGAAGTGTCTACAATATTAATTCCACACAACCCATCCTGAAAGAATATTAAAAGAGAAAGTCAGCAAAACCAAACCAGAATGCATTAAGACAGGAACAGCAAAAACAAGGAGACCAAAACAAACAGAGGCAAAAGTGGTGATTCAATAAAACTGCAGCCTTATAAGGACAGGTTCAGAAAATCAAATTGCTAAAGCACCTTTGATTGGTGCATTAATTTTAATCATCAAACATCAGTGAAATGCTGGCTGAATTTTACCAAAAGCCGTTTTTTACCCCCTAATCCCCTTGATCATGTCCAGACCTGCTTTAACTGATTTATCTAAGGCTCCTGCAGTGCAGCTTCCACACATACCCACATCCATCACACACTGTGGGGAGGACTTTCACTACTGGATTTCAATCCCACAACAGACAGACATGAAATGTATTTATGATAATTTATGAAAGTTTTATCAGTACAGAGATAAAATACAGCCTTTTTTGATTTTTTGTTTTTTAAAAGATGTTTGCACATGTAATGGCACTTCTGCTATTATGTGTGGAGCAGGGTCTGGTGCAGTCAAGGCCAAGTAAAAGGGTACTCAAGATGGAACTCACCAGAGAGTTTTCTAGAACAGCAAAAACTGCCAATTCACAATTCTATTGTGAAAGTCCAATGATAAATTCTGTCTGTGTCTACAAATTTCACCTAATTATGTCCCTAGACCATCACGGCTACATTGCCATGGTACCTTCAAGCACACAGATGAAGTTAATCTAAAATCCAGGAAGAAACAATGAGGCTTCAGAGGGGCCTGAATTAGTACAGAAACATCAGCAGCAGCCTGTGCTTCCAGCAGATCCCTTCTCCCTGACTTGGGCACCTGCCTGAGTTTTCCAGTCCACTTTTACAGAAGCTTGAAACTTTATCCTTACATAAAATTTGACCTATCAATATTTCAACTCATTTTTAGCTTTTTTTGCTTTGACTCAGCATTTCCTCCTCCTCCTGCCCAGCACGTTCTGGTTTTACACATGACCCTTTCCTGAGGTTGTGGGGATTTTATCTGCCTTGGTACCATATCACATCTTCCCATGCTGCCCACAAAGAATTTGGCAGGCAGGACCAAACTCCAGGAAGGAAAGGGCTATAAAGGGGTTTGGGTTTGTTTGGGGTTTTTTTTTGACAAAAACATAGAGATTTAGCACTATATAAAGTATTTTAAAATCAGGATAGGCTGCTTTTATAGTTCAGCCCTAATGTCTTTGGGGCATAGACTGCATGTAAATACACATGTGATCGATATCAAGTTTATTTTGGGAACAACTCTCAGACAAATAAATAATAAGGTATTTTGTAACCTGATTTAATAATGGCAAAAAATAGAAAAATAAATCAATATTTTCTTAAGAATATGTAAATTCACTGTCATATTTAGAAAAAGAGGGATATAAATGTTGTTATTCTTAAAATATTTATCCGTACAATTCAGCAATTTGTCTCTGATGGACATGATACAATCTGATCCTAAAGACAGGTACAAGAAAAGCAGTATAAAAAAAGATGCTGATTCATATGCCCCCAAGAGAAGTTTAAGCTTCCTCCAGTACTGCTGATCCAAATACAAACACATGAACTGACACATGCACATTTATCAGAACTCTGGGTGTCATTTTCTATCCTTTTCTTATCCCTTAGCAATTCTTCTGTAAATCAGCCATGATCTCTGGCAGAGTTTATCAAAATAGGATGTGAAAAAGATTCACTTTGTTAAAATTTAGGATTTTAGGAACACATAATCTTTGTTTTACAGTATGGAATAGAAAAGCAACATAAATTTGCCTCGTATTCATTATGGTGGTACCTTCTGTCCACCTGCAGTCTAAAGCCCTGAGACATTTCCTACACTTTTCAGACAATTTTCAGCTTTTTTTTCATTTTTTTTTTCCCTGAAGAATTTTCAGTTCCTTTAAAACCAGTGATGCTCCTCCCCATTCTGTGCAATACCTCCAAAGTGCAAGTTTGGTCCAGCCTCTATGTTAAACATGAATCATTACCCTGCAGAGCTGGATCAGCTTCTCCCCTCTCGTTGATGTAAAATTCATTGCACAGCGCGGCCAGAGCAGACACTGCAGACTCCTGCAACAAAGGCACAGAAATACATTTACTCACCTCATATGTTCTCAGAATTTTTAAGGAAAAAGAGAGTGGATTTAAAAAAAACAACCAAAAAAACTCCTTTCAGATACTGGCATTTCCTTTCTTATTATTTCTTTCCAATACTGGTTTAGTAAGGAAACTTATGTATGGAAAAAACAGATTTTAATCTTATTCCTTCAATATGAGCAGTAAGCTAAATTAGTATTTAAGACAATAACAGTAATGTATGAAATGTATTTTCAGTTCAGATGAAAGACCTCCAGGATGACCCAGCATCACAAAACACAAAAGTCATTATTTCATCTTCCATACACTGATACCAGACTGACAAACAAACCCTATTTACCCAGGGAGCTACAGAAAGGAAACACAGAAAATATCATGGACTGAAGGTTAGAAACAAAAACCCAAACATCCAGGATCACAGGCTTTGAGTCCTGATCTTAACTGGTTTAGAAAAGGAGAAATGATTGTGTATTACACCTGAACCTCCTCATTTTCAGAGTGGTTTCAGTTACTCATACAGAACACAAAACAACTCAGCTGCTATTTCAGAAAGCACATAATAGCTTTTCTCATGGAATTCATGGCTGAATTATACTTTTCAGCTGATAATATAATGTTACCCAAAATTATAATAAATTTGAAAGCACACAAAAGCTATGCATTGTTCACTTCATGTTAATAGCAACAATACCTATTAACACTCATGTTCTCCAGGTACAAGAAATCTCAAATGTAACAGAGAAATCCTGCCCAGCTGATTCATTCTGCCCTCAAAGACACCTCAGACAAGTTCTCTATGCAAAATCAAGGACTTGAAAGAAAACCAACACTTACCTAAACAATATTCTAACTACCACAGTCATTATAGTAGCAAAATATGCAGAATTAGCAAACTGCTGTAGATCAGGGACCTTTAAAGGCCAAATTATCCAAGTTCTGCCAGGGGCAGGGATGCCTGGGACCAGACCAGACTACTCAGATATTTCACTTTCTAAATTAAATGTTTTTCACTTTAAATGTATGAAGTTAAACTGGAAAAGAATACTGTATATCAGAAAAAAAAAATATTACTTTTCAATATCTTAAGCATTGCCCTTAAAATTATTTCGCTCTAAAACAGGAACAGAAATAAGTCAGAATTGCCATTTACTAAATACATTTTGCTCAGCTTTAACTGATGTTTACCAAACAAGTTAAAATTCTCTACAGCCTATAATTAATTCTTCTAAGCTTTAGGTTTAGAAGTTCCAGTTATAAGACATACCAGCACTTTGAATAAATTGTTAATGCCAAAAAAGAATTCAAATTTCTTTTTTTAAATTTCCTTCAGTGATTTGGATACACTCCAGTCTCCTTTGTCTCCCAAGGACAACTTTAAAAGATGAGCTGTGAGGTACCTGAAATGTCTTTTTATTTTATTACTAAAACCTGACACTATGAACACAGTATGTTAAATTCAGATTGTCTGTAAGCTCCAGCAGGGCAGACAGAAATTGCCTTTATAATTCAGCAGAGCCTTTAAGAGCACAAGATCAAACTGCCATGGGATTTCTTGGGAAAATTAAGGCGAATAACTGGAGGTGTTAGGATGATGTAAATAAAACAGCATGAGACATATCCATCAATGGATTTAATATTCACAATCAGAGCAGCCTGAGAACACAGAAAAAGGATTTGCAGCAGAGTTTAATGCAAAATTTAAGCTGCTTGTCCTGAGTAACTCTGGTAACTCACACCAATGCTCACAGAGCTACCAAACCCTCAGTACCTGTGGACATCATCCAGAGCATTTTTAATTCTCACAAGAGCTCTCTGAAATCACACATATTACAGGTACACCAAAACAGAAGCAAAACACCCTCTAAATGTAACCAGAGAGCCACCAGGGAGTTCCTTCCAGCACCATCAGTGACTCCTCACCCTGTCCAGAGGTACAGACAAGAACAACCTTGGGGATAACTGCTCAAATATTAATCAGAAAGGTCCACTGGAATCTTGAGGAATTCAAAATATATTTTTTTAAACACCCCTTCTCACACATGTAAGAAACAAGCATTCAAGAACCAATAAGATCCCATGGATAATCCACCAAAGGAAAGCAAGAGTATTTCTAATTCTGTATTTAATGTGACCACGTGAAGGAAGAGAAATTACTGTACCTTTATATGCTGTCGTGCAGCACTGGAAACAAGAGTGAGATGTCTTAGACTGTCATTTATTAACCACTGCCAACCTCCTGGAACAGCAAGGAACATAAATAGTTTCAACTTTTCTAACTTTCTGAACTTCAACATTCTCCATTTAAATTTTCCATAGCCCAGCAATTATATAAATCAAGCTGTGCCTTTGCTTTTCCAAATTAAACAAGGCTCTGACTCCCAGTACAGCTACCCCAGCCTGGATTACCATGTCCACAGTGAACACCCCATGCCTGGTGATGCTGAGTATTCTATTCTAATACATTCTATTTATTGGCAAGTTAAAAGCTAAAAACCAAATCTTCAAATTTCAATCAGCATCTGCTGCAGCATTTGTCTATCTTCTTGGTATTTTTTTAATGTGTTAGGCCACCATTAATTTTGCTTCTTTGAAAAGCATAATTTGTTAATGCTTTAGTTTAATGAACAGTTGCTACAGTCATGGAAGGTTATTTAAAATAGGACCTACCGATGATTGGATCTCCTCTAAATGGCATTTTTGATAGCGACAACTTTTCAATTAAAGTGCAGACTGTAAGAAAATAAGTTTGATGAGAAGATAAATACCCTTCCAAAAAACAGAAATTGTAGCAAATTTGAAGAGACAACCACAGGAAGTTACATTAGCTATAATTTTAAATTTAAGAATATTTGCAAATAGATGTTCCAAATAAGAGAAATTAAAAACTGAAAGGAAATTACATTTGTACAAAAATCACTACCATGCAGTAACTGTCCTCTGACATGAGTTAGTCCCATCATTCATGCAAATCCCTTGTTTGGTGGGATGTTTTCCCCCTGTGCCATTCAAGATGTGCATGTCAGCCACAATTTTTCTGCTATACAGTCTGGAAATGGCAGTGTAGCATCAGTGACAGTAAACTGAGACAAGGATAATACTACAGCCACTAAAAACTATTCAAATATATAGGACAGGTTTTCCTACTTCTTCACATTGTTTTTGAACCTCCAAGGAGTGGCATTTGTTCACTGCACAGAGCTGGGAGCTATGAAACTGGATACAGCTTTATTTCCTTTGATACTTGGAATACATGAGGACATCCTTTTAATAATAAAGTCCTAATTATTTTTAATATATGAACTTCGAAGAGTTCTATGCTTACAAACCCACTTTGAGAATTGTATTTTTTTTTAACTGTTTTGAGGCTTTTTTTGGGGAATGGAAATTAACACAGTAAACACTGAAAATTTTCTATCCAACAGATTGACTGTATTGCTCAAATGAAAACTCAGCACTTGGGGAATGCCATTATATTTCACCTCCTGGGGTTCAGTTCAAATAAATGAGATTGGTATAGTTCCATCTCACTGCCTGGCTGCTTTAGAGCTGGTGGAGAGGAGGGAAAGGACAGAAGAAGGTGCTGTACAAAGTAATGCCAACGTTTTGCTTTCCTCTCCTCCCACAACTTGATTTTTGACTCTTCCTCTGGGCTCTGCACACAGTTCATCATTTTCATTTATAATCAACTTACTGGGCTCCAAATCTACTCTTGAACTTGCTCCCCACTATGGCAATGTCACACAGAATCCTCTCAACACTGTGTGTCAGCTTCTCTGTGCTAATATTTATTCACAGACAAGGTTAAGTGCAATGTGACTAAACCAAGTCTCTTGGGGTTCCTCCTTAATTCTCTTTGCTCTATTGTGGTTGAGACCATCATCTTCATTAGACATGCAGGCAATTTGTGGAACATTTTCAATTGTTCTCTTACTCCACCTACACAGTTGTATCATGCCAAAATACTGCCACTTGTACTTCTCCAAAACCATGAAATGTTCAGCTGCTTAGAAGTGAAAATATATCAGAAAAAAACCCATTCCTTCAGCTTGCATTTTCCTGTCATACAGCTGTAATCTCACTCAAATCCCCTGGCTCTTCCACCTCAGTACTGAAGCTCTTTTACCCACGAGGTCTGGATGGCTTCAGATCTTCCAAGCTGGAATCTGCTTTGCAGCACTTCCTTCACTCAGCTCACAAGCAGGAAACCAAGTTGGCATCATTTCCTCATCCACCCAGCCTACTTCTTCCTCCAACACCCTTCCTTTTTACAGCATATAACAATCTGCAAAATCCATCTTTTCTGTGATGCCACACTCCCCACAGACTGTTGTTTATATGATCTTTATGCTTCACTTCTGCACACACTCTTGTTACGATAAAATCATTATTTCCACCATGGCTTCTGTCTGAAAGTGCAGATTATATCTATTCTGGAGAGGAATCTGAGTAAATCACTGAAGGAAGACAGTTCAACCCTAAAAAAACTTCCCTGTGTGCAACAACAGAAGGACACAGTGTGACACAGAGCCCAGAACCCTCTCCAGCTCTTACACAGAGCTATTCCAAGTGTATTGGCACTCCACGTCCTGGTGCACCCATCTGCTGATTGGCCTCCAGAGTTCCTATTTTTTTAATTACTGTGCAGACTTCACTTATACATTCAACACAACATATGCAAAATGAACTGGAAACATGTAAACAGCCAAATTCCTCAGGGCACCTCCTGTGCTGTCCCACCCCAGCTGTGGTACTTACCAGCCGGTCTCATCAGTTCTCCTCCTAAACCCCTACAAAACAGAAAACAGCCTTCAGAGAACAACCCACCACAGGTGACCTGAGTGCCCACAGTGAGGCAAAAGCACCTGGAAACCATTTCAGAATGAAAGCAGAGCACAAAATACCCGCAGTTTTGTATTTGATCAGCTCTGTTCCCTTTTAAATCAACTTTTCTTGACTTCTGCACAATTATTGCAAACCTCTCCTGAATATTGAGCTTTCTTCTTGCAAAAATGCACTCCCAGCCTTCCTTATCTTTAATGTGAATAATAAAAAGACTGTCAAGTTCCCTCTGCTTTTCTTTTCACTTGCTTCACAAACATTCCAAACCCATGAGACTGGCCAAAGGACTTTCCAGTCTCTACCGGATTCTGATTTTCACAAGTGAAAAGGAACTACAAGCAATTTTTTAATAAAATCATAATCTCTGCAAAACTAAATAGAAACTTCCCTTCCCAGTTCCCATTTTCACATATGTTAACTGGTTTCCTCTCCTGGTGAGATTTATCACCCTTCTCCTTTCCTGCTCAAGTCCCCTCCCAGGTGATTTTGTGTTTATCACCACAAGAAACACATCAGAAAAGGGAGAGAAACAAATGGCTCAAGCTACTTCAGACCTTCCTGAGGAAAAGGTGTGTTCCTCAAGGATGTTTCACCAGCTCAGACCTCAGCCCACTTCCTCTGTCTGAACATGAGCCCAACCAGCAACAGCACTGGGAGAAGAAAATCTGAATGGGCAGAAAGTGGGGAGAGGGAAAAATATCCTGGGAATGGCAGGGTCTGTTTCCACTCTGTGGCTTCTCCTGGCTGTGAGCAGAGACTTCTTTCTCCTCACCCTGCTGAGCAGTGTCTGCTGCTTGTCTGGATCCCCATCCCCAAGGCACTGTCTGAGGTGTTTCACTCAGTGTCACCCTCTGTGACTTCACTGCTCCATTTTGTGAACCTTTGACCTCCCCTTCCTTTGGATATTTCTACCCTTGACTCCTTATTGTCTCCCTTCACTTCTGCTGGAATATTTCCTCCCTGAGGTGTGCCAAACCCTTAATCACCTGTTTGCATGTCCATGCTCTGGCAGAAACTCCCAGCAAGGAGAGCAACAACAAAGGCTTTTTTGTTTATTTGCTTGTTGTTTTTTGTTTATTTTAAACATTTTCTTCCATCCTCTCCTCCTCCCTCCCCACAATAAAATTAGTAGCTGTGCTCAGAAGGCCAGCTTGGCAATCCTAACAACTCTTAAAACTTTGTTCTCCAATTTATCCCTTTGTATGAGCTTCAAAAGCTTGAACATTTTCAACACATTTTTCCATTCCACACAAGGAGGTCCCTTCTGCAATATGCTCTGGGTTTCTGACTGCTCAACAATTTCACTGGTGTTTCAGAAAACACAGAGATGCCAACTCCACAATATTCTCATCTGCCATAGGTCAGCACTTCCTTTAATTGAGAAACTTTTGCTTTCCACAATCAATATATACTAGGCTTACTTTATTAATCTCCAGCTCACTTTATCATTGTAGGAAGCAAGCACAGATTCTACATCCTCATGCTGATAAGGTCTGTGTATTGTCTACCCCACCCTCCTGTCATGCTGTCTGCTCTCCAGCTTCTAAAAAAATTTAAATCAGAAAACAAAAAAAGTGATGTCAGGAGTCGAGACAGCGGCAAAAACAAGTGACTGATGTGGCAAACCTTGCTTCCTCTTCCACACTTCTTTTCCCCTTTATTTTGCCTTCACCCATTCCTTGCCTTTTGTCTGTTGCCTTACTGCAAATGAGTATAAAATAATCACCTTGCAAATGTGTTTGGTGTGCAGCAGAGTCTGCTGATGAAGGGATTCAGATATGGACAGTTCTGCTCCAACTACAAAGCCAGAACTGACTCACAAAGGCTGCTCTTCTCCATTTCCTTGCACTGCCAAGGAGGAAGTCAGGCCACTTCAAGCTGTGCTGATGGTAATAATTTGAGTGTTATCCCTTCCTCTGGCGTTTCACCAACTCCATTTAATTCCAGAGTTTGGAGCCTCTCTGAGGATTGCTGTCCCCATGCAAGAATGCAGAAAGGTGACAGGGATTTGCAGAGCAACTTTTCCACGTGGCACAAACTCCAGTCCAATCCCTCTTGGGTGGCACCATGACCTGTGTGTGCTCCTCTGCAAAGCTTCCCGAGCTGGATCTTGTCCAGACACTCTGTGTGTCCACCAATAGGGCTCATTTTTTCCCCCTTTCCACAGCTCATGCATATTTCACTTTTAAAAAACAATAATTCTATCGTAATCCAAGATCTTTCCTCAGTGCTTGGTTTGTCAAACACGATGCACATCTTTCTATTATCTCACTGCACAGTATTTCACTAAATTAAAAAGATAACGGATCTACCTAATTCAGAGATTTTGAATTTTGCTGTACAGTCAGTATTCTTTATTTTTTATTCCAAAGACACATCCACAAGTTGCATCACATTATTGGATGTACCTGTTTCAAGCTTTAATTATTAATTCAATTTGCAAATTGACTGATGCAGTGCCCAGGTTCCACAAGCTCCTAAGCATTCCTTCGTGTGTGCAGTTCCACAGCAATGCTTCTCTCCTAGAAACATCCTGGGATGAGTCACAATTTACATGTGGAAAATAAAATATATAGTCCCTTGCAGAACTGACAAATTAACATTACTGACCTAAGAATGACAGTACTTATTTTATAATTACATTGGCTTGAATCAGAACCAGTGACAGTGCTGTTCCCAGGGCATAAAGAAGTTCAAAGTACTTTTGGGGATTTATTTTTTAAAATTATTTTAAGCCTGCTGCTTTTTGTGAGAAAGCCAGAATTCCCTCATAAGATAAAAAAAAAAACAGTAACTGAAGCTGTTTAGAACTGAACAGCATCTATGTTTTCACAGATATTCAAATCTGAAGCTAAAAGTACTGGAATAGTTGAAGAGATTCAGTTGTAAATACTGGATTTTGGGAAAGCTGAGAACACGTATTTTACCTTCACATGAACAGCAACCAAGCACTTTCCTTGGGAACTCTTTGTCCCAAATAGAACTGAGGTATCCTTAAAGGTTGCACATTCCCTGGGTTTTGCAGGTACAGAACAGCTTTTTCAGAGGGTACACAAGGGGGACAGAGAAACTCCTGAGCACAGCTGAATAGATTAACAAAACTTTCATGGCCAACCCTTCAAGATGCACAGAATAAACCACACTAACATGAGAACCACCAAGTTTTAGGCTACTGTAAATTCGTATGCCACGATGTATTCTAACATCAGAATGCTACTATGGAAGTAAAAGCTTTCCCAGTGACTTCAGTTTGTAGCAGAAGAATTTCACTTTACAACTCTTCAGAGAACAGTGCAGCAGATCTCACAGAGCCATCCAGGTCCTGGATGCATAAAACCACTTGAACTTGGAAGAACTGTTAAGATGAGCTTTGCTGCAAAGCTGGAATTCTTTGCTGATTAAGCTCATCTGCCTAAAAAAAACTCTTTTAGGCAGATGAATGCCAAGAAACACATTTGCCCTGAAACCATCAAGATTAGTTACAACCTTAAAGGTCTTTGAAATGAGACGAGTTTCTCTTTTGCCCAGCACCTGTCAACACCTGCAGGCTCCCTTACTCTGCTGGAAAAGCCGAAACTCAGAAGGTGCCAGTTCAACTGACACTGGCTGCTACCCCAAGCTCCTAAATCTGCTGGGCTGCCACAGCTGACGTGCTCCACACCCAGCCAGTCTCTCCAGAGGCTGCAGGGATGAGCTCATGGCAAGGCTGGGTGTGCAGCACGTCGCAGGCACCGCGCTGCCCGGCGTGGGAGTCGCTGACGAACATCCCGACACATCCAGCTCGGATGGAACCCTCGAGGGCCAATAAACACAACATCTGCTGAGACACAAAGTGCACTGCAACCACCTGCAGGCAGCCCAGCACTTCCATAGCCACTCCTGAGCTCCTTCTGGGCATTCAGGCCTCTGGTATCAGAATCAGAACTGGCTACGAGGAAGTGAAAATGTATTCTGAACATCTGTTCATTCTTGAACAGTCAAGAACTTAAGTCTTGTCAATAGAGAAGTCTCTCAAGAGCCTAAGACTAAGAGCCTAAGATGAGGCAGTTTCAGAGAACCATAACACAACTACTATCAAAATACTCTTTTCTTGAAGACTTTTCATATTATTGGATCACAGGATTATTTAGGTTGGAAAAGACCTTTAAGATCATTGAGTCCAACCACTGCCAAGACCAACATGTCCTTTTAATAAGTCTTTTAAATGTGTTAAAACCTTTTAAACACATCTTTTAAATCTAGGTTTCCACAATGGTAAAAAACAGGGTTGGTGACTGCACCACTGCCCTGGGTAGCCTGTGCAAGGGCTTCACAAACCTTTGAGAAAAGTGTTTTTTTTTCCAGTTCCATTGGTGCAATTTAAGGCCATTTCCTCTTTCCTATCGCTTGTTACTTGAGAGAAAGAGAATTGAGAATGAGTCCAAGGTCTCAGATGCACAACAGAAATAGATCTGCTACAAAAAAAACAGCTACTAACCATGCTGGTGCAGTGGAAGCAGAATGGAAATCAGACTGACAAGTGACTCTGTGTTCAAACCAGCAGAGTGATTTCCTAACTCAGGTAACAGAGATGAACACAACAGATGCCGCAAGTTTTTCATCTTAGGTTTTTATACATAAAAGTTCCATTTAAAACAAATAAAACACAGCCCAATTTTTGGAATTTTACAACCTGTACAGCCCTAAACAGGTACAGGAGGCAGATGCTCTACAGGGCATGGTTTGCATAACCCCCACACAGAAACCCAGAAACTCCTGCACAACCCACAGCTGGAAGTGCACATGCAAATGCTCAAACCAACCAGCTCCTCCAGACAAACCAGTGCATCAGATGTGTCAGGATCAAGGATAATGGCAGGAAGTACACACTGATGTGCCTGGACTTGCAGGCTCCTTTGTACTATGGCAAACCCAGAAAGGACTTCTGCAGGACAGAAAAATACATGTATTTTTTTAAAAAACGGTAATAGGGCAGAAGATGGGATTTTCTACAATGAGCATAAATAAATTTGAATGCTTCAAGTATGTTCAAAACTGAGATTGACTGCAGAATAACTCAAAACTGGACTGTGTAAAGGATGATTTATGGCCATTTTTCAAAATCAGGTTAAAGATGGTGCAAGAACTGCTAAACAAAGAAGGATGCTCCAGCAGCTCCATGAATGTTTCCATTACAGCACTTTGGCTTTCTCTCCTTTGACTTGAGGTCCTTATGGATTCAACAGAATCAGACAATCAAGAAACTGATGACCCATCTTCCAGCTTAAAATTTATAAATTGCAACTTCGTAAAATTTATTTTTAAAAACCCAAAATCCAGCATTTCTATGCTTTACTTCCTTTTCCATTTCTCAGAGGGCAAAAAAATTCCCTAGAACTGCTTAATCCAAGCATTAAAATCCCTTCAGTCCCTGACAAGGATGTTTTGTGGCCAGAAGTGAAAGCAAAATATCTAATAAACAGTTGAGACATGTGGCCAGATGCTGTTTCTTAATACAGTTTAAAAACCTGAAACACAAATTAAAAAACACAGGTTTTGAACATTCCTCCAAGATGTTGTTAACACTGAAAATTCCCGGTAGCAATTTCTCAAATGGAAATCTTTGGAATATTATGTGCAATAATTACTCATCATGAAACGAGTTTGGCTTGTTTCACTAAATGCTTGCCCAGCAACACTCAAATTGTTGGTTTGTTTTTATAACCTAGTTTATTTTTCTTGTCCCATTTTAAAATACTTGATGCATAGTGATATTTTACAACATGGATTAGGGCAGACATCTGTGTCTCAGCTAAGTATGAGGGCAAACAGCAGCGAATCAATCTCGCTTGGAGTTGAATTAGAACTCTTACCTAGAACAAAAACATTTCTGTAGGCACCTAATAAATACCATTAAGTGCAAGAAGTGCATATTACGACAAAAACAAATTACACCCAAGCTCCACCCTGACATTAAAGAATTTATGGAAGCCAAGAGAGCCACCCACAAAGACATGAATATACAGTATCAGCACTAAGCCCATCTGCCAGCCCAAGCTCACTCAGGGCTGCAAGTGTCACATTTCTCTGGATAACCCATCAAGAAGTAAATTTTATCAGTTTTTCAAAAAGTTTCATGATTAAAAAAACTTTCATAAAAATTCTTCAACCTGTAATTAAGAATTACATAAAAAAACTAGTTCAGGTTGATTGTTTTCAGGTAAGGCACATGTGAAGAAGTGAACTAAAAATGACCAAAAATGTCAGTTAAAAGAGGAAAAACCCTCACTTGCATAGAGTTACTAGGGAATACAAGTCATTATGGTTTGATTTCCTTAAATTTAGAAGCAAACACACCAGTTTTAATTCACATTTACTTAACAGTTCCTTAAAGCAATATCCCTTAATTTCCTGGAAGCTTCAACAAATAGGAAATGAAAAACAACTTAGTGAAAACTCATTTACATTTTCTTTGTCGCAAGAGTTGAAAAATTGCCCTGAACCTTTTGCAATGCTCCTGTCCTGCTTGTCACACAGGTTAAGAAAGGAAATGGGGAATGGGAGAAGGGGAAGGGGAGAAGGGGAAGGGGAAGGGGAAGGGGAAGGAGAGGACTGGATTTGGGGCTCATAAGTTCAAGGCCAGTTCTGCAGCCCCTTATGAACCCTCTGCAGACAAAGCACTGGAGGGACTGGGGTGGGTGTTACTAATTGTATAAATCCCCCCCTTCCCAGATCCTGGTTTCATCCCTTTCAACTGACATTTCCCAAGATGGAAAATGATGGGTTTGCATCGCTTTTTTCTTACCTGTACAACTGACGACTGCAAAGCTGGGGGGAAAAGAAAGCAATACATATTAATATTAGTTGAGTTTATTTGATCCACGTGTTTTCATTTCTCCCCCTCACGTGCAATGCCATATACTCTGGGCTGTACAAAACTTTACTTAATTAAAAATTAAAATTCAAAGGGAAAACCTCCTTAAAACAACTTCTCTATACCCATTTGAATTTTGTTTTCAAAAAAACCTTAATTTAACACATTCATAAAGCACTAATTTCCTGAACTCCAAACTCAAGCTGCTTCTGCTTCTTAAAAAGTCTGGCTTTTTAAAACTGATTTGCTTTCCACCATTGGCTCTTTTAGAATGATGATAGACTGCATTGTCTGATCACTGAAAATAAATGGAAGCTACAGATTGCACAGAAAAAAAAACTTAAACAAAGAGTTAAATTTGACTGAAAAAATTACTTCATTTTTAATGCTACAGCAAGCCATCATAAAAAAAAACAGATATTATAACATTTATAAGTAGTAAAAGCCAAAAAACACATTTTATTTAAAATTGAGAGTTTATGCACCTGCATCATAACAGCTTAAGGCCACTGTACGAGCAGGGATGTGCTGACCAAGCTTTCAGGCACTTCAACATGAGAAAGTTAAAGGAGAACAAAGGTGCTTTTCCAACCTGTGGCAGCAGCTCTGAGCTGCACCCAGAATTAAACAGGCACCTGTGGACTTTGGTGGGTGAGTGGTGAAGCCTGACAGCACATCAGAGCTGGCACTAAAGGTCCCCCAGATCCTGCAGGAACAGCAGGAGTCTGAATGCTGGAGTATTGTCTGTTCCATGCTGGGAAGAAAAATCCAACAACATGGGATGACTGAAAACAAAAGGGACAAATTAAAATTATCTCCACAGAAGTGTTTGGAAAAGCTCTGAGCAGGACAAGGCTTCATTTAGCATAAGCAGAGATAAAAACCCAATTTACAGAGATAAAAACTCATACAGACAATGTATCTGTATTGGTAGAATCATCAATTGAAATGCAGAATATGACTTTTGAGGCCTATAAACAGGAAATTATGGATGCAGGGGCAAGGAATGGGCTCACTAGATGTCCCTTGAGCACAGTCATCCCAAGGCCAGTCAGGAGGACAAAGGGAAAGCAAAGACAGAGGGAAGAGGAGTCAAAGCAACCCCCTGAGGCATTTCAGAAATGCAATTTCCAGCATCAGAGCTGGGGGCTCAGCAAGAGGCAGAAGAGCCCCCAGTGTCACTGTGTAGGACCCAGGGTCCAGGACACTCAGCTGTCACAGGGTCTGGGGCTGTCCAAACCACTGCTTGTGACAAGGCTCACTCTTGGCACGGGGCTGAGGAAGGTGGAGAACAGCTGCCTTAATTGTAAATCTTTGCTAAAAATCATGAAGCATTCCAGGTTAAAAACAGATTTATGCTGGCTACAGACCTCTTGGTGAATTTGCTTGAGTCCCTCCAATGTTTTTTCACTGAAATAGTACGTTACAGATCTGTAAAAGTATACAAAAATTTTAAAACAGATTTCCTCATCATGCTGTAAATCATTTCTTTTTCCCATACCATCATTGTACTTTCAAACAGAAAACCAATCATTTGATTTTCAAATTATGCTCCACAGAAATATGCAATATTTATTTTTTAATAGTTCAGCAAACATAACAGAAGTTCTTTCCTTATCATACAGAAAACTATTCAAAAAGGCTTATAAAAAAATCAGGGTCACTTCCTAATAACATTATAATTGCCAATACACTGATAACCCTTCTCAGCTCGGTTGTATTTTTAGATTCCAAAATTTCTGTGATTTTTCCATCTATGTCAATTACTTCCTACTACTAAAAATGAGGACACTACTGGCAAATTTCTGTGGAAATATAGAAGTATATATATATACCTGGACCTGCATTCATCAGCATTAAATCAGTCTCAATCAATGAGCTGCTTGAAGAGGTTTTTCTCCAATACTGAGAAGGTATTTCTCCAACTCTAAAGACAAAAGACTGTCCCTACCCAGGAAGGCAGCACACTTATAGGGAAAGAGGAATTAATCTGCGTTTAGCTGAACACATTCAATTCTCCAAGAAAGGCAGCAAATGATCTCTCTTTCCTCATTATGAATTTAAGAGTGAAGTCTTAAATCACTGAATAAAACGTGAAGGCTCAGCATCACTCATAAAAACAAACAAAAATTCAATGCAAACGCAGTTCAGTGAGATGAAGATTTCCATAATTATACTCAGGAAGCTTTTAATAGACCAGACATGAAAGGAAAATTTATAGTCTAGATAATCTTGCATTAATACCTATTATTCTCTTGTGCCAGTTTACACAGAGCATGGGTGATCTCAGCACAGGCAAGGATTGCCCCATGGCGTGTGTGCAGATCTGAGCCCACTGATAAAGGCAGAAGTCTTGGCAAAACTGAAAGAGATTAAATAATTGGGTTTTTTTAAAACAAAGCATAGCGACAGATCCCAGTTCTAAATGTAATTTTGCCTGTCTAGAAATAACACTGGAAAAGCATTTCTGTAAAGTCAAGTATCCTGGCAATGTTATGAAAAACAAGATTTAATGAAGTAAATTCTGGCAAACCACACTGAGCTATTCTATACTCCCAAAATAACATTTCTATTGGGCACTGAGCTGGCTGAGCAGTCAGGGCAGTGGGGCTTGTACTGCCATGGAATTTTATTTCCATGTTAAGTGCCACTGTCCTGGACCACGACAGGAGCCCAGGCAAGGTCTGTCACTGCAGATTCTCAGGGCACTGCCTTCAGCCACGTGAAAAATCTGCCAGTGCAGCCTCAGCATCTGCAATGGGCTCAGCAAAGGACCCTGGGCTCGTGCTAAGAAACATCAAATTACACACACAGTCAGAAAGGAATTCTGCAGATGTCAGGCTGGACAAGACAAAACAGATCCCCCCCCTTACACCATCAAAGCCTTCAAAGCAAAGAGCTGGGCATTTGAGGGGCAGCTGCTGGAGTTGTCCCCACACCCATTTATTCACCTCAGCAGCAGCAGAGTCCAGTGCAGCCAGGACTGGACCACACAAGACCCACACCCCAGATAAAAACTAACCTGACAGTAATTTATAATTTCTGCATAAAACCTGCAAACAGGTAAATCCATCAGGGTCACTATGCTGTATTAAGTGGCAAGGAGAAATCTCAATTTTTATTAAGTAGACTTATTAAATCTTTGTAGGTCTGTCCTGCCTAAGCTCAGCCTGGCTGAGCAGAGCTCAGCTGATACCTACCCACGTTTGCCATGTACTCGGGGGCCTGGGGAGTGATGTTATGCAGAGCTTTGGTTGAAAGTTCTCGAATAACACTGCAGGTGTAAGAAAGCATTTCTGAGGGTTAGCAATTCAGTAGAAGCAATGTGTCAAAAAGATAATGTGAGGAAGGGACTCCTGCCCCCAACCAAAACCTAGGCAAATATTCAAAATTACAGTGCTCTCTGTCCACCCTGTGCTTCCCCCCTGTAAAAAAGCCAGCAAAACCAAAGAGACCCATGCAGCCAGCTTTCAGTGAAGTGAAAAGAGCTCAAAGAGACAAGGAAAAACACCAGTGGGGCTGGTGGAACCTGAGGGCTCGTTCTGTGCTCTGGCAGGGACAGTGCAGTAAACTGTGATTATTTCTCATGATGCAAACTATGATCAGCACTGATAGAATCTCCCTTGTGTGATATGTACACATTTCAATCTTCATGAACACTGAATGTGAGTAAGCACCATCTCTATGCATGAAATCTGCTTTAATTAGGATAATTGTATGGTGACAGTGTTTGGCCCTCACATACACTATATACACCATATAAATGGGTTTTATTAATCTATTAACAGATTGAGGTCATGGCCAAAAGACAAAATTCATAAACCTGTTGAAGTGACAATCTGCTTGGGAGGTACAGATGATATCACCTACTACTTGCCCAGTTTCCTTCAGTCAAATGCTACTGCAAACCCAGGTTTGAGAAAAACTTACAAAAATAATCTACAAAAGCTCAATGTGCAGAACAGTCAATTCCTGGATATTAATAATTAGATTTTAAGAACTTACCTATCCCAATGGTTAATCTTCATGTTAACTAAATGATCAATCATTGGCTGTGTATACTCAGGAAAGCCAGCAATATACACACTGAAAAAGAAAAAATCCCAGATATAGGTTAGAAATCTGGTCCAGAGACAGAGTACAGAACCACTATCTGTGTGCATTTTAGCACCATCTATTCCAAAGGTTTAAATCCTCTGGGTTTAAGCCAACCAAAAAATTACTTAAATGAGATGCAGCAGAATGACAGGATGGGAAATATTCTGAATTATTGAAAAAACTTAAAATCACTTCTGTAAAACATTCAGATTGCTTCTAAAATCTGCTCTATGTACAACAAGCTTGACATCCAATCCCATTGTTACATTCCAGAAAATCCAGATCTGTATAGGAACTTGAATAATTATTTCAGATTGGAGAAACATATCACTGATATCAACTACAAGACAGAGGAAAAATAAGTTACAGAAATGTGTTACATCTTCATGAATACCATGGTCCAAAATAGAAAAGCGGTTTACAGTTTTTCCTTTTTAAAAATCAAACATATGCAGGAAGTTCACTGTGACAAATGCTGTGAAGGCTGCAGAGCTCAGGTGAGAGCTGGAACACCAGCACTAATCACCCAAGGAGCCTGCATTACCCAACTCAGCCACACTTCCAATCTTCAGAAGCATCAACTATCAGAAGCCAAGGTCAACACAAGTAAAGTGAAATGTTTTTTCAGTGCATCTGATGAGTGTTAAATCACCTTGGGAAGCCAAACAATCAGCAGGAAGTGTTTGTGTCAGAAGGGCACAAAGGGACTCATGGATTACCTTAATTTCACCTTTTCATATCTTTTGAGTGATTAACTTTGCAGCTATAATGGTTTTCCATTAATAAACCTCCGTGCAATCAGAAGCAAAGAAAGAGAAAAACCAAATACTGCCACAGGTTCCCATCCAGATATCTATGGAATTCATCATAGAGGGAATCCTTAAATGCAGCCCAGAACTGAGTTACTTGAGCCAACCCTGGACACAGAAGCACCCTGTACTGTGCCCTGGAGAAGGATTTTACAGTTGGTTCAAACTGTTGTTGCTGTCAACAGAGAAAAGATAAAATTCCCATCTCTAGGTCCTCTCCCTGTTCTGCAGGAACACACAATAACACACACATTTCCCCTGCCATGTTTGAGCTCTCCTCTCTTTGTAGTTGCTTTTTGAGTTCCAGTTTTAGCACTGGGAGGAGGAGCAGGAACAGCTTGAGTTTGGAATTCAGGAAATTAGTGCTTTATGAATGTGTTAAATTAGGGGCTTTTTTAAAAAACAAAGTTAAAATGGGTATAGAGAAATAGTTTTGAAGAGGTTTTCCCTCTGAATTTTATTTTTTAAATTAAGTAAAGTTTTGCACAGCTCACAGTATATGGCATTGCATGTGAGAGGAAAAATGAAAGCCAGTCATTTTAATTCTTCCTTGCCCAACTAAAAATCAATCTCTTGGGTCACAGGTGTAGCTAAATCCCACTTTTAGTTTTAGTTTATAACTATCTTTAACTACAGTCCTTATCTTCTGTGTCCTACTGAGAATGTAATGCAAGAATGCTTGCATACAAATCCGTCCTTCCTAATGATGGTGCTGGTTAGAACTTTGTACCCCACTCAGGTTAAGAAGCTTTTTCCTTAACTCTGCTTGTACCAAGATCAGAACTCCTGGAATCACATAATCTCTGTACTGCCAGTTCATATAAAGTAAGTTTCCTTGACCTTCCATCCTCAGAAATGTGTATTTGAGCTGAATTCTCCAAATACCATCAGCAAAAAGGGCACCCAGGGTGAAAAGCCTGAATTAAAATATTTAGATTTGAAAGGCTGTAAGCAACTATTTATATACACACACACAAATATTTGAAAATATACATGAAACTGCCCCTTTACTGGAACAGTATCATCATTTATGAACCAAATTCAGCTGCAGAAATTGACACTTTTTTTTTTTAGCTTTTATTACTCAACATTATCGTGGTACATGTTTTCTGAGTAGTCAAACATATACCTGGGTGCTTTTGCTTTCATGTTACTTAGGGAAAAATAAGGAAATAGCCAAGTAACTTAGGTATTGACCTGAATAATGACAGTCTGCTTGAAGAGCAGTGTTTGAAAGTAATAGAATGAATGAGATGGCAAATAATTTACAAAAAAAAATAGTTTGATTAATGGCACTGAACTGGTTTCAGAAAATCAAGCCTCTAAGTGCATAAGGCTATTTATAAAAAGATTTACAAATTTATTCCTCCTGCTGAGCAATTTACAGAAAGAAATCAACAGTAAAAATATTTTCACTTATGTAAGTGGCACTCATACAAAACCTCAGGAAATCACAGTGAAGGTAGTAAATCAAATAAAATTTAAATTATCAATTAAGCTCTTGAAAAGTCAGAAAATCATAATCAGTCTGCAAGCCAGGATTACAGGAGAGAAAAAATAAAACCTGCTTTGTCACTTTTGAATGTTTTCAATTTTCTGTTAGCACAAAAAACCTGGAGTTCCAGAAATCACATGGATGCCATGCACATGGATCTGGAGAGCTCCTGCATTTCCCCATCTCCTGTAGGCGGGAGCTCAGGGGAAGGCTGTGGGAGGAGGGTGGGGACCCCAGAAGGGCTGCCAGTCGGTAAAAGGTGAAGCTGTGAACAGACTGAAATGATTCTGTACAAAAAGGACAATACAGAGGTGGAGAGATCAATAAAGAAATAGTGGAGGTGAAGACAGAGGGTTCCAGTACAAATTATCTTAAAAACCTCCCGCTGGAAGTCTGGAAGTTGGCAGTGGAGCATGAAGCATTGTGTACCTGTCTGCTGTTTCTGCTCCCCAAGGACATCACCTGCCCAAGGCTCTCTCTGCTGAGCAGCCCCACGGGGCAATTTCTGCCCTGTCTCCACCGGGGCTGAATCACCCTCTGTGCTGCTGTGCTGCTCTCCCCACCCTGCCTCTGACACAGGCTGGACTCGAGGCCAGACTGTCTGAGACAACTCAAGCCAGAACCAGCCCTTGCTCTTCATCATTTCCTCATGAGGAAATGCAATATTCTGTTCCTTCTGGTCATCCAGTTTGGATCCAAACTCCCCTGATTTCAGCACCTCTGTGTTTCCAGGGCTGACTCTGTATTCCAGGACAAGCCCCTGGTTTATAACCACACCACCCCAGTTGGGGTATTCCCCATTTGCTCTTTGCAGACTGTACTGCAGAGATCAGTTTGGTTTTTCAAACATTACTGCACACTGTGGCCAGCTTTTCACTGAGCTAACACAAGCACTGGAGTTAAAGGTCTATGCACAGACCACAAATTCAACAGCTTGGGCAAACTGTTTTTTGAAAATAGGTATCACTTGATTTTTTCACCCACATCAGAGTCTATCGTGACAGCCTCTCCTTTGACTACAACTCTCCAAACCTCCTCATCTTGTCCAGCCTTGAGCAGCTGAGACAGTTTTGTGACACCTCTTGGCTGCTTCCTCCTTGTCCTCCAGGAAATCATGGCCACGTTTTCACTCTGTCTCACACGTGACAAATCAGTTCGGTGCAAAAACAAAAACACAATTTTGATTCACTTCAAACAGTATTAAACAATGTTCAGTAAGGTGAGGCAATCAGACAAGTATTTCATTAGGTACAAGAAATTCCCTCACATTTAGGAAAAATGATTGGAAACTTACCTTATAGTCAAGTAACAGTTAACTCTGTTCCCAACAGCAAAATAATCAGCTGCAGTGAGAATGTCGATGCCATGGGGAAAAGTGCCCTACAAACAAAATATTATTTTAAAATATATAACACATTCCAAATAGGCAACATGATTGAAAACAAACCTCCTGCTACTCTCCCAAGCACTGAAAAAATACAATTTAATTTATAGTAAAATCACTTGTACTAGAGACATAAAGGATATTGAATATATAAACAGCAAAATACCTCACTCTGCTTGTGAGTCAATGATAAAAGGCCCAAGCAAATGGCAGCAGGCAGTAACCTATGCAACTGCTCCCTTCACACCTCCCAGTCATACCAAAATATCTATTTGGTTAATGCATGACTATGTATATACCCAAAAGATGATTCCTCTAGAAGGATTTACATAAACATAAACATGTTTCCAGTTCATGTGAAGGCACAAGGTGAGTTTAATGAAATATAAAATTCGAGATTTAGGTACCAAGAGGCACATCACATGTAGAACACATGGGAGTTTCTACTTACACTTGTATTTCATGACTCATTAATGAACTAAAAAATGGGGTTGGTTTGTTTTTTAAAATGAGCACTGGTTCCCAACAAAGCCTGAAAGACTAAAGCCTACTGAAGGATCCCACTTCTGCCATCACTTCTCAAACCAGCCTGTTTCCAGAAGACAGATTACCTTTCTAAGTATGAGATTTACACTTAGAAATCTGTATTTCTGTATGCAAGCAACACAGTTCAGATATTCAGAGTTTTAGTGGCTCTGGCAGGTTTAACAGAGCATCAGCAGAGGCAGCACAGCACCCATGAGCCACGATGAAGAACAAATGGAGGAGAGCCAGCTGACACTGGCTCCACTCACCTCCAAAAGGGACACTCAGAGAGTATTAAAACAATGAGGCTCCCTGGAAGTACAGGTTTGGGATGTGCTGCAGGTTTGTTTACAGCTCACTCATCCCTTCCACAATAGGATCCAGCCATGCAAAACTGGTGGGAAGTATCTCTCCATCTGAGCCTGAATCACTGAAGCAGTTTATCCTGGAAGCAATGGAAGCTGCTGCCAAGGTCTTGCTCTGGGAAGCACAATTCCAGTGCTCCCAAAAAAGCAAGGCCTGAAATCTGACTGGACCAAGGAGAGACAGAATATTTATGGCTTATCCAAGCCTGCAAGTCTTGGTAATTCAAAGGTAAAATGAATGTTCTGCCCAAAAGCCTCATGAAACCCTGATTAGGGGCAAATAGGTAAGAAACACCTCAGTATGATGCAAGGCCGAAGAGCAAGACATACAATGGAAGATATAAAGATGCACACTACATAAGAAAAATCTCAGGCAAACAATTTGAATTCTAGCTGCCAGCTGGACCTTGATATTTGTTTCCCAGCTGTGAGTGTGCCAGTTTGATGCCATCTCACAAAGGGCACGGTGCCACCACGCCTGTCAGTGAGACAGCATCACTCCTGACTTCAGGAACACAGGCCACAGCCAGTGGGAGGGTCAGGCTTTACAGGAACAGCCAGCAGCTTCTGTTCTCTCAGAACACTTCAAACTTCCCCAATACAGAAGTTGGCATTATTAGAAGAATGTGCATTTCTCATGATTTATGCTCAAAAAAATTCTGCAGATCTTTCAAAGCTTCTATTTACAGTGTAAGTGGCATTCTTACATTCTTCTGTGGCCACCAGCAAGCTCTGGATTTGGGACATGTGGAATTACAAAGCTGAAGGAAGCAGGAACCAAGGAACAGGCGAGGGCAACCTTCTTCTCCACCTATTTAGTATCAGCATTATTACCTCAGGTGGAGAATATGTTTTAGCTCCTTCCAATCCAGAGAAAGGGTGTCTCTTTCAACACAGTGTGAACTCCAGAGGGTGGATCTACTCATTAAGTAACCCATTTTCCTAGGCACCAAGGAATGGTTCAGCAAGTAAAACTTCTGACCTTCTGCAGGAAGCAGCTGGAGCCTGACAGCTCCTCCATGCCATGAAAACTCACTGTTTCACTGCTGATGTGCCAACACAGAGGCTGAAATCATCATTATGTGATGACACATTTGAGTTGTGGGTCAAAGCAGAGGCTGTAAGGAACCTTTCTGGCTGTAAACTAACACGGTCTGCACTCCTCTGATTAATAAATATAAAAAAAAAACCCCACAGATTTTTTGCTACATGAAGCACTTCTAAACCTGCAGCACCCAGGAGCCCTCTCTCCCCTGGAGCTAAGTCAGGCTAAGGTGTTATTTACTCGTTCAGTGGGATCAGGCTGGGCTGCTGTGTGATGTCCAGGCTCTCCAGGGCAGGAGCTGCAGAGCCAGGAAGAGTCACCCTGGCTTCTGTTTATCACAGACCCAGCTGGGGCAGGTCACCAAAAATCCCCACTCTCCTCTTCTTGCACCCTTTCTCTGCTATTAACTTACTTCTGTCTAGAAATACACACTGAACATGAACAGATGGTTTAACAGCCAGAGTTCTAAAGGAATTATATGAACAGAGAGATTTTCAGGAATGCTGTCAGGTGACAGCATTTTAACAAAGATCCTTTAAAGGGCAGCATATTGATAACAAAATTGCTTTAACCATGCTCACATGCCCTACTCTGTTCACAGGAATACACTGACTGACACATTCCTCCCCACACTTTCTCTCTCTCTCTTGGCTGTATATTCAGCTTTATTAATTCCTGGTGAGAAACCAGTAAATCCAAGGCTTTACCCTATTTGCTTCTCCTCCAAGTTTGAAAATCAAAGTTGTCTTCAGGATTTTAACTATTTAAATGTCGCTAAGTTACACAGGAACCCACTACAATACTTTTTATCAAAGGACTTGGGTACCTCCAAAAGTAGCAGATTTCTCAGAATATCTAGATGGTGTAAGAGACAAGCCCAAAAACTGAGTTGAAAACTCTTGAGCTTTGTTTACTGTGGAACTACCAACCACAGCAATGATTGCACAGCCCACTTCAGCTGTTCTGCTTCTACTGAAAACTAGAAAATCAATGAAACAAAAAGAAAGAACCAAAAACCTGCACTTTTCCTGCTTTAAAAGCACTGTACTTTCCAGGGTGTACGATAACCAGATCAAATGCTGGTTTTGCTTTTCTGGAGGACTGAAAATTACCAGTAAGCTCATTTTCTTCCCAAACTGGAATACGAAAATAAAATTTACACCTCAGAAAAATATTCTACAAGAACTAGCTGCTCATAATGAAAACCATTATTTTGTGACATTCTTTCACTCAATTTTTCCAAAGCCACAGTGTCTAATTTTGATTTTAGGTACTCCACGCTTCCAGTAACCTCCAAGGCACAAATGAATGAAGATGCAGGGAAGTCACCATACCTGTCTCCCAACATTCTCCTGGAAGGCAGCCTGAGGAACAGAGAACAAACACACCAAAACGAGTCAGGTTTGCTTTTTGATAAACACCAGATGATGAATTCAAAACACACAACAATATAAATGACCCATGGCTTTTCTGTTTTAAATAAAGTAAACTTTGTCAGTAGAACAAGCCCGTGGGGCTTTTCTGTTTGTGCATCCCCACGTTGTGCTGCTCCTGGAGCCGCACGTTGCACGGCAGCAGTTTGAAAATGCAGGTTTATTAAACTCGTCACACCCAAACAAGGGCCTGGGAGTAGTGACACGAGGCTTGGCCTTGGGATGGAAAGTCAATGCCTGTAGACAACAGCAACTGAGGCAACTCACTCTTGTCTGACTTCAACATCCTTTGCTAAGAGTGGGCAAAGTTTTATTTTTTGTCAGTGAAAACTTCAGGCAGCAACCATTGAGACTGCAATACTGATCTGTAGGGTATGTGTCTGAAAGGACGCTGAAACATTGGGCTTGTGAAATCTGAAGATGAAATTCATGTATATCTCTTGTATTTTGCACTAAAGAAACTCAAAATCTTGCAAAAATGCAATGACAACAACCATAAAGTTAACCTGTCTACTTGTATGGCATCCAGAAGAAAACCTACTTAATTCCCTACTTGAATTTTCTCTCTTGCAAGAAAGTCCATTATTTTTATCCCTTTAAAGGCCATAAAATCCTAATCACTATTAAAAGCTTCTGTGAATTTTAACTCTTAAGAGAGGAGAGATCATCATTATCTGGACACTTCTCCATGGAACTGCTGCTCTCTCTGCACACACAGCTTTCCACCGATGGACAACTCTTGTTAACTGATATTTAATGGACAGGGGGAAAGCTCCTAATGTTTACCGAAATGCCACAAGAATTTGGGCAGCCAGAGCTTCTGTATTTCCTCCACAAGCGCAGCAGCCCTGTGGTAATCCACCTGTGACAACAACAGGTTGAGCTGGCTCCCGAGGATCACACTCTGCAGGTGGAGCGAGGGCTGACGCCAGCCGGGATGGAGCCGGAGCCTCCCGGAGCGCTCCTGAGCTGCTGCTGCCTGTTCAGGCTCCTGCCTGCAGCCCCTGCAGACCTGCCCAGGCAGGTGAAGCTGCTGTTTGCAACTCAGGGCTGGGATGGAGTCCAGCCCTGCCAGCAGTGCCCCCGGGCAGCACATCCAGCCGGGATGGAGCAGGAGCCAGGGATGCAGCGCTGCCCTGGGGCTGCTCCTGGCTGGATGCTGCAGCCCTGCTGCTGCCATGGGCCTTTTGCCCTCCTCTCCTCCTCATCTCATCTGCTCCCAAGCCAGGACAGCGGTGGCTGTCACTGCAGCATCCATCTCTTTCTACTTCCAGCTTTAGGTTCTGTTTTATGCTACCCTCAATGCATTCCTGTGGGCGTACGCTGTATTTTATGCTATGCACCCTCTGGAGATCAATCAGATCTCATTAACCTGTAGCCAGTTGTGCAGCTCTGAGCTCCTCCTTGGTGAAAAGAAAGCAATTGGGTGATAATCTTTTAGCCCATTCCATAAAAAAAGGTATGTTTGGGATGCAGAATGGATTTTCTGGTAACTCTGGTGTGTCCAGAATCCCACTCTAATGGGGTTAGTGGTAGACTTGGCAGTGCTGGGTTAACAGTTGGACTTGATGATCTTAAAGGTCTTTTCCCACTTAGATGATTCTATATTTTATGTTACTGAGACCCTTTTTTAGTCAGCACAGGAACATTTGACATTCTCTATCATATCCAAGGGATTTCACAGTTTAACCACTGCATTACAATGTCATTTAAAAATGTGCTGCTCAGACAGTGCCTAAATGATACAAAATCTGTAAAGCCCTAAAATTCCTAAAAGATGCCAAATTCCTAAGAGATGCCAAGCACTTCAAGTGTTTTATGAGAGTAATTTTTCAGTTTTTATACAATCCCCTTCTGGAGATGGAAAAACTGGATACAAAGATACTAATTTAAAGATTCCAGGAGATCAGAACCAAGGTGACCAACTAATCTCGCAACCTGAACACTCCTCTTTCCCACAGAAACTGAAAAAAATATCACAACATTCCCTAAAAATATTTAGTTTAAATACTATCAGTGAAACAAGAGAGGGGGGAAAAGCCTCTCTTTGAGATGTCAGAGCTGAACAGAGTCCAATTCAACATCACTTATTCATCTGATTATTCCTTATGCTGATTACTCATGAAAGAGTAGCACAAGCCAGCCCAGAATGCTTGTGGAGTTTCAAAAGCAGAGTCTTGTTCTATTCTCTCTAACCTCAGGGTTCAAAATGTCTCTATTCACCATTTTATTTTATTGGTGCTCTGCATTATAATATATTGCATATTGTATGAGATGGAAAATCTAGTAAAACCTGTTGTTTATTTAAATATGTGTTTAACTGTAGTAATGATTGGAAATATTTAGCACTCCCAGGTATTTTTCTTCAAAATTGTAATAACAGCTGCTAAACATAAAATACTTCTTTGCCTTTCTAAAATAAGAGAAAAGGCTTTAGTAATTCCATAAATGTCCATCAAACAGCTATTCCAAATTTTGACCAGCTCCAAATTAGAAAGTACAAGTGATAAAATTAATGAGACTGGAGGTAGCTGACTTGCAGACAGCTCAGGAGCCTGGACTACAGCAGAAAAGGAAAATGAGGAAAAATGTGCTGGGTGTTTTAATTAGAAATACAAATACTCAGGCTGCACTAAGCTCTCAGCTTTAGTCTGGCTGGTTTAGGACACAGCTCAGGGTCAAACTACCAGTTTAAGTGTAGAAACACACTGATGATCACACAGGACAATTAAACCAAGCCACCAAAGGTAAGCAGCACACCTGTAGTGGCAATTGTGTTATAAAGATTTCTCCTTGGTGTCCATATAAACCCTGATTCCAAGGACAGTTCCTAGGGATCACACAAATAATTCACTTTTCTCCACCTATGCTCCCTAATGTTTTGTGTACCTCTCAGGAAAACAAATTCCTCTAAGGAACTGATCTGAATATAGGGTCTTAAATTATCCACAAATGGTAAATTCTACAGTTTCTAAAATGAAGGAGTTGAAGCCTGGGGGAAGCAGCATTGCTGATATTCATTAGTTGTACACGATGGGAAGAGTTCTAGCACTACTTGGCAACCTGCAGCACCTTGGCTTGCTCTGGTCTGAGCACCTTCAGACCCAGGAGCTGTGCTGGGGTTGCTCAAGCACTGACTCACTTCCCAGCAATTAAGCTGCAGCTTCATTCAGCAGCTTCAAAACCAGCAGAGGTGTGGCTACAAAAAGTAAGGATGCTATCCAGGTATCCCTGAGAAACCCTCCTGATGGTTTAAACACATCAGCTTTCAAAATTTCAGTCAAAAAAGTCAGACAGATCTGGTAATGTGCATATTGCAAAGAGTGTTGTTTTTGTTGGTTTGGGGTTTTTTATTGTTTTTTTTGTTGCTTTGCTTTTTTGTTTGTTTGGGGTTTTTTTGTTTAACACATTCACAGTGACATTTATTGTTAGGGACAGATACATTTGGTTCTTTGGCAGACCCTCTGTGCTCCTGGTTTGAGTTCATACAGTTATAAGGTGAAGATTTTTACATTTGTATAATTTGGTTTCTCTCTTAGAAGATACCATTCATACTTTTTTAATTTTTAAAGACAGCAAGTTCAATATCTACAACATACAGACTTAAATTCTCATAGATAAGATGTCCATTCTTTCTTCTCAAATTCTGTAACTATAGAAATATGTAATTCTCCATAATTTCTCTTAAGAACACTCAACTCTCAACAGCATAAATGTTTTCTGCAAAAAGTTTCCACAGAATATACTTTGGTGTCAGTTCTATTCACTGCCTAGCAGTATCTGACTAATGGATTTTCACTCTTTAAAAAATTCTCAGTCCTATGGAAAGAGTTTTTATAACAATTAAAACTATGTTTGAAGGAGAGAGATAATTCTAGAAATTTTGAACTTAGCACGATTAAAATGTAACCCCACAAAACTCCTCAGCTTGAAGACTTGCAAAAGAGCTAATATCTGTGTATTATGTAGGACCCTTTTGACTGTGACTTTTGTCTTGTGATTAAAAAATGCTAAATAATTCTTTCTTTGATACTTTATCTTGATCATCATGACAACAATACAACAGACTTAACTGTGGCCATAAACCAAGATGTGCATCTGTGGATTATATAATTTAACATCTAAATTCACACGATACTGCTAAGGATTTAAAGAAACTTTTTTGCTCCCAACATAGTATTTTGCTTCTTTAATGTAGTTCTACATAGTCAAGTTTAGAAATTATTAAATGAAACAAAAAAATAACAGAGGCATGGAAGGTGGAATGTGGAAACTTACAGAAGCAGCTCTTCTGCAATTAACATCACGATCAAATACTGCAGCAATAACCAGTGCACTGAGGAAATAAAACATTGAGCATTAGTACCAAATACATGAAAAGAAATGTGCAATGCCATAATTTTAACATTTAGCCTTCTAAGCAGAACAGGCAGCACTAAGGAGTGTATTATTTACAAATACAAGCCTCAACTAAAATCTGAGTTGAAGTAACCTTGTACTTTCTTGTTCCTCTGTGGACTTCCCACAGCACAACAGCCACCCCACTGTATCAAAGGAATTCATGGAATACACAAACATGTTTTACTGCACAGAAAGGTTTCTGTTTTAAATGGAGCAGAAACCAAAATGGTTTGAACCAAAATGGTTTAAGACTTGGACATAATCGTGTCTAATGTGAGACTCAGTGCAATTTTAAATTAAAACTTGGAAATACAGTTTCTCAATAGCCAAATGTACAGCAAGTCTTGTGTAAGGTTTAAACACAACACAAGGTGAAGCAATGGAAAGCTGCAGTTATCTCCACAAGAACAGTCACATCCTGTAAGGCACAAAAATCAAACATGCAAATCCTGATAAAAAGTAACCTGCAAGATGAACTGCAAAGCAGTGTTTTAGGGTGACCTGTAGAGACAGAAGGATGATTACATGAAACACTTTCTTCATGCATGAAGTCTGGTGACCCTGCACAGGGTAATTCTTCTGCCTCAAAAGAACTGCTGTTCATAGATGTGCTACACAACACAGGAGAGAGAATATATCCTGGGACACACAGTCTGCAGCTTTAGAAATCCACCTCCAGCATTCAATTAACTTCAGCAACAAATAAACATCACTTCAGGAGAATCATTTAAGCAGAAAATTATTCCTTTCAAACCCTGAAACTCTTCATTACATGATTTATTGACTCCAGGCAAAACCGGAAATAAATACTGGCTGAAAAGTAAATTCAAGATAGCTTTGCTTCAGCATAAGGATATTAATTACACTGATAATATCAAACTTCCCTGGGTAGTGGCTATCAGTTCCCTACAGTGATGAATACTGTGTTGTTCCAGTTCTCTGAAATGCACAGTCAGCTTGGCCTCTGTAATTTCAGTTTATCTCCATTAGGGAAAACAGGAGACAGAAAGCCAGAATGAAATGAAAACAAGCCCAAATAAAGTGTTCTAAAGACAGTTAATGCTTTCTTATTGCTACCTGCAGGAGCAATACCCCTCTCTGCCACAAAGACAAGAGGAAAGAGGAGATCATCCAAACAACAGAGCCTGGAAGAGCAGATGTTCAGGAAGCATTCCATCAGGAAGCAGCACACATGTCTCACTGCTGAAAAACTGCTGGGTCAGATACACTCTTCATTCATACCATGCTTGCTAATTCTCTGGCACACACAGAGACTTAAAAATGATTTTAAAAGGACACTTAAGTATATAATTTTAATGACATGACTAGCTTCCATAAATGTTTTAATTAGAGAACTTTCAAGACTAAAGGAATTGGAGGAAAATAATCCAGGAAACCAAAAAGAAGCAAATTTCTGCCTGATATTTCTGGTTATATGGACTAGAAGCTAGAACAGTAATTTGTCAGTTATGCAGTATTTCAATACTGGTCTTTTCTGAAGAGAGGAAAAACAAACCCAACCACAAAAAGCCCCTGATCACAGCAAGAAACTCAGAATCCTGAGTGCTGCTTCACTGCTTCAAACAAGAGCTCATCCTATAATCACATTGTACTTTTCCAATTTTTCTTAATTTTCTGTTACATTAAGACAAAGCAGTGTAAGCAAAGCAACACATTATCTGTGATGGCACCTGAGTCACTCGGTGCTGCAACCACTGTGTGAAGCAAAATAAAAACCCCAGGAATTCTATCATTGTCCCCTTATATTCCTAAATCATACTGCAGTCACTGTTAATCCTTTTAAGGAAGTATTCTAACTTCTCAAACTCCACAAATACTATTTTCAGGATAATTCCCACTGGGAAGCACAGGCACATCCTCCACAAGGCCAGGCTCAGTGTGGAGGGTGGAACACCTCTAAGGTGTCTTCACCTGTCTGCTTTGTCGTGGGAGTTTATGTGATACTGCACCAGGATTTCCTAACATAAAGAAACTGTTTATGTCAAACCAAGTGGGATATTTTTTTAAGCTACTCAAAAGGACTGTGTCTTGACTTGCCCCAAGTGCACCACACCTGCCCGCTGCCAGGCGGAGCAGAGGACGGCTTTGCACCCTCCAGTCCCCATGGAACACCTTTCCTGGCTCCTCTGCACCCTCCAGTCCCCATGGAACACCTTTCCTGGCTCCTCTGCACCCTCCAGCCCCCATGGAACACCTTTCCTGGCTCCTCTGCACCCTCCAGTCCCCATGGAACACCTTTCCTGGCTCCTTGAGGGATATGGAGCCTGCATGCTTGGCAGCAGTTAAGTGCACAATAAACACCAAAAGACATTAAAAAGCAAGTTGCAATTTATCAGTCAACTAAAAGTTCTCCCTTTCTCATTATCCCTTCCTTGCTCCCCCAAGGACTCACCTAACTGGCTCCAGGGAAAGTTAGAAGGACTCAAGTATGTCAGTGGGCACTCCCCAGCCCGTGTGGATCTCATTCCCTTCCCTGACAAGGTGGAAAGAACCAGGGAGCAGAGGTAGGCCAGGTGAGAGACATCAGAACACAGAAATAAGCACAAACACCAGTTTCCCTCAACTTACAAGCACCAGGTGTACCACCAATAAACCTGAATTCCCTTTACCACCTGTAGCAGGCACTTCCAGTCTCCACTAGCCACAAGCAGCAAGAAGCTGATCCCACTGCTATTCTCTGGGAATCTGCTGCCATCAATTCCAGTGTGCCACCCTGAAGCTGTGGGAGGAGAAAAATAAACTCTCAAACCTCTTGTGTATTTGGTACAAAACAAAAATTTCCTTCCTGACCCCTAGAAAGGTTAACAGGACAGCACTCTCCTCCCTGCTGTACATTAGGAAAGGGAAAGGCACAATAACCACAAGCAAAGTGGGTTTGAGCAATCCAAGCAAATTTAAAAAAGGAGGGGAGACCAGAGTCAGCCTCAGGTCTGCTGAGCACTGCTGCTGCAAACAGCCCCTTCTGCACCTCTCCAGTCACACCAGTGCCCACCTGGGAGGGCTACACAGACAGCAGGGTGATGAAAACACATCTAGACTCAGGGGTTTTAATTTCTGAGACCAGAGCAGCTCCCCTGTTCACTTTATCTCATGGAGCTGTGTTACACCACTGCAGGAGCCACACAGGGGAAGAAGCAAGTACAAGGGCTTGCTCCAGCCACACTGCAGATGACTCAGATTCAATTCCTCCTGTTTATCTAGGAGAAGGTCTAAGGAGAAGGAGAAATGCTGGGGCCATTCCCATTTCCACACTGTCTGCTTTTGCAGTCCCTCCAACCCAGCTCACATGGAGCTCCCAGTGGGTTATTCCAATCCAAAAATTTGAATTTAAATGGTGAAAGTGTAAGAGGGAAGGGAAGGGAAGGGAAGGGAAGGGAAGGGAAGGGAAGGGAAGGGAAGTCTGTGATACCCCTGCAGGAGGTCATTTTACCCAAGTGCCTTCAGCACCCAGCTCTCCTCTGCAGGTACATAACAGCAGAAAGCCATTCTCCATATTTCATCACAGTACAAGACATAGCTCAAAGCAATGCTTCAGATTTCCACAGTTCTGCAGGACAAGCCTGCCCTGGAGCAAGCTCCATCATCCATCCTGAGCCACACCTGCCTGCTCCCCCCTCCCAAAGGCAGGCAGCACCCCAGGGAAGCCAAGGCTGCCCGCCCTCGTGCCCTGCACCCACAGCGTGTGCCCGTGCTCTGCTGCACGGAGATAGGTCCCAGATCCCAACAGGTCCCAGCTCCCAACAGGTCCCAGCTCCTGCCCACCCCCACCAGCCTCAACAGGCAGAGGAAGCTGCACCCTGTACAGCTCCACACAGTTCAGGTAGCCAGCAACCATTTAATCACTCTAATTGTATTACAGAGTGCAAGTATGTTTTCCTTTTTATTTTCTGTTTAGGTTTTAAACAAAACAGTTCAGCTCCCTACTGTGCACCTGCCACTTCACAGACAGCAACTTCCACACCCAAGGGGGCAGAAATCAAATTACCTGCATTTCCAAGTCATTAAATTCTGTTTCACTTTCCTCATAGGTAAGCTTAAAAAGAGAGGCTGCATGTAGAGACTGGGAGAGAAACAAAATTCAGTCAAGTGCTTTTATAATGATATGCTTGAACAGTAACTTCAGTGTCTGCATCTCAAAAAAGAGCAACATGGTCCTGCAAAAGAAGTGAAGTTTCATCTACATTGCCAGGAATTTTATTTTTGTGGTCTTGTAGTTCGAATAGATGAGGCAAGGTTTTAGAAACCAGTTTAACTAGACTTTAACAAACCATTAAGCAGATGTGAGCAAGTGTATCTTGTTGAAATATGGATTGGGAAAAAAAAACTGGCATGGAAAAATACAAGCAAGGGCTATCAGAAATACTCTTGGGCACGTATTTCCAGTAAGTCTTCTCAATCTTTTTTCTGCCTTTTTATTTTTTCTTAAAAGAGTGGCAAGGTCAGGAAGGAGAAGAGCTGATCTATGATCTACAGCAATCTAAGTTTGCAACCTCAATATTCTGCCAATTTCATCACTGAAGAGAACATTCATCGAAAAAACAGGGAAGAATCAGCTGACAGTGAATATGGAGAGCAGGATCTATTTTAAAGCACTGTCAGAAATTTTACTAAAAAAAACCTGACTTCATGCAGTTTAAAGTGATTTTTCACTGGTCCAAAGTCAAATTTTTATGTTCCTTGACTGCTGAAAACACAATGTCTTTCAATTACATAATGATACAAGAAAAGGAAAAAAGAATCCCCTGTAAATCACCCTGTGCTTTAATCTGTAACTGCTGTTAAGGGGACCTAGGGCAGGACCCAGTTTATGTATTTGGGTACCTAAGTGGGTCCCATGTGCTTCCAGCAGCTGAACACTGAGTGCAGGATAAACCTTGTGCAATTCCCAGCACTAAGCACAGCCAGCAGTTCAGGACTGCAATCACCCATCACAGTTTTGGAAGGTGTTTACTATTTTTCTCTAACAGCGTGTATTCTTATCCAGGCAGATGTTTTTGCTGTGTAATTCAGCTCACAATGGACATTATGCACTTTGTTTCAAGATGCTGAGTGCTGCATTTTTTTAAGGGCAGCAACAATTTGCTTGTGGCTAGAAGTATGACTCTTCTTTAAGTAAAACAGTGACACACCTAAGGCTAGATTTAAAAAAAAGCCGTGTGTAATTATCGGCTTGCTGACACAATAGGTGAAACTGTGTGTCATACTTTATTTGATTTTTTTTTTTCACCATTTCTCTTTGGAGTGGCAATTCTACCTTTAAGAGTTGATTTAGAAAAGGAATGGCCACTATAACGATGAAGATTTTTAAGTAAAGCCTTGTGTAACATTAATAATTGCTAAAATACTTTGCAGCTTTGTTGGAAAATGAAGATATTACAAACCACAACACCTTATAGCTGTTCATTAGCAATTTTCAGCTTTCACTTCGTGTTTCTCTTCATCCCACCAATTTATTCCCAACAACTGAAGTTGTCATAGCACAGCCAGAGCACTCATTGGTTTTACTACCTCAGGCAGAGGGGATCTCAAATATTGTCATTTGACACTTTCCTGAAAAGAAAATAATTTGTTTGCAGAAGAGGCTGAAAGGACACAAGCTTCTTCAGAAACACAACCTCCTGGTGTAAACATCTGTTCCAGAGGTCCCACCAACAGCTTTGTGACCATAAAACTAAATACCACAAACCCTGAAAAATCACAAGGGTAAACCTGCACCAAGCCTATGGAGACCAACACTGCAGTATGGCAGGGGGAAAGGGGTAAATGAAATATGAAATATATTGCTCAAAGCATCATGATCAGAAGAAAAGTTCTGATAAACAGATTAGAATTCTGATAAAGGGAAGGCTTGAACATTCACAATTGGGTTTTCTTAAGTTTCCACAAGCAACAACCTTGTCTAACCTTAAAAGAAACCTTTAAAGTTTTTCAACTCAGAGGATAGTAGCAGAGGTTTTATTTTCATCAAGCTGCTGACCAATCTAGAAAAATTACCAGATCTGAAGCAGACTTCAGGATGAGTCTGGCCATACCAAGACTAAAGATCTGCTGGCAGTGAGAAGGTAAATGTAACTCTGCAGAGCTGCTACCACCCTGCCAGAGCCATTTGTTATCACTCTGGTCACGGGTGACAGCATGCCCTCACTGCTACCATTACTGCTGGTCAGATTAAAAACAAGAATACAAAATTGTACTCATGGGATTATTTCACTGTGCAAGTACATCTTCAGGTACCCTCAGTTAAGAATTTCATACTACATATAATTTACCATGAACTCAGCTAGAAGTGAGTTAAATATGACCCTTCAAAATAAAATATTTTATTAATAGCTTACTGTGGCAAATGTCACTGTTGCTAGCATGCCAAAGTGAAGCAGGGCTATCCTGGAGCTCCACATTCTCTTTCCAGAAGTTATCCCAAAACAGTGGATGGAATCACATCCTAGCGCAGCTTAGAGTTACCAGGATCCCCTCCTTTACAATCTATGCCAGTGTAGATGAACCATCATCAAAGCACCATGAAACACTTTATGAGAGAAACAAGGCAAAAATGTCCCAGCATTTCTTGTCTGCTCTCGGTGGAAAAAATGGAAGTAAAATGGTGCTTGGGCATAAGAAGTTGAAAGCAGGTTCTTAGACAGGAAGGTTTTATCAAGGTCTCCAAAAAACATCAGGAGCAAGTACCACAGGACAGACACTTTATGAGTGACCTTGCATTGAAGGACCAGCACTAAAAAGTGAAGCTACAAAGGTGAAAAACAGTAGAGACCAGCCAGGACACAGGGGCAAAAATAAAAATGGATTAATCTACAGATTGTCTCACAGAACTTTTAAAACTGTTTTCAAAGAAGAAAGAAACAATCATGTATTCTTTGGGAACCTGCTGAGCTCTGTAGGTAGCTCTGTGTTGGCAAAGAAGGCTTTTTGGATGAGACTGAAATAGTTCTGTCAATAATCTAGAAGCAAAGAAGTCCCTAAAAATTAAAGCAGATCTCCAGAACCACAGGTCACCGTATAGTCCAAACTTCTTTCTATTGTTTTGAAAAAGAAAATACTGAATGACCACTGATCAAAACACTTCTGATGGAGACAAAGCTGCCTGAGCTGCTGCTGTCAATGGCTGTACTAAAAGTGTGCCAAGAAACTGTTAGAAGCCACCTGTGTGTTTGCAGTGCAAGTCACCTGTTAAGAAACCTCAAAATGTCAGCCAGTGTGTGACCAACAAAAAGACCAAACAATAAAGAGAGAATCCCACAGCCAAGGAGGGAGAACAAGAGACAAAAGAAAAAAAGGTGAAACCAGTTTGTATCTGCAAAAATATCAACAGTATTAAGTGAAAAGTTGCAGCAACTTCTAGTCCACCATTGCAGTAGCACAGATTTGGAAATCTCTTGAAGATTTTACTTTTGAAAGTCTTTTGAAACCAAAACCAAGGATAGAAAAAGAACTACACCAGGTACTTCATTCATTGCTAAGTGAGATCCTGGACTTTTCTCTGCTCTATAAAACCACAAGGTATCAAAAGAGGAAAAATTCTCTCATATATTTGTTAACTTTAACTCAAAAATCTTCTTAGTAATAATAAAACCCCCACTAATCAAAAGTGCTGTGTTACTAAGAATTCAGTATTGCTACATAAGGCTCTTACCCCTTTCAGAAACTGGAAGTGGTTTTATTTTTTTATTCAAAATAATCTTTGAATTGGAACACTTCAAAAGGAAAATTTTAATTTGTGTAGAAGTAGAGCTGTGATGCACTTTATTTTTTTAACCTGCTCAATTTGCAAGCTGTAAGCTGGTCAATAAAAATATGCTTTATTCTTTGCACAAAACCCATCTGACAAAGTCCCGGGAATCTTGGCTTGTTAGGAACAAGACACACCTGAAAAAATAAGAAACAACCTCTTCCTAAAGTTTTCTCCTAATATTTCCAGCTCTTTATGATTCCATAAAGCAACTCCTCCATTTTAGAAGGGTTTGTTATTTCTACCTCTACTGAACTAAGGTTCCAAATCTTGTCTTCTCAAACTCCCTGAGCTGATGTCACTGAGCTCCCCACAGAGAAGGTGGATCAAAAGATGACACCCTGCCAAAACCTCCACCAATTTCTCTTATCCTTACAGTGAGTTTCTCTGGATTTTCCTTTGAAAAACAGGTGAACAGAGGGAAATGAAGTCATCACACCTGATAAGGAAATACTGAGATATGTTTATGTCACCGCCATCCCACCCATACGCAATTCTTTATTTCTCAGCATACGTGTTAGCAGACACCCTAAGTTTTAACAGATTTAAGTGACCTGTATGAGTTTCCCAGTGCCACAGCTCACCTTGAGATGTGGTTGATGAAGGGGATGAGCTCAGCAGGTTCATAGGCACGAGCGAAGGCCCAGCACACGTAACACGCCGCGTCCCTGACGTTGGAGCCCACGCTGCACGCCCCCCTCTTCTCATCGTACGTCAGCGCCTTCAGCATCACAGGAACCACTGTTACAGCAAAAACAATCCACAAGAAACAACATTAGGACCTTCAAGACCATCTTGTTCCACCCCCTGCCATGGCAGGGACATCTTCCACTGTGTCCCAGGCTGTTCCAAGCCCCATCCAGCCTGGCCTTGGGCACTCCCCAGGGATCCAGGGGCAGCCAGAGCTGCTCTGGGCACCCTGTGCCAGGGCCTGCCCACACTCACTGGGAAGAATTTCTTTCTGATATCTGACCTAAACCCACTCTCTGCCAGTTTAAATCCATTCCCCCTTGTCCAGTCACTACGTGCAGGAGTCAGTAACATTTTTCTACAGAGCTTGCAAAACCTGTAAGGATAATTCTTTTACACCGGTCTAGAAACACATTGCCACAGTTCAAGAAATATGAATGCAGGGCTCCCCAGAGGGCCTTCATTTGGTATCTGCACATCCAGATAGCAAATCTGAATACATCTCTCTCTCTAGATGACACAACTTTATTAAATGACTAATGTCTGCAGAAACAACAGCCGCTGAAAAAAAAAGAAACAATTTCTCTCTCATTTTTCTTCTTTGTATCAAATTTATTAAATGCATCTTTTTTTCTTAGAAAATACTTGTCACAAGGTGATCCCATTAACAAGAAATGGGACCACTGAGCTGTATTTCATTAGCAGTCTGTGCCTGGATATCCTTGAGTGGATACAATCACAAAACAATTAAAACTTCCATGTGCTGTTCATCACTGTGTACTGCTGCTTTTAACAAAAAGATAGATACCATGACTGGAGAAGTCAAGTGTTAAAAGGCTGTTTAAATTAATTTCTAGCTGCTAAAGAAAATCAAGCAGTAGATATAGGGATGGGTGAGATTTGGCTAATAGGAGCATGAACACTACAAGGGAGAAATTGCAATTCCCATTCTGGAACAACGACACAGCAGAGATGGATGGGTTGTTGGATATTTCCCAGTTCCTAAAGAAACTGCAATGAAAGTATTTAAAAATGCTGCCTAGCTTGTTTTGAAAATTGCTGCATCAACTGATGAGAAAAATGGAATTTGCTGGTTCTACAGGAACACTCGAGCAGGTGCCAAAGGCAATTTTGTAAAGCTGCAGCACATTTCCCTCAGCGCAAGTGACCGCTCCAGCTCCTTCCGACAGCTGCGAGCACATTCCCACCTCTGTGCAGGGAAGGAAAAGGGGAAAGGAGGCCCCTCCAGCAGCTCCTCACATTTCCATTGTCTCTGTGAAAGAAAAAATGTATTTTTGCACTTTAATATCCCAAATGCTGGGCACAGCACCCAGCTGTTTGTCAGGGCCAGTGGTGATGCTGCAGGGTCTGTTGGCAGCTGGAGCTCTCACACCTCCCTGGTGCCCTTTTCCTACATCTCACAGCACTGCTCTGTGTGACTGCAAAGTCTGGGGACAGGAAAGGAAGGAAACAACAGCAGGCTCTGGGGAGCTGGGACTAACAGGGGAAACAAGGTGAAGTGTGCAGCACTGGTAATTAGAAACAACAAAGGAAATACTCATCTAGGGGGTATCTGGTAAAGTTTTGTGCTATTGCTGGTTGAATATTTACTGGTGAGCCATATAGGAAATGCTGAATAAAAACTGCTCTTGACACAAGTGTGTGCGTGTTCAAAAAAGCAGGTCCAGCATTACATTCCTTGTTGGGTTTTCAAGAGTTATAAAAACCCAAAAGAAACACTACCCAAAATTCCAGGCTTTACTTCATTTCTTGCTGCGGAGTTCCTCAAACACCATGTCAAATCTTAACCTAAAATCACTTTACCCAAAAAATCACAGATTTAAAAATCCAAGAACTTCAGAAAAAAAGTCTTCCAGAAGAAACTTATTTTAGTTTGGTAGGGAGGAGACAAAATTCTTTGATTTTTGAAAATCTGAACATGCCTTTTTTATTGAAAAGTAGGAGGGTGGAAGATGCAGCAAGGAGAAGATCTGAACTGCTCCTTAACTTTACAGGTTTAATTTTAAAAGTTTAACTTTCATTTTACAATTTCCATTTTTTCAAAGATATCTACCTTTTTTTAAAAAAAAGTATTCCACCAAAACCAGAGGATAAATAGTGCCCACTCTCAAGCTGATTATTAAAACAAAATCCACCTGTGCAGGTCTGTGAATGCTCAAGAAAACAGAGTCACCTTTAGCTGTAGCCTGAAGGTATCAATAAGCACCTGCTTCACCCCACCCTGCCATGCCCAAGAGCGTCACTGCAGTTGCAGCACAGCCTTGTGCTCAAGCCTTGGAAAATAAAGAAACAACTTCTGGCATTACAAACAACAGGGTTGGGTTGGTTTTTTTTTTCCTCATGCTGGAGACAGGTTGCAGCGATGTTCTGCTTTTTAAACAGACTTTACACAGGTGGATGCTCAACGCAGGTGAGAGACAATAAAAGTCTGGTGAAGGAGCTTGTGGGAGACACTGGATACTGAAAGGTTCTATTCTATATATTTAAATGAAAGATCCTTTACATTAGTCCTTTAGAAACATACTTTACACCAACCTCAACTATAACCTGTGCCATCCAAAGCCCTTTTTCACTTTAACTCCACATAGTATTTTTTTTTTTAATTTAGTGCAATGTTTATCATATAAAATATACAAATACAGCAGTCAAACAAACAACTAAAACCTGTTCCTCAGCCCTAGGCCTTGTCTCCATAAGAAAACTGCAAGAGGTCAAGTCAACCTTGTTTAATTTAATACAGATTTCCATTGGATCTGGAGTTAAGTAAGAATTGTCTGAATTTAGTTTCAAACTAAAATGTGCAACTTAAAACAGATTAAGTCAATGTTATCTTAGACAAGCATTATCTTTTTATAGGGACTGTTTAGGCAGAGAAGCTGTTTCAATACATAAAAAATATATTGCAAATCCTTCTATTTTTAAATCATATAAGAAAAAGTACTACAAAGTGGATGTCTGCTATTCCTGAACGATACATCGTGCACAATATCGTGGCAGGAGAAGCTACAAACCTACAATTAATGAATGATGAAGCTTAAACTTATTTTCAACACAAAGAATAACAATTTTATTCTTCAATTTTTCTTCAGTGAAAACCAACTCAGTGCAGAAGTGAAGGTTCAGCCTCATTGTGAGCCTCAGGCTTAAAAGAAGTCATGCAGACATCTGCTGTGTGTTGTTTCCTAAAAACACAACTCTGCCTCCTTCGTGTACAGAAAAATCAAGTTTGAGGCCACTCACTCTTCCATGGCCTCTGTAAAGAGGCAGCTCCTAACTGGAACTTGATTAGGGCTCTTGTACTAATATTTATTGGACCAACACAGATGCAAACACCAGAAAGTTCAGGTTAGGCCCATTACCAGAACTAAGGACTTGTTTAAAATTCTTCCAAACATCTCTGAATTGTTCTCATTTTCTATATATTGTTGACTCCAGAATCTGCTCTTTCATCGAGAGGACAAAGCCTCCAGTGGGGATCAGAAGATGCACGTGTTGTTTTGGCTGTGGAAAGTTCTCTGTGTTCCTGTGAAATGCTCCAACATCACATCCCCAAGGGCAAGTGCCTAAAAACCGCCCACAGGTGACCTCTCCTCTGCCATTCCTGCCCCCGGGGCTGACCTCATTAGGAGTTTGCCAGGGAAGGAGGAAGAGCAGCACGGCTCCTGCAGGCCCAGGAGGGATGTGAGGAGTGATCAGCTGAAGTCTCTGGAGCTTCTGTAACCTCCTGGTTGCCCCCAGCCCACAGAGGGCTGGGCAGAGGCTCCTCCACATGACCCAGCAGCCCCAGGACTGCCAAGGGCTGCTCTGTCTGCCTGCAATCTGCCTTCGCTCTCTCACTACGTAATGAATTAAGAGAGTCTTTAATTACATGGTCACGTGGTGGTTTTTCCATGGAGCTATCTCAGCCAGCCCACAGGACAGACCTGCTCCGGCAATGAATCACGGCAGGGCAGCAGAGGAGGTTGTTGTCTGCCTGGCTGCTGGGGGTGGAAAGCGTGGAATGCAAAGGCTGGCTGTCAGACTGAGAGAAGGGGGTGGTGGTTAAGATGGATGTTGCCCTAAAGACTGTTTGATACCAGTCCTGGCTCTTAAATGCAGTGTTTAGGAGTTGGACATTGGCTCTGGATGCCAGGTCCCTCTGTAGCCTTGCTGCAGCCCCGGTGCTGACAGGAGTGTGGGCTCTGGAGCGTGGCCAGGGGCCAAGCAGGAAGCAGACAGATCTGGGTTCCAGCCAGTCCATCCCATGCATCCTTACGTAACGCAGCCCTAAAAGCTCAAAGGCCCCTGGCTTGCACTCAGAGCAGCAGCTGACCCAGGATGATTCTGAAACACTGAGCATTCCGTGGTTTGGGGACTCTCCTACCTGAGGCCAGACCAGAGAGCTTCACACAGGTGTACAGCTGACAGAGCTCTGCCTCTGACTGAGCCACCAGCACACTGCAGTTAAAGACATGAAGGAACAGGCTTGTGGAGAAATCCTACTGAGCAAATGAATGACTTATTCTAAAGGAGTATAAAAATTCTGTAAACTCATAACACTGCGTGTCAGAAAAGAAATATCACCCAAGAAAGCCCAGCCTTAAGGCTAAAGTTGTGCAACACCAAGATAAACCCCATGGTGAAAAAGCCAGAAGCAATTCATTGTCATTTATTCCCTGCTCAGTGTTTACCCTGTCTCCCAGTGGTGTTGGGGGAGGGACCTTCCCCGCTGCGGCTCCAGACACAGCATTTCTTCCTGCTCATACCTGCTGGCTAGTGAAAAAAAAATAAATCTGTACTATTTATAATGCTTCCTTGCTAATTTGAAAACTATTACGGTGACATAGGCATTATAACTTTTTAAAAGGCTCTTTTCAAGACCGTGCATCACTTTTAAAGTTCACCTGCGTGTTAGAGAGAAGGAATTCCTCCATAACCAGCCTTTCAGGTTTGGGTGTTCTCAATTTTCTAAAGAGTCCACCTAAGACAGGTAGATCTTTTTCTTTTTTTTTTTTTTCTTTTTTTTCAGTTCTTCCTGTATCTCTGATGAA